TGATGATGATGATTTTGTTTTAAAGTTGAAGATGATGAAGAAAGTAAAGATAACATTGTAGGAGAAAAACGAATGTTTGTATGTCTTTTGCTTAATCGAATGAATTGGTTGTACCGTTTTAGCTCGATGCCATTATCAAAGTCTCATTTATATATTCTCTCTCGATTTTATCGTCTACCTGCTTATTGTATTCATTTATATATATTCGAAGAAATAGAGAGAGAGAGAGAGAGAGAAAAGAGAGAACACTTCTGTTTGCTTAATCATCATCCTTCTAACTGTCATAGCAGATCATAAAGACATGGGTGTTGAGAATGTCGCCGTTTATCTGCCGCCCGATATATTTAATGACCAGGTAGAGAAAGAAAGAGAGAACGGAACAATCGATACCCGGGTGCCATCGACGACGAATCATTTGACTAATGGCCATCATCATCGTCGTCGTTCTCACACATAAGAAAGAAGAGAATGAAAAGCAGAACATAGCTCTACATTCATCTAGCAAAGAAGTGATATGACATTCCAGCGATGAATTGAAAAAAACAGGTTATCACAATCATTATTTGATCATTAGAATATATACAATCGTCTTTAATGCTATTTTATCATTTTACCATTGATGACAATATACATGTCGATGCTCATTATATGTATATAAAGAATGAATGTATAAAGACTCTCTTTCTCACAACAGGTAGTCTCATTGGAATTGAATAGAAGAGAAAAAAAACGGAACATGCTCGATAATGATATCAGACAGACTGAATAAGTGAAGAAACAATTACACCTCTTTGCTTCGACGATTCTTTTCATTGAATAGAAAACGATACATACATTCATGATGAGAAAATGATAGTTTTCAAAAATACATATATCTTTTCAGAATTTTTCTTTCGCTGAAACAATGTGATTGGACAATGAGTGTGCAAATGGATCATCTTTTGTTCGTTCATTCTTTTTCTTTTTTTTATCAAACAAGAAAAAAAAAGTTTTTACAAACACTCATTGCCAGTAGAAGAGGAATTTACAAAAGAAAGAATGATAGACGACAGACACGAGTTTATCAAAAAACGAAACATAAAATAGCATNCATATATCTTTTCAGAATTTTTCTTTCGCTGAAACAATGTGATTGGACAATGAGTGTGCAAATGGATCATCTTTTGTTCGTTCATTCTTTTTCTTTTTTTTATCAAACAAGAAAAAAAAAGTTTTTACAAACACTCATTGCCAGTAGAAGAGGAATTTACAAAAGAAAGAATGATAGACGACAGACACGAGTTTATCAAAAAACGAAACATAAAATAGCATTTTTGTTTTTTTTGTCTGGATTAATTATGTTCACTTCGATATTTTTCTTTATCATCATTTCTTTCATCTCGATCGATTTGATTTCGAACGCCAACAAGAAAATTTTCCGCTGCTTTAGTTGTTGTAACAATCGGTTGAATAGCCACGGATGGCACTTGTCTAAGTAGACCTCCGACAACTCCGAGTACACCTTTTCGTCGTCGTCCGAGTTGTGCTTCTGTTCGTAATTGATTTGATGTTGTATTGAAACTTTGTCGGATGACGTTCACTGCATAAGTCACACCTTCACGAATGTCGTTCGGCGGTGGATGATTCCGTACCATAATCGCTTGAGCTGATGAAGATGGTCCATTTGGTGGAATTGTTGATGAGGAAACCAACTCAAAACACAGAAGCGCGGCGAAATGAGCACAACGCACAACTTGACTACTCAGTTCAATCAATGCCAGAGCTGTACTTGTAGTAAATGATGATGCACCGCGTTGTATACCACGTAAAACTCGTCCATCACGACGATATTGATCAATTGGTAAATAGAATAAATCTTTAATTCCAAGAATAATTTGTGATATGGACGATAACGGCACAATGCCTTTGATAACATCAGTTGGTCGAATATCATTTAACCATTCGTTTAATAAAAAGGTTAAGAGTTTTTCATAACCTAAGAGACCACGTTTGTAGGAAATACGTTTTAAATAGATATCCACTTTGGCTAGTTGAGCCAAGCCGATCAATAAGTTTAAGAACGGGCCTGATTCGAATAGTTGTTCGTTACGAAGCTTTCCATGATAATCAATACGAATGTGACACGCTGGTGAGAAAACGAAATGTTTTATAAAGATATTCGAATTGACTGATGAAGAAGATGACGAAGATGGGGAAGTCGATTCACCTCCAAGTGTAGTGTTTAATGTTGGAGATGATGATGCATAGTGTGAGGTTGGAGATGTACTTAGATCAGAATCTAAAGATGATGATGGATAATCAGTATTGATGTTTTGATCAGTAACTGAAATTATGCGAGACATAGGTCAAGTTGATTTGAGAGAATCGATGATTTTACCTGGAATTGGGACAGATGTTTCGCGATTCGTTGTGGAATTTGTTAAATTAACAAAAAATTGTCTCATAAATACTAACGTGTCCTAAGAGAAAGAAATGCATACTCATCAGTGTTGTTTGTGTTTGCTTACTTGATCGATATTGATTCGTAATGGTTGTAATGAAACCTTAATTTCACATTCTAATGGTTCCGATGATGAGTTTGGATTTAGTCCGTTCTCAAATTCTTCATTTGGAGTTTTCATGAAATAACCTTCCGGTTTCGTATTTAGAACTTTCAAGACCAACTGAAGTAAAAACAAGGTAAAGTGAAAAACAATTGAAAACGAAAAGTTCTTTTCTAACCATATCAGCATGTGTTCGTCTTGGCGCTGCTTCTGTTGTATATAAATATAGAAATTTATTGATTTCAGATCTTGCCAGTAATCGATCACGAATTTCGAATTCATGAATAGCGAAGACGAATCTCGACGAGGCCTTTTCTTGTTCACCGTAGGTTTCATATTGACATCGGGCTTTACTGATCGAAAATTCCATACTGGTTCGTAAATCTCGGCAAGGGCCACCTCGTTCATGACGTGCTAAACGTGTCGTGTCATAAGAACTGTATATACGACCACCGACTTTCTCTCTACAAAGATAAATTTCGGTCATGTGAAGAATTAGTTCAATCGAGCGTACTGTGTGGAAGGTGTAGAAGCTGTAGCTGCAGCTGCACTAAATCGAACAGATTCGTTGATATTCAGTTGAACCGGTTGTTGGTGACTATCATCTGGTAAAATAGAATGGTAATGAGTGAAAGTCAAAGGTAATTTGACGATTTACTTGGTTTCGGTTGAGTAAAATCACTTCCACCATAAATATGCCAAACAATGGAGATTTGTCGAATGGAGAATCTCAATGTTGGCACGGGTAAATGTGCTGGTGCGTTAAGAATATCGTTACGTTCCAATGGTTTCGCAAAATGATTTTCATGAATTTGTATTGGCGTGTTTCCTAACACATGAACTTCCCACAAACCATTTTCAGGCTAAAAGAAACTCTTCTGAATCGAATCTTTCGACAAAGAATCAACATACCGGTCGACACATTCCAATGTCTCTTTCAATTAGCTCGAAATCTCGATTATTCTCTCCACTATATGTTGTCGATCGTTTTTGCAATGGCGGTGAGTCTTCATCATCATCGTCATCCTCATCATCTTTGCCATATGTTGACGAAGAAAACACCGATCCGCATTCAACATCCGATGTATGACTGTTCGTCATTCGATTGGATTCATCACCATAATGATTCAATCCCATACCTGATTCATTCAATGTACCTAAAATTCATTTTCATCAATCTTTGACCATTATCGTTAAAAGTTCTTTACTCATTGGTTCATGGAAATCTTCCTGCATGGCTTCTTCAAGTAATGACATTCGATTCGACGTCTAAAGACACGACTTGAATTGAGCATATGAAAAATAATCCTACTTACATTATCCGTTGCCAGCTGTTCATTGTTCAATGTTTCATCACTAATCATTCGAACGGGTCGATCACTTCGTTTTCTCTCAATCGGTGTGCTACTTCGACTAATTTCATTCGTTTGTTGCTGTTGTTGTTGAAGATCGCCGTCAGTTATAACATACTTTAATAACTCAATCAAAGCATTTGCAGAGTCCGAACACGTTCGAATATGAATCATATTACATGCAATACGAATATCAACCAACGGATCGTTCTAAAAGAACAAATCGAGTAAAATCATGAATGAGAGCGAAGAGAAATTTACCATTGGTACGTCTTCCGTTGGCTCATTAAAACATAATTTGATTTCGAATGCTCCACCGTTAATAACCGAGATATAATCATTGAGTAGATCGATTTGATACCGATCACGTTTTTGTTTTGATAAATAAATTGCCCAATCATCTAGATTAAGTCTACAAAACCGGCGATTAATCATCAATACGAAAAAATTCATCTTACTCAAGTAAAGTCGTTTTACTGTTTTTAACAAATGTATTCGTTAAAGTTAACGAATCGATGGCGACGAAACATTTCGTATCGAAATACAATGGTCTGAATGAAAAGCATTGCACAGGAGTGACAATAACAAAAACTTCTTACCGATAATGGGCAGCACAATGACGAAATTCCAAATGCCAATCAACCAATGAAGTCGATGGAATGTACCCAACAACTTCTTCGTCAGTTAAATCGAATAACTCAATAAGCTATATCGCAAAAAATGCATAAGATTTTTCTCTGGAAATATTCACTCACTTGTAGCAACCAACTTTCTGCTTTGGGTACAATCTTCTGATGCAGCATCGCTCCTTCGATTGTAAATGCACCTCGAATCATTTTCTGTCTTCCTTCGACTCGATCACCTGTTGTACGAATCTCAAAAGCTGCCCGAATCATCGTACCATTATTATTATATTTCGGAAATGCATTCGCTGGCAAACGTGTTATTAATTCTGGTAATGATCGACTAACGACTTCACTCAACGGCACATTTGATTTCGATGTTGGAACATTACCTAAAATTTCCACAGTGTACAATCAAAACATTCTCTCATTCGTTTTTCCTTCTTACCGTTGTGATAAAGTAATGCTGAATGGCTAAGTAAACAGAAATATTGAAGATTAATGTCACCTTGATAACCATCGACAATTGCAAGTGTTAAACCTTGACCATCGATTCGAAATTCGCCCATATTTGAATTAGCTGTACGTGATTCTTTCGGAATCTTTTCACCCTAATTGAAACCAATAAAATCTTTGTCATTGAAAGTTTTCAACTTACTAATGGTGCATTGGCAGCGAGATGAATATTGTGTATGTTCAATTGTAAGACGAAACTATGTGGACCTTTCTTTTTCGAGCCTCTTGGTGTGACACTTCCGTGTTCTTCGTCTTCATCTTCATCTGAAAGGACTTGATCATCATCCGAAGATTGACTATGAAATCGATTGATTAATGATCGACATGTCTGAAATGCTTGATCATTGGAAATGTTTCCAAGTGAACTCGTCATTTGTCGATTCACATTTTCACTTGTCGTTGGTGCTGAACTTTCCCACATAAATAAATTATTGACAAAACTACAATTAATTTCGTTGATTTTCTCTCTGAATTAACTTCATCGTTTTCTTACCGATTGTAGATCGTTTCAAGAAACATTTGATTTGGGATGTAGAGTAAAATGTATGGGATGATAATATGAAGATTTAACTTCGTTTCTTGACTGCATGATGAGATAAATTTCTTGATCGTCTCGGCGTCAGCAACTTCGAGAACTTGCCGATTATCATTCAGAGTGTTTTTGTTTCTCAATGGAAGTTTATCGTCATTTGTTGGTAAACGACAAAAAACTGAATCGAATAAGGTTTCCGTCATCGGTGGATTTAATTGATTCGTTAAAAACGTTTTCAAATCATTTAAATTTACAATTAATCTAAATAGAACATCGAAAGATGCATTTGTGAGGTTTCTCTTCGATATTTACTTGATATTTTCGCCATTACTAGACGATAATTGAGCAATATGTGATCGCTCTGAATAAATACTCGTCATAAAATAAACTAAAAGAAAACAAATTATCGAAGTGAACTTCATTTGAATGAGCAATGTTTATTACCTTGAATTGCTTCCGTGTTGATTGTTAAGACCGTTGCTTCATCGAGATCGAAATCTGATTGAAATTGAACTTGCTTTAAATCAAATGTTAAAATTTCCTTATGTACAGCTTGAATCCACCAAGGTCGACGTTTATTCAACGGTTGTAAATCCGCAATTGGAAATCTAATTTACAACGAACATTTAGAATCAAAACAAAACCTTTTCTCCTCGTACCGAACATTCAAAATACAACCAACAGAACTGACTGTTAACATTGTCAAAGATGAGCTGGAGTTTGTAGTTGCTGGAGAATTCTATAAAGACAAAAAACAATCGGTCAAACAATCCATTGGATTTTGTCGAGTTTCAATTACATTGACTTGACATGCGTTGATCGTTGAATAGATTCGATCAATAATTGAAATATCGAAATCGATTTGACATGTTCCCAAACGAATATTGATGTCACTGAAAGGTTGCAGTGTAGCTAGGCGACGACTGAATGCACTGTTTGACCTCTTTTTCTAGAAGGAGATGTGGGTTTAATTACAAATGAAACGTCTTTTCTACTTTTGTTTCGTTAATGTCAAAATTTGTTATGGAAATTTGAATGGAAGATTGAATACCGTTGTAAGGAACTTGAAAAGATGAAGGTGTATCGAATGTTGAGCTTTCATTCGAACGAACAAATGATAATAACTAAGAGAAATTCATTGAATAATAATGAAAATGATTTTTTTTATTGGAATTTACTCGATTGAAAACCATCTGTTGATTCGTATTGATGATTTTCTGTTGAATATTAGTGTTTTCTCCTTGCAAACATTCGCATAGATCAACTGAACTGATACGTATATCCAAATCCAAGCAAAGACAATTCTCCGCCGATTGTTGAGTAAAATCAATAATCAAAGGCTTTCCAATCAATCTAAATAAACGACTTTCTCGATAAAAACACAGAAAATTATTGTGAAAAACATACGAAAGATGATCTTTCGCACATGCTTGCGAATATTTCAATCGATGTTCGTAGATTTGCTTTTCATCAAGCATTCCGGATGTGTTTATTGTTGCTATGTTCGCAAAATATCCATCAGCAAAGTCTTTCAGTGACATTGAACTTGTTTGAATATCACGATGGAGTAAACACAAAGAAATAAAATTAAATTGTAAACGACATTTTGTACTGATGATCGATTGATTTTGTTCAAGTAAACGTTTTGTTGTTTCTAAACGAATTCGATGAGAATATATGTCGAACAGATCGTTTGTTTTACCTTTTAAATGGGCTTTATCGACGGTTGATGCATTCGATGAACGATGATGAGGCGACGAACGACGACGATGACCTGAAAGGTCCAATGATGAACTTAAGTGATTGATATGAATTTATTTTACTTGATATTGACGCGGAATCTGGTCGACTACTTGTATATGATGATTCCAAATCGATACTTGTTGACATTCCTTTTACCGAACAGAACATTGAGTCCGATGGATCTGAAAATAGTCGAGAAAACGAGAGTTTAGCTAAATAGCTGTTTATTTTCATACCAGGTGTATTCTCAACATCAGAAAAATGGGCGAAATCATTGTCATATTGTTGAGAACCCATCTGACAATTTTTCCTTCGAACTTCTTCGGCTAAATTTTGCTCGATACGTCTGAAATCTTCTTCAGTCATTGGGCGATTATTTGCACTTGAAGTATTGTACAAATTCGGATTACCCGTCGAATTCAATGCTACAGAACATGAAGTGAAAAATAACTCCGTGTCAAAATTAGATAAACTTTACCAGCTTTTTGATAAGCAGAAAAGAGAATGATCAATGATTGTAATTGTTTTGGTGTTAATAAACAATTCACTGAGCCACAATGTGCTTCGATTTCCACCTGATCGAAAAGATGCAAAAGATGAATGTTTCTTTTTTTAGTTTCTTACTTTCGGTCCGAAAATCTGCTCGGACTGCTTGAGTTTCAGGCGAATATCTTGTTTTCCCGAAACTGTTAAACATAAAACCGGATCAAACGTTTCATATCCAACCATTCTTGAAAATCCATTCGACGTTGTCGTCATTATTGACGATGAACTATTTGTTAATACACTGGACATCATACTCTCCTAAGAATCATTTCGATAGAATCTTTATTTAAACCCTCACAATTTTGTCTCTTACTCCAATTAAACGATTCGATAAATTCAGTTCGGACGAATCAGTCATGTTCGATGAGTTCGTCAGAATTGTAAATTCATCAGTGAAAAGTGTTACACCACTCAATTCGAAGTTTTTATTTGTAAATACAGTCGGACGTATCAAAGAATTGGCATCGAGTGGACCTGTCATATCAATACTTGTTGCTTCACTGTCAAAATATTTGAATCTAAACCAAATTCCCATCGAATAAGTCAACTTTCAATATTTTTTTTCTCCTTACTTTTTTATTCGAATTTCTAGTGCAACGCCTTGATTACTGTTATGAATCAAATGCTCCAATCGAATAATAGTATCAGTTAGTTCAACTTTAACTCGAGCGAGAACTAAAATATTCAATAAGAAAATTATTTTGTTTGCTCTTTCGACGAGAAATCTTACCTGAATCAATAGTTGCTGCAAAAGTCTCTAATCCTTGATATGTCGTATCTTCTTCGGTCTCATTTTTCAAACATTCTTGAGCTATTAGCATACTGGTATTCATACTGTTAAACATTGTTGATAATTCAAAACTTCCATCGGACATATCTTCAAAAATTAAAATGTTTCTCCTTAATTGTCTGTTTTCTTCAAAAAGCATTTTACTTTGATCATTGGTTTGCTTTGGTCGAATAGTTATCTCTAAACCTTTGATATCGAGTAATGAATTGTCACTCAGGAGCGATGTCCATGGAATCGAAAGATTGATTTCGCCAACGTATGCTTTAACAATTTCGAAAGGAATATTATTATTTGTTAGTGATTCATTTAAAGCCTAATAATGAAGAAAATTTTCGAATGAAAAGAAGAAAAGTCGACTTTTGATAATTACATTCAAATTTAAGATCACATCTTTGACTTGTCCACAGCCCGAAAAGAGATCAACAGATAGTTGATCGAGGGAGAGTTTTTCTTGGAAAAATACACCTAGATAATGATGTATTAATTGCCGACATGCACGCGTTTTCAATGAATTGGACCACGGTATAAAAGACGGCCAGGGCATTTCAAATGAATATGAATCTGCAAAATAAATTTTTACTGAAAACTACCAATGAATCATCATATTATCTACGAAAAAAAAATTTCTTCCAACGATGCAGTCACATGACAAAGGTTAGGTTGGCTGTTTGTTTCTATTGATAAAAAAATACAAATATTTTACATAATTGATTAGTAATATAGAAAATAATGATGCATCTTATTTTTATACGAAATCGTCGGGCAGCTGACATTAACATATGATATCAGCGCGTGCAGTTTGATTTCTGATTGGTCGAACAGTCGACCAATGAGGTTCGCTAGATGAACCTTCTCTTGTTTAATAGAATTAAATCAAAATAAACTTTTCATTGAATTATTTCTCATAAAATTTCATTTCCATTTGAATTTACAGGAGCAGTATTTGACTTTTGATTTCATTGCTAGGCAGACAATCTCCAATGAAATAATTGATTTCATTTTGTGTTCTCTCTCTCTCCTTTCATTGCATATGTACTTGTCATTGAAACAGGGATTCTTTCCCTCACGTCTTACTTGTTCATTTTTCGTTCTTTCGTCCGCCGACTGACTCGTAGGTAAATGATGATATATAAAAAAAACAAAAAAAGTAAACTATCTAGTTCCTTTTTTCCATTAGATTTGTCTTCAAAATGCGTTCCCTTCAATCTTTAAAAGAAGAATTACGCGCCCTGGAACAACATTTTCCAAAACGTACCAACGCACCTTTTTCGATAGTCAGTGCATCTGTTGATGACATAACCAGTATTTATCGTGATCCTACTAATCAACGATCAATATCAATTTGCGTAAATGACAACCTTCAAAAGAAAATCAAAACAAACATGTTTTTGTTGTTTATTTCAGTGTAAAATACTTGAAGTACCAAATAAATGTTTATGGTATACGGAAAGTGATAATAGGGATGATGTGCAAGAGCAATTAACAACGATATTTGATGAGTTAAATTCGAATACGTCGAACGAAACTCGCAGTGTCACATTGCAACTTGAATCGATCATTGAACGATTGAATGGCTTTTTCAATGCTTCTAATTTACCATTGCCAAGTCATTTGACAACAAATTTAACAAGTCGAGTTGAACCGGAAGACTCCGGTGTTGATCAAGAAGAAGAAGACGACGACGATGAAACCGAACAACACCCAAATCCCGATCAGGATCAATGTTCACTGGATGATGATGAAAAAGTTCCGCAAACTGAACAACTAACTGAAGATATAGACGGTATATCTTTAGAAAACTGGCAATTGCTTCAATCGCTGAAATACAAACGCATTAATGAAGCTGCACAACGCAACCATGAGAAAATCTATGCTAATAATAACAATAATAACACATCGACAAAGAGAGAAAGTGCATCGTCATCATCGTTGACATCATCTGTGCAAGCAACTGATCGGTTAATGAAAGAATTAAGAGAAATATTTCGATCTCAAGCTTATAAAAAAGGAGATTTTACTATTGAATTAGTGGATGAGAGTCTGTATGAATGGAATGTCAAAGTAATACTTTGATGATTTAGATCCATATCGACATGGTTTTTTTATTTATTTTTTAGTTATATCATGTTGATAAAGATAGCAAATTATACGCAGATCTCGAAGAAATGAAAACTTCCGAGAAAAATTTAGATAAACTAGATCATATTTTATTAAACTTCACATTCAGTGATAATTACCCATTTGCACCTCCATTTGTACGTCGAGCAGAACATTTTCTCCCAACTAACTTTATCTATTTCAGGTACGTGTCATCCGACCGATAATCACCGGTGGTCATGTATATTCCGGAGCTATATGTACGTAGATTTCTTCTCGAAATTTTCATTTCCAGCCAGTTTAATGAATACTCTAGGTATGGAATTACTGACTCGGCAAGGTTGGTCTTCTGCGTATAGTGTAGAATCGTTACTTTTTCAAATAGTAGCCACATTGTGCAAAGCAGATGCACGTATTGATTTCAATTCCCTGAACGAAACATTCTCATTGCAACGTGCTCAACAAGCCTTTCGTCATATAACGAATGTACATGAAAAAAGCGGATGGTACACAGCACCAAAAGCCGATGGATAGTTCTTTCGTGTTCTTCCTCTCTCTCTCCTCGAACAATTACAAATATTTGTCTTCTTTCTCTCTTCTTCGTGTAAATATATACTTGTAATTGTCGATGTGGATTATTTTTCTTTCTTTTCGTGGTGTTCGATACTGTGCGCTGATTGTGTGATCGTTTATCTAGATTTCTTTGTCGATCGATATCTTCTATGAAAAAAAAACCAATAAAGAACAAAAACTAAACCACAAGAAAATATCACATCATCCTTGCTATCTGCATCTTCGTTTTCTATTAGATAATCATCAATTATCTGTGATATGTCGACAATATAATCATTACTCAAACAATCAAAATTATCTCATTTAGAATGTTGAATCGTGGTCTACGTCAGTCGTTATTTGTTCTCGTGTTAGCTCTACATCTAATTGTCTTATCAACATATACGATTCTACGTTATCAAAGATCGACACCGACTGAAACTTATCCAGATCATATTTTGACAGAAGCAGATCCATTTGCTAAACCATTATCACCTGGACCTCTTCCGGCGAGTTTGATTGAAAAAAGTGAACGATTATTGTTAAATCAAAATTATAAACGATTCAATAAGCAACAGAAAAGTGCAGGTAGACATTGAAGGAAAACGTTCGAATCGTTTAAGAGTTTCTTAAATTTAAGATAAAAAGTATATTTTACCACGCGTACCATGTCCACTTCTGCCACCGAATTTAGGTACTTTGTTTGAGAGAAGATTATTCATTCGGAAATAATTGATTTGTATCTAGTTGGCCGTGTTACGGCAGATTTATTCTCTTATGAAATGCATGAAGTTGAAGAACATTTAGCAAATTCAAGTATTCAACTTGGAGGTCATTGGTCTCCACCACATTGTACAGCTCATTATCGAGTGGCGATTATAATTCCATATCGAAATCGCGATATGCAATTGCGAATCTTTCTCAATTTTATGCATCCGTTTCTTCAGAAGCAACAGATCGATTATCAGATTTATCTCGTTGAACCAGTAAATAACGAAAAGGAGAAGAAATTTTTGTTATCTTTCTGTTTAAGATCGAGAAAATTAAATTCAATCGAGCATTGCTATTCAATATTGGTTTCCGTGAAGCATTGAAAGAATATCCATGGCAATGCTTTATTTTTCATGATGTTGATTTGATTCCGGAAGACGACCGAAACATTTATTCATGTCCGCCTGAGCCACGACATATGTCTGTCTCGGTAAATACTTTCAATTATCAGTAAGAATCAATCAAAAGTGAATTTGAAAAAGAAACTAAAGAAATCTGACTGATTAGATTACCTTATCGGGGAATCTTCGGTGGAGTATCAGCGATGACAATCAAACAAATGGAAGCAGTGAATGGATTTTCTAACCAATATTTTGGTTGGGGTGGCGAAGATGATGGTAAGTTGCGTAAATTTCCTATAATAAGAGAAAACATGATTATTGTTCATCGGCAGATATGTCCGCTCGTGTGATCACAAAATATCGTATATCTCGGTATCCGGCATCAATTGGTCGTTATCGAATGTTACGACACCGTCCTGATACTCCGAATTCTAATAGGTAGTCTTCATTGATTATTGACGTTTTCTTCTTTCAAGCTTTGTTTTTCCAGATTTACTTTCTTACATCTTGGAACTGGGCTGATGAATCACGATGGTCTTTCGAATTTGCAATATGATGTAGTCAGTATCGACAAGAAGAAACTCTTTACGCATATTCTAGTAAATTATAATGAAACTTTAATCAAAGCTAGTGTTGCTGATTTAGTCAAGAAAAAGAAAAAGCCTCATTAAATCCTTTCCATTTTCACTGATAAAGCAATTTTTGTACAAAACTCAACTTTCTTTTTGCATTGAACCTTTATAGGCAACGATGTCAGTTATGTTTTATGTTCTTTTTGATAAATTCAATAAAAAATATATAAGAACGATTGGTCAGAGATTCACAATGAAATAGTACCTTTTCAGACAGACTGAAAAAAACCAAAGAATGGAGATCGAAGAAAAATTAGCAAAAACTGATGAAATTCTTCAATATGAAAACGAAATTATTCTTCAAATATTTCACGAAGATGGTTTATTAATCCTAGCAAGGTAATACACTCTCATTCCATCACTATTCTCTTCTACTTTTCCGTTTATACAGAGGCCTCGGTTTAGAGAGAATCTTTTGCGAAATGTTAAAACTTTATTGTGCAGAACACAATCTTGTTTTCATTTTGGGCTGTACAGATGTCGAACAAAACTACTTCATAGAACAATTAATTCATCAAGGAATCGATCCACCACCACGTGTGATTACAGCGGACATATCAATTCATGAACGAAAGGAACTTTACCTGCAAGGTGGATTGTTTTTCGTTACTGCAAGGTAATTTCATTCGGATAGAGTAAAAGTTCAAATCATGTGAATTTTTATTTAGAATTTTAACTGTTGATTTGCTCACTGATCGAATGCCGATCGATCTAATTACTGGTTTATTGGTGTACCGTGCTCATCGTATAACAGATTCGTCTCCTGAGTCATTCATTGTTCGTTTATACCGTGATAAAAATAAAACCGGTTTTATCAAAGGTTTCACTGATTCAGCGTTGGACTTTTCTCGTGGATATAATCAACTAGATTGTGTAATGAAAAATCTTTTTCTTCGTCACGTTTATCTGTATCCAAGATTTCAAGTCACAGTACGTTCGACATTTGAAAACTGTTCACCGGATGTGATTGAACTACAAGTACCATTAACAGTGCTAATGATGGATATTCAAATATCTCTAACAGAATTGATCAACGCATGTTTACAAGAACTTCGCTCATCAACAACATGGTTAGATAATGATATGTTAACCGTAGATCAAGCGATATTAAGTTCATTCGAACGATTGATTCATGTACAACTTCAACCTATATGGAATCAAATTAGTATTCGGACAAAACAGTTGTTGAATGATATTAAAACACTACGATTATTTGTGCTTTATTTAACACAATATGATTGTGTGACGTTTTATAATGCGGTGCAAGCGGTTTTTATCAACGAGAAAATGTATGGATCGCGTGGAAAGAATGTTTACTCGTCGCAGGGAACAACGGGCAGTTGGCTTTATCTACCAGCAGCAGAAAGATTATTAGTGGTGAGTGAGAAAGTGGGAGGGAATGAGTAGTGGAAAAAAGAATTTGTTTAGGCAGCGAAATGTCGCGTTTTTGGCGAAATAGCGAAGAAACAGATACAACAAGCAAAAGATAAAGAAGAACCGGCGAAACTTGAAGAAAATCCGAAATTAAAACTGGTTTCTGATGTTCTACAAGAAATTCGAGAAAACGAAGATAATCAAATGTTAGGACCACCCATAACATTAATCGTCTGCGCAGAAGATCGAGCATGTTCGCAATTGAAACAGGTTAAAACATCACAATCATGAAAGCCTTAAATTATTCTTTCGATGTCTTTTCAGTATCTTCTATTAGGCGGAAGGGTTATGCTGGAACGTTTACTAGAACAAACACTCAACCCACCAACTACGAACGAAGTCGAAGTGAAAAAACCAGTAGTACTGGATGTCCGTCTTTCGTATTTGTTAGTTCTCATTGTTGGTTACATTGTTCTAGGAGAAAAAAGCGAAGAAGACTCGAACAACAAATGAGACGAAAGAAGAAACAACAGATGAAACTTCCAATAGAGACGAAAAGCTTGATATCGAAGGCGTAAAATTGCATATTCTATTTGTTACTCTTTCGAAAAACGATGTTTTAGATTGAAGGAGGTTATGTCATTGAGGATGACGATGGGTCAACCTGTCCATCAACAACCATTCTCTATCCTTTCAGTGGAAATATCGATAATCATTTTGTTCTCGGAAAGATTTTATTGAAATATCGTCCACGATTTGTTATTTTGTATGACGCATCACTAACATTCGTTCGACAACTTGAAGTAAAATTCAATAACATATAAACAAGGATTGAATTGATTTTGCTTCAGGTATTTAAAGCAACAAATCCCACTCATCCTCTACGAATCTATTTTCTTCTCTACGGTAAATCAATTGAAGAACAACGGTATTTATTAAGTGTTAAAAAGGAAAAAGAAGCTTTTGAAAATCTTGTTCGAGAAAAAGCTGTAAGGAAAAGAAAACAAACTCGAATTTCAACATAAGTGCATCTCTAATTGCAGTCGATGGTCATTCCTGAAGAACGTGAAGGTCGAGATGAATACAATCCATTACTAAGTCGTGATCCTACTCCAGCTAATCAACAAGCATATGGAACCGGTGCAGCTTCGACTATCGATCCAACCGATACGAGACATGGAGGTTTAATTCCAATGAAACCAATATCAAACCTTCGTCCAAAAGTGATTGTCGATATGAGAGAATTTCGAAGTGAACTTCCATCGTTGATTTGGAAACGAGGCATTGATATCGAACCGGTGACACTCGAAGTTGGAGATTATATTTTAACACCAGAAATATGTATTGAAAGAAAAAGTGTATCGGATTTGATTGGTTCGTTGAACAACGGTCGATTGTACCAACAAGCGTTACAAATGACAAGATTTTATAAGAAGCCAATGTTATTGATTGAATTTGACCAAAAACAAGCATTTCATCTTGCGGTAGATTCGAAGAAAATGTTCTTCTTTTGAACATAAACCTTTTCTTTTTCGGTAGAACAAACAAAAACACAATTCTTCGTCAGAATTCAATGCACATGACGTCACATCAAAATTAGCCTTGTTGACAATGCATTTTCCGAAATTACGAATTCTCTGGTGTCCATCACCTTATGCAAGTGCAGAACTATTTGAAGATTTAAAAGTAAGGAGCCTAACGTTCTTCAAAGCCTTCTGAAAAACGAAAACTTCACATTTTCAGAGAGATCGAGAAGAACCCGATTCCAAAAATGCCATGTTAGTCACGGCTGAATCCGAACTACTCGATGAAGATGAACGATACAATTCTATTGTTCAGGTAATTTACTAATCAGAGTACACAACGAAGTTACAAACGATATCTAAACAATTATCAACAGTTTTTAGTAGTGTACCGTACTGAAAAAGTAGCGTTTACATGATTTCAGTTAAGCCAGTAATACAATGAGCGATTCACTCGAAGTTGTGCGTCTCCGGACATTCCTTTTAATAGAACTGTTGTAACCGACAAAATACGCATCAACTGTATTTTCTTACTCACTAGTTTTGGCGTTATCAGGACACTTTCTTTCCCTATAATAAAGAACGAACTATGATATGGGATCCGAAGAATGTCAAACATTCCAGACGATCAATATTGTCTAAGTACATTGTACCCTAAACAAAGGCGATTAACTTGCCAGATGATTACAAAAGTACCTTTAGAAACCAGCACGACCTAGTGATTATTTATTGAATTCATTCGACTGGTTTCACTTTTAGGATCTTTTGATTCGTATGCCTGGTGTAACATTTAAAAATTACAAATTAATCATGAACAAAGTGGAAAATCTTCGTGGGTTAACTCGCTTAACGGAAGACGAATTAACTACAATTATGGGAAATTCTAAACAAGCATCTTTATTGTACAATTTTATTCATAAGCGAAAAGATGAACTTGTCGTTGATATCAAATCGAAGACCGCATCGAATAGCACATGGAAGAAACGGCGATAAACAAAGAAGAAAAGCGAGAATTTACTTGTTCTATTCAGTCTATGTGTGTATGTATATTTTTTATGAAGAAAACGAAAAAATTTTCAAAGAAATAAAAAAAAACGATGAGAATATAAAGTTATTATTTTTAAATAAAGAGAAAGAAAAGAAAAAAAAAGACTAGAAAAACAAACGAACAACTATAAATCGCTTTGGTACAACTTAATTGAGACCCAAAACACCACGACTAACAACAACAACAATTGCCTACTTGTACATTTGTCTAAAATAGACATGTCATCATCTCATTCGTTGGTAATATGTTCATGCTCATTGATGTAGAGTTGTGTATTGTAGATGAGAGGGAGAGAAAATCTGACAATAGAGAAAAACACTAGACTACGGACGACGTGTTCTTCGGGAACGCCATCGTCGAGTTGTTATTGGGATATATGAAGCATGTGTCGGATTATAGACATGAACAATTAAGGATTTCCATGGGATTAATGTTGTTGAATATGTATATTTTCGTATTGGTTTAAAAGTTGTTGTTGTTGTTGTTGTTGTCGTCGTCGTCGTCGTCGTTGTTGTTGTTGTTGTTGTGCTGGTTGTTGGTAGTGAAATTCGAAATCGCTGTCGATAGTCACTGATCAGTTTGGGTGGCTTATGATTCGTTCCATTGAGAAGTTTAGTTCTTTGTCGTCCGGAATTATTCTCTTGATTGACTATTCGACGTGCAGCTGCTGTTTCAACTGAGATATCCGTGTTAATACGAACAAACGCGAGAAAGTTCAAATAATTATCATTGTCAAATTTTCGTCTTAATCTTGTATGACACATATGTGAAATGGATAAATATCCTCGATTGGGATTTTCATAGAACAATCGATAGGAGTCCCATCGACCAAAATCAATATCGGAACGTTTAGTTTCAAACACGCATTGACGTTCATTTCTTTCCAACTAGAACGAAAATATAAAATCAACTTTGAACTTTTCGTTTTCAAAATCAACTTACAAGACCAAACAGTTGACTGTTTTCACCACAGAGATAACGTTTACTTTCTTTATGTTGTACCAAGAAGAGATTAACAGCAATTGGAAGAAATAAAAATATTCCTAGAAAACACATAAACAAAAAAGATTAATTTTGAATTATCTTCCATTTACGAGCTGATTCGATTAGTATGATTATTATTATTCGATCGAGGCCTTTTTTGATAATGTCGCTCGATTTCTACTACACTGAATCAGATTTCTGTTTGCTTTAGTGTAATATTTTCCAGAAAAATACGGCCTATATAGATGTTAATCTCACACAGTTGGATCTGCTTTCGCTAGCAGAAAGCGCGCCCATCAACAAACTGTAAATAATCGTTATTGATGCAATGTATCATCAGAAAAAAAGGCAATACTGTAGCAATGTAAATATACAGAATACAATTGTAAAGAACCCTGGAGATTTACGAATAACTATTCGACATCGAATATCAAGGCGAGTTAATGAAAGTATTGACATGTTTCAGACGACGTTTTAATGCTTTTATTCTATGATTAATGAGGTGTATTAAGTAGACAAAAGAAAACTGAATTCATTTCGCATTGCAAAAAAATGTTTGACAACTGAAAATCTAAGAGAAAAAAATATTCCTTTCGCTCGTTAAGAAGATTAAGATGACCTCAAGAAATGATGTGTCCTCATCTATCTTATCGATCAAGCTGTATGATCAGCAACAAGCCAGAACGTATCCAGTTATTTTCATCAATATTTTACGTAAAAGATCATTGAGATCAATTATATAACGAGTTAACTGCCATTCTTTATCCTTGAAAATCATGCGTATTTGAAGATGAATCAGATAAGAAAATATCACTAAACAGCAACTATGAGAATAGTCGACACGTATAGGTCAGCAGAGGTACATCAGATATTGATATGCATGATCATGAAACGATTAGTTAATTGATTTGACATCAGTTTCATCCTTCAAGATATGTAACGAGAGAGAGAGAGAGAGAGAGAGAGAAAGAAAAAAAGATGGCAGAGAAAAAATGATAAATTATCTTTCAAAGAAGAAAAAGAACGTCGAATAGTATAACTGAAAGATAACAGATGATAATATGAATAAAAAAAGATTTGCTTTCTCTTTCTCTCTCTGTCCAAACGGTCCAACAAGTGCTTGGCCGATGTCATAGACATTAAGAACAATTAGCAGTCCGTTTTGATTCTATTCCAAATATGTCGACAACGAACCAAGGTCGTCATCACATTCTCTAACTACCCTATGTGTAAATTGACGCAATTATACATATTATCCTCTTGTGTATATATACATATATATATATATTTATATACCCTCATATACCTCATGGTCTTTCTCCTGTCCTCTTAGCCTTGAATGCTAGTCGAAATGGGAATAATTCTTACCATCTTTTGTTTCTTGTGTATCATCAAGATTTGTTACGTGTTTAGCATCAACATAACCATCGAGAGACCGCATTTGTAGTAGACATTGTGTTTTGGAGATGATCTTATAGGTTGAAACGAGCTTTTGTCGTTCATCGTATGTATCGCGTTGGGCACGGGAACGTTCAAGAAGTGATGCGATAAATTTTGGATCTGTTGACGTTGATGCTGATGACATTAACGGCTGCTGTTGTTGTTGATGATGATGATGAGCATGTCGACGAACATAATGAACATATGATGATGGATAGATCATATTAGTTGATGAAAGAGTTGCAAGGAATGTTAAATGGAAGAAAAGAAAGAAAAATAAATGTCGAATAGCGACGAATTGTTGATGTATAAAGATGCCAAACATGGTCTAAATCAACCATGGCGATCTGATATTCGCATGTCAACAATGGTCAAGTACCAATAGAACGATTATCCACTAATGATACGATAAAGACAATGCAATACCATCTACAAAAGATAACATGAAAATATCTGATCGTTAGAAAATTAATCATTGACATAATAAAATCTTTTTTGCACCGTAGGTGTAAGCATCTATGTGCATATGAAAAGAGAGAGAGAAAAAGAAATGTAAGTCTTATCGTTCTCTTATCAAGAAGTATTTGGCATGCGTTGTAGAGTTGCAGATCGAAGGAAGTTATTACCTGTGTACACAATAATCAGTTAGATTTTGATTAATGTGTGAGAAGTTTACCAAGCGGTAATAGTAAAGTTTATCACGACCAACATATAAAACCGCAAAAAATGGAATCGAACTATGTACTCTTCATAGTCATGGTTTTTTTCTTCTCTTTCGTTTCAATGTATTGTTTGCTCTCTAACCAAAGTATGTAAGCAGTGGCTTTTTGCCTGTTGTTTACATTCTAATGTTTTTTTTTCTCACTATTCAGCCATTTACTATGCTACTTATTCATCTACTCGCCGAAACTGAAACTTGAGCAAAGAAAAAAATCAGGGAAAGAGAAAAAAATGCGAAGTAAAATGAAACTGCTTTTTAATACAATACGATTTGAATGTGGAGAAAAGGAAGAGGAGCGACTAGCACTACGTGGTTGTCCGTGGGTGAAAGGTTAAATAAACGCCTTCTTCTTTCAGACCTAATATATACATACGTATAGGACTAGAGATGCACACGCGTGCATATATGTATACGTTCATTGCGTCTATGGATGCGCATATGTATACAAGCATTCTATGCATGAAAGAAGGGAATTATGATAATTGTTGTAAGTTACTAAAGCCTTCTAGCTTCTATTATATGGATGGAAGAGAAGAGAGACGAAGGAGAAGAAGGAAGAAAGCTATAATATACAGTTTTTTTTTGTGCATACAAGTAACAGAAGGAAGAGAAAGAGACATTTCATCTCTTCCTCTTCTAATACAGTATAGATATAGTCGATTTACAACCCCGTTGGATAATACAATAGCCCTGAGCTGCTGTTGCACTAGAAGAAAGTCAGTTTATGCAATACAGAAATAAGGAAAAGAGAAATATCGAAGTCTGTTAATAAGCAATATAAATATGCATACGTATGAGACGTCTCACTCACTTCATTGATCGACAGCTGTCTAGACCAGTTTTATTCCAACAGAATATGTTCTGCAACGAAGAAGTGAATATAAAATCGACTTTACAAAACTATTCATCATCGTCTCTTTCCTTCTTTTTCTCTTTTGTGTATATATTGATGTATAGAAGAATAACTCGAATCTCATTTTGAAAATGAGACTGTTGAAATGTTGTTATTGTGAGCAATGATATTTTTTTATTATTAATGATCATTGCATTAACCTGTTTGTTGATCGAATGACACTTGTGTTCGCTTTTTGTCTGTACGTCTCCATGGAGGCACTGAGACAAAATGTAACTGATGTTTTCTGTTGCTAGCGTTGTCGAGTGACTCCTACATCCCATTAAGCACGTTTTGCGGATGCAAAAAGGCATTAGAAACAATGACAAGGACATGTACATGCATACTTCTTAAGACAATCAAAGAGACGTATGTTTTCGTACTCAATCCATTCTTTTCTCTTCGTCTCACTAACGTTTACTTTGACTCTGAAGTGCTGACTGACAGTTAATGCAAATTCTTTTCTTCTTTTCTATTAAAATATATTCTCGAGACGTACATTCATTTGCACCTTTTCATGACAAATAATTCCAATGGAATATCTCTTCTTGACAGAGAAAAACGACGAGTACAAACAAAGATTCTGACTTACTTGTCCAATTATCAACAAGCTATTGCAATAAATTGAAATATAAATACCAGTAGACTTTCATTTACAATTCTTTTACGATATCCAAAACAAAAGAAACTGCACATCTAAGTCATTAAGCAAATATTTCACTAGCCGAGGTACTTTTTGTACTGAATAAATCAATATAAATTCGAAATACTGCATATGCCTGGGTGTGTACGAATTCTTTTATTTTTCTTATTCAATAAATTCGTATTGATTAGAAAGTTAATTATAGATAAGCACTCAGTATTGAGGACGTATTTTTTCACGAGATGTTTTCAAGATTTGTCATTGAAAAAACTACAGGAGACTGTTTTATGAAAAGACCACGAGCAATTGCACCACGCTCAATTGTTTCCAAGTGTGTCTGATGAAGATCTACCTTTGTTCTTGCAACACGAATATAGAATCCAACAGAAAAGAGAATAAACGGACAACCGACCGCACAAAGTGTAACTATTGCAAAGATAGCAGCGGTTAATGAATATCCGCCAACCTTGATCCATAGAATTAAGCCAAGTTCAAGTAGAAATAAAAACAAACCTAAACCAGTTGAAACAGTCCAAGCAACTTCGATGATCAGATTGAATGATGACAAAGGTTTCTTATTTTCGTTATTCATCCAAACATCACTTTGCCGAATAACACTTTTCAATTCCGGCAAAACACACATAGACATCAATAGAGCAAGTAAATGGATACCAACGAGTAAACCGGAGACAATGACATAACAAATCAACAGAGTATCATTTGGTTTCTGACTTGTATACGCATCAAGCGATAATTCAACGATCGCTACCTGAAGACAAAAGATCAACTGAACAGAATTATTCTGTTTATGTAAACATACAATAGCAAAACCGCTGAGTAACGCAGATGTTTCATTGACACTTTCAAGTTTTGATTTACGATAGAACAGATTATGTAAACGTTGATCATCTCGATGTGCTCTTCCTAAATATCAGCAGATATTTCTCAAAACAGAGATTATTATGAACTTTTCTGGAATCTAATCAGTGCCTTCGGTGGAAATGTAAATACAACAGCAAAATACATCGAGTTTTTACGCACCTTTATTCGATACATACAACGAAGCATCAGACATTTTGATTAACAGAAAAAAAAACTTGATTGATGATCTTTTGTTTGTAAGTACAAAGGAAAAGGCATTTTTCGATGACCTTTAAAAATGATTCCTAAGTTAACGTGCGAAAGTTCAATAAGGTCAATAGGAACTTGAGACTGATTTCTATGCTGAAATGATTTTGTATGAAATAGAATAGATGTTCATTGTCAATGAGTTTGCCTTGAGAATTTTGAAGGACATGTTCCCTTGAGCACAATTTCAAAAGTCAGAACCTTCACTTCTTTTGCTCTCCAATTTAATCGAGTAAAGAATTAAATGTATATATTAAATTTGACAATAGTGTATCCTTCGATATTCGGATGGTTTTATCAAGAATGAAAAAAAGCAGTAATTAAGATCATTCTCAAAGGTCACTATTTGCACTTACGAATAAAATGAAACAATTGAGAATTCGACTGATAATAAGCAGCACTTGACAATTTGAAATTATACATTAGTGGAAGTTTTTTCTTCGTTAAACTTGTTAAAATGGATGAAAATTTCTTCCATTTAACCTTGACGATGATTTACTTCCAAGGATATACCTCATTATTTCGTTTTGTACAGAATCGAAATAAAATAAATGTCATTGAATGGCAGACATAAATAGACCACCATTTTGTGTCGGATATTAACATATGAAAAATAGGTCATCCTACGCAATCATACTTATGAATAGATCAAAAGAAAAAGAAATCGTTTATGCTTATATTTTAAAGGTCAAAATCAATTTAATGACAGATTATAATCAATTGGAGTAAAATTTGCCTTTTGTTTCAAAGTCTGTAGAGACATCAATGATTCAATTCTTAGAAATTCAGTACCATGCAAATATTATTTCGTATTTGTGAAATTTATGAGAGTACTTTCATGTTGATGGATGTGGGTGTGAAGGTGAGAGTGTAAGTGAGACTATTGGTGTCTCTTACCTTACTTACATTCATTCTTAAAAGATTAAGAGAGAGTCGTCATGAGACAATCGACGATTTTTCATGCGGGATATACTTTCAAATTTTTAGCTCGTTTGGATCTACATTCAAAAAGATATTCAGTAAACATTGAGCACTGGTACACTAGTACAAAATACGTGTAATATTTTACAAAACGTGTATTTTTTCGGAGGAAAACTATTAGAAATGCGTTATTATTTTTCTGGCTATTCTTTCATGTCCATTCAATATCTCTATCGTTTACTCGACAACCAGAATGAATTTTATATATTTAGATGGAACAAATGAAAAGCTGTCGAATGCAGTAAAAAGTTTTAAATTAAAGTTGCATGAAGTCTTCGTATACGCAATACAGTAAACTTTGTTATTGTATAAAAAAAAACATTTTTACGCACTTTCTTAAATGTTTTCCAAACAGAAACGTTTCTCAAGGCGGAAATTCGTTTGAAAGTGTTGGCGTTGAGTAGATAGATGTGTGATCGATGAGAAAATGTTGACCATTTTTGTCCCCCCAACTTCGGTTTGACACTTATTGATAAAGAATCTGAAATATCTGCTCCACGTTGTTTATATATTGATCAACGAAATGATAATTTATATTTTCTTGATTAAGATATACAAGGAAACTATTATGTTCTACATTTTATAGAAAATTTCAATTCTTATTATTGAAAATCGAACAAGATCTTATGGAATGTCTTTAGATAGAAATTCAAATATTTATATATCAGAATTCAATAGTCATCGAGTTGTTAAATGGTTAGCACCGAATTATAAAACTTATTTAATTGTTGCAGGAAATCGAACAGCAAGTTCTGAAGTAAATCGATTATTTTATCCACGAAGTATTTTTATTGATAAATTTACTGATAATTTAAATGTTGATGATACGAATCGAATCTAACGTTGGTCAGCAAACTCAACTATAGGTGAAATTGTCATGCAAGATGGTGATATATGTCCATGTGGAATTGAATGTGATTGTTATGGAAATATTTATGTATCTCAAGATAAAACAATTCAATTAATCAATTAATTAACAGGATTAAAAGGAACTAATATCATTGGAATAGAATATGATCCGCTCATGCTTGAACGACCAAATACAACTGAATATTTCCATTCTCCTGAAGGAATTTATATTGATAAATCTAATGGAAACTTGTATGTTGCTGATTCAGGTTTTAATCGAATATAAAAATATATTATTAAAAATTAAAGGGTGGATGTAGATGAAACAAAGCAAAAGAATCCACACCTCTTTCATTGTAAAATGTTTTGTTTCGCAAAATAATAACTATGGTCATTTCACTGATAAAACGGAAAATCGACAATAGGAATTTGGACAACGGAATTTGGACAACATTGCCGGATTTAAAAAACTGCCTAGAGGTAGGGTGAGGGTGCAGATGATGATGTGAGGGTGTGGATAGGTCTGGGCAGTAGGATACTACATGAAAATTTGTACTGAAATACTCCTAGGAAAGCCTATGCAGTTTTTCAAATCTGCAAGATTGTCCAAATTCCTATTGTCGATTTTCCACTAAACCATTTCACTAGATCACCACATCTTAGCTTCAATCGAACGAGTTTTTATTAAATCAAGAAAAGTATCAATACGATAACTTAGTATTCATCGTTTCGCTTGTTGATCAATTTTCGGTATAACTCTCTGTTTTTATTTTCATCTTATTATCATGCAGATATTTATTGAGTTTGCAGTGGTATTAGTAATTTTATTATCAAATCATTTCATCCCTCATTTCGTTTGATTATATTTGGTTTAATTACATTCCATAATATTCATTGACGCGAGTTATTCAATATACACAATATCAAGCAATTGAATATTTCACAATGAATCTTTTTTATTTATTGTATTTTATACCGAAAAATGTTCATTTGTCTATTTATTTCTTTGTAATTACAACGCTTGTAACATTTTAGCGAAGTCAGCTAGAAACCTATAAGGTCTTCATTGCTCAAAAGAAAGTATCATAAGATACTACAGATCACTTCCTGTGGATAAATAGGAGTTATGCTTTCACTCCGTCTTTTAGTTTTAATGAAATCTTGAAAAATACAAATCTGATTGTATCACAGTCATATTGATCAAGCCTATCATTATTGATGATCTTTGTTGCAATTAGTAAATAAACTATTGAGTATGACTCATACCTGCCACGTTGAATGTATGTAGCGACACACGTCTTATGAATCATATACGTCGAAGGTCTTGCGTTTATATATGATAATTTCTGTATCAGAAAAAGATCTATTAGACAAGCGTTCTGTTAGTTCTATTTTTATGGGAAATACACAAAGTAGTACGATATTAAACCTACCGAAAATCCATTTATCTAATGGTAATGATGAAATTTTTCGACCAGCACCTTTGCCGCTTGATCAAGATGGATTTATCGTGAGTTTTACTGTTGATCAGCAGAATGAAATGTTAGAATTTTTTGAAAAACATGGTGTTGTGGTTGTTTCCAATGTTTTACCTAATGAGCAATGTCAATGTAGTGTGGATGAAGTATGGCTTTTCTTACGCGATATGTGCAATCGAAATATCGAACCTGATAAACCAGAAAGTTGGATTAAGGGTTGGCCCAATTTTTCTAAATTTGGAATTCTTGGAAATGATCGTTGGTTATATCCTCAAGCCTGTGATAATCGTCAAAATCCAAATATCTACCAGGTATTTCGTACACTATTAGGTGAACATGAATTAACGGTTAATATTACTCGAGCTGGTATGATGCGGCCAACAAAAAACATCTATTTTCCTTCGACTAACCAAACAGAAGATCGAGATGATTGGAAGACAATTTCCGAATGGCTTCATCTCGATATGAATCCATTGACAGGCCGATCAACGACCTTTGGATTTGAAAGTGTTGCTGAAGGTCATTTTGATAGTTCATCTGATCCATCAACAGCGCAAATCAAATCAACAAATAATGGCATGCGTGTAAGAAAACTACAAGGTATTTTAGCATTAGTCGATTGTCGAGAAGAAGACGGTGGTTTTCACGCTGTTCCGGGCTTTCAACATTTTATTCAAACTTGGACCAAGAAAAATCAACAATTATGTATAGATGCAAATCAGAGTGGAGATCCAACGACTGTACAGATTCCTAAAGATGATCCTATTCGACAATATATACAACGTATGCCAATTCGAAAAGGTTCGTTACTCGTCTGGGATAGTCGTTTACCACATGGAAATTTTCCGAATAATTCCAATCAAATGAGAATTGTTCAATATCTTCATATGGCACCGATTTCTGATGAAGCTATTCGACCGTATCCATTAACAAAAGAAGATCTACCATCGGAGTTTCATCTTTCAGAATTAGGCGAGAAATTATATGGATTTAAATCATGGGAATCATCATTAGCAAAGAAACGTTTCCGAGAAGAAAGAAATTCACGAGTATTAGAAACAGCAAACTTCGAACGACAAGTGAGAACTGTGATGAAGTCGCAGTAAATTTTATTATTTACATACAAATCTTTTCTTCTTTTTTTCTTGTAAATAAAAATCAACGATTAATTTCTATAGTTGTTATCGTTGGATTCGTAACATTGCTTGTGAAAATACCACGTGCAATCGCACCACGTTCGATTGTTTCTAAATCTGTTTGATGTAAATGAACTTTTGCTCTTGCTACACGAAAATAAAAGCCCACAGCGAATAGAATAAATGGACAACCAACGAGACAAAGCGTAACTAACGCAGCTATCGCAGCCGTTTGAGAAAATCCGCTTACTTTGATCCAAAAAATAAGACACAATTCAATGATAAATAAAAACAAACCCAAACCCGTTGAGACAACCCACGCGATTTCAATATAAATATTCAAAGATGATAACGGTTTCGTATTTTCATTGTTCATCCAAACATCACTTTGTCGAATGACACTTTTCAATTCTGGTAAAATACACATAGACATCAAGAGAGCAAGTAGATGAATTCCAACCAATAAACATGAAACAATCGCATAACATATAATCAAAGCATCACCTGATTTGTGTTCAATATATGAATCTAATGATAATTCCACAATGGCGACCTGAAAAACAATCGAAACAATGCAAAAATCATCGATCTTGAAAACTTACGATAGCAAAGCCACTGAGTAAGGCAGAGGTTTCATTGACACTTTCCAGTTTCGATTTGCGATACAATAGATTATGTAATCGTTGATCTTCTTTATGTACATTTCCTAAAAATATGAACACTGATTATCCAATTGTGAAAACAAGAACTATGTAACTTGATGGTGTAGGTGCAACAGTATCGGTATTGATCCGCATTACAAGTTTAATCTGAATAACAAAGATAAACTTTTGACTAACCTTTACTCAATTCGTTTAATGGAAGAGTAGACATATTAATCCTTAGTTTGACTTTTTCTCGATTGATGTTATTGATGCATGAGAATATCGTTTGATAAGAACTGAAAATATTAATCTTGAAAATTCATTTGTTTCTTTTTCATAAGAACGATTCTTGTCTTTTTTTTTCGTTTTTGATACACGAATGTAAATAGTCAGATTAGTTTTTTTATGATATATTGAATAGAGATATGTAACCTTGCGTTTTTTTTTCTCGTTCTTTAGACAATGTGAGTGTACCGATCGAAATCTGTCTTTCACAAGAGATAAATATCTACACGTATAAAAATGAATAAAGAATAAGAAATATTTCTTCTGTCTTTCCTCGTAAAAAACGAGCGTTCGTGTTATATTAACAAGAACATACCAGTTGAACTTGAATTACGTCCATCAGGTATATGATCATCATCGTCATCATCGTCGTCGCTTCCATCAGAATTAGTTACCTCATGTTTTTGTCTGATTGATTGTCTTGTACACCACATGATACCTTGAGGATAACTGATTTCGGTTCTGATTTTCTTCTTAATATTTTCGATGCAAACAGCTGTCTTTCTTGACTTTCTATTCCCATCAATGTCAATCAGAAATAGTTTTTTTTCTTTCAAGTGACGTCTTGTCTTACGAGACAACCATTACAAAAGTTCTTTTGTAGACAAAATATCAATAAAAAAAAGTGAGCTAAACGTTCTTCTTTACCGACATCAACGCATTGATTTTATATTCTGACAAAAGAAAAGAAATAGCTCACATTACAACTCACCGCGCTATTTAAAGAAACGTTTTGATCATTGAGCAAGACTCAATGTAGAAGTAAACACATCATTATTAAGTACTCCGCATTCAAGGACGAGAAATCACGAACATTTTTCTCTATGTGTTTTACATTACTGAACTGTATTTGCACTCAAATCCTCCTACGTTTTCGAGTAAACCTATCACTGTCATATGTTATTCTTCACAGTCATACATGAAATAGAATATTGATTCGTAGGAGTGTTGTTTTCAAGATTATTTTGGATAATAGTCTTTTAGAGCTGCTTATCCTTTGTTTAGAAGATTGTTGGAGGAACAGAAGAAATGTCAAGCGAACTTTTTTCTCAGTACAAGTGCGTTTGTGAACATCGATTAAAAATATCAATTGTACTCTTTTTAGAAACGTGTTCTTCATGAGAAGATTTCCATATTAATTGATTCTACTACCAATGTTGAATATATTAACGATAGATTAGTTATCCATATGAAAGGATTAGTCGATTTCTTTCTATTTATAGTTTGTCAGTGCATCCCACGTGAACATATGCTCGGTTGTTGTTGATCTTAATGCAACAGGAACATTTTTCCTACTTCATTGAACATGATTTGTTCTTTCCGTGAAAATGTTCGAAAAAAGTGTGAAAGAACAAAAGTATTCTTTTTTAACTTGTTAGCCGTGTTTGAATAACATCGTTTTTCTCGGTTAACAACTATTAGTTTTGTCAATAGTGAGATAACAAAGTCGGCAACGAGTGTTTCTTAGAAAATCACTCGTTTGCTGGTCTTTTCATCGATCGACTGACGAGTTCAGAAACAAAAGCTCGTCTTTGAATGCCTTCATGTTTCATACGTTTTGTTGTTCCTAATGAAGAAGAACATTATGATCAATTTTCTTCATAACTGTCTGTCTTTTCATCTACTTTATCTCATTGACGAAGGTTGGATTCTGTAACAAAAAAAAAGAAGAAAGACGCAGAATTTTTTGTCTTATGTTACTCGTTGCTGTTCGCTTTGATTGTGTATTCCGTTTCCTTTGCGTTTCCCTCTCTCTCTCTCTCTATGTGCCTCTCGTCTTACTGCCGGTTTTTGAAATCACTCTTCATTACGTTACTTATCGCAAATACGCGCATACGACTTCAAACATCGTTTGCTACGGCAAACAGCAATCACACAACGATTAAGTCAAACACATACTCTTAGCATACAATGTAATCATTTCCGTCGACCATGGGTACAATTATAATCGTAACTACAGCTCGTCATCTTTGGTAGTCGATGTTATTTTGAATGTATGTGCGCATACATATATTTAGTTCTCTTTTTTTCTCTTCGCAACAGTTAGATAAAATTTCATCATGAGCCATTTTGCACGACAATCAGCACTTAAAACCAAATTTGCTTCATCATTCATATCCCGAACACGCAAATTTGTGCGTAAAGGCCTTAAAGGTAAGTCGACACATATTTCTCTAAACGCCTAATTAGTCAAAGAAAATAGAAGGTAAAGCTTATGTAATATAGGATATCTAAGCCTTCTGCTTAGTTTAACTTGAAAGAAATTCTAAAACATGAAAATTAAAACTGATGAAAACGCCCGACAGATTAGTTATTTGATAGTTTTTCTCGTTAAAAAATATATGTATTAATTATACAAGAATAGTTACTTGTCGTGCTTATGAATGAGTTAAACTGTCATCGTTTGAACGGATATCCGATTTGAATAGTAATTATTATCTGGATAGTTTTCGTCGATGATTGATAATTGAAATTGGCAATAGAAAACACATCGGGGATGCGATTGAAAAGATCTTCGAGTCGACTTGGCATGTCAATAGACCGACATATGTCGAAAGAAATGCTCAACAGCTGGAAAACATGCGTCGATATCAGATTCGACTAATAACACACACATCCGAAACTCATCAGATATCACACGATAGTCATTAGTAAACGATAACAGTTGTTCGACAAAAAACTTTGATTAACGCAAACGAAAGGCAAGTCGAACGACAAGTTTTTATTTGTCGGAAAAATCTATTAAAATGATTTTCTATTGATTGAACAATGACAGGTATTCAACAATTTTGTATTCTCGAGAGATATTATCACGAGTTGCAACTTGATGTGCATGCCATACTCGAAGATTAAATTGAGAAAAACATCCTTTTCTTCTTTTTCTTTTCTACGTGTTTATCTTTCGTGCAAAAGTATATTGGAAAAAAAAGCACAACAAGATCCTCAAGCACGACATATATATGTTGGCAAAGTGGAGAATAGATGAACTATTGTAAAAATAAAAGGAATTATGCTTCATCAATCGCTATAATTGACCTTTTCTCCTCATCGACATATGTTTTCTTAGCTGTATGAAGCCGATCTGATTAAGATCTAAATTAAGTCGAGAAAATCTAACACAAACGAAACACGACAGCGAGAAAAATTCAATCTATTTTCTCTCTCTCCCTCTTGTTCGCTTTCTCCACCTTGACAATATATTTCTTTCACTTTCTTTCATCGTCGTCACTTTCCTTCGAATAGAAAATATCGAGCCGATAGGTATTTTCTTTTCTTATCGTCGAATTCATATTGATCTTGATATCCGAGATTCTTCATTGAAAACAGAACTTTGAGAGATCTCTTATGACGATCATTATCAAAAATATGTCATGTATCGTCCCTCGAGAGAGAATACATATATCTATCCTTGTGTCAGATCCAATACTTTATAAATAATGTGCAGATAATTTGTCTTCTTATCATTGGCATTTTAAAAAATGAGATGAGACAAAGCGCTCTTCGATGCTAATAACTATGCAATGTATCGATCTGAGCTCGAGTTTTGTTCGTAGCTACTGACAGTTGCTTTTCTTCTTTCATTTTGTAGATCCTTTGTTTTTGAGATACATAAGTTTTTTCTTTTCCTCCAATTGCATATATTTCATCTCAATGATATACTGTGGCGTGTATATCATACAAAATCTTTCCCAATGCAATCAATTAAACAAAGATCACGAAGCTTAGGAAAATCTTGCAACAGCAGCAGATTTTGAGTCTTTCGTTTGTGATCCGATTAAATAAATTTCGCACAATGGGCGTTGCTATGGTGATCAGTGCACGATTCGGAGGAAGTAAGTGAATTTTTCAAAATTAGCCCGAAAGAAATCGTAATGCATATAGGGTGAAAATTTAATTAATGTTATAGAAAAAAAAAGGAAGATAATGGTGTTTTAACACGCATCGCTAATCCGGAAACCAACTTTTTCTCGATATATGTAGTGTTCAGGAAAATTTATCGATTATGTCGATGCTAAATAGGTCAAAAGTGAAGAGATTGGATTAAAGATACTTTCCATCAAATAGATTTAGTATCTACACTAACTTTTGCTGGTTTCAATTAGATATTTTTCTAATCTATTGCGAGAAATTCTTTTTTTCGTCAATGAAAAAAAAAGCCGGTGTTTTTCTCTACTCTTACAAGAAATAAAGCATTACTTTAGATGAATAATTGATGATTTCAGATGAAATTGTATTCCATTTGGTAAGGAATCACATTTTGAAAAAGTTTCGTTAAAAAACTGAGAAATTGAATTCATAAGATACTTCAGTGCAGTTGTCTTTGTCGAATGCGGAAACAATCTGACTAATTAGTTCGGAGATATTTTTCGAGACAGAGGTGACGATATTTAACCAGCAAATGTTTGCGTGTTTGGAAAAAGAAAACATTGACTGGGGTATTCGATGCTAGACAGATGTGTGGATCGACAATCTAATCGTTGATTTCTTTCCTTTCTGAACAAATTGAGTTTTCTATCGAGAAATGTCGTTATCAAATTTATCTTTTGGTAAGTTTCCCGTTTTCTTCTATATATGTGTGATAGATTGCGATCAATTACAATGATAGATTTTTTTCTATAGCTATAACAAAACTGTTATTCATCTTCGTTTCCTATAGAAAAATTTGTCCCTCTTGGCTGCTCGATTAACACATTGTTTATCTATCAATTATATTAACCACATTATTTGATATACTTGAGAAATAACAGATTGATGATTGTCTTTGAAAAACATATCGATCGTTAATAATAATAAAGCAAAATTATCTCTCTGTATATCAAAAACCTTTCATCAGTAGAATTTATCATTGTCAGCCAAATAATCATGTTGGCAATCATTTTCTGTTGACATTTAATCGAGTAGGGTGCACGATAGACATCTCTGTATCTGTCAAGAATAACTTCATCACCTTCTAGCTTATATAAAACATCCCAGTCGTTTTCTTGTATGCGTGGGTACGTGTTTCTTTCACTTGTTAATTTATCTAACACATTCTCGTCAAGAATTAATCTCTTTAGAGTTCCGAGCGAAGAGAAGAAAAAGAAAAGATAGTAGCGCGTATAAAGAAATATGCTCATCCATGAGCGAGAAGAATTTCTGCAAGTGACAAAGGAAGAAATCTATTTACTATTTGATCTTCTCTCCATTCGTCTGGAAGATAACAAAAGATTTGCAAGCAGAGTCTTGACTCTACTCGAGACTTTGATACATGGTCGGTCGTTTCTGTCATCATCATTTTTATTGAAAACACATATAGTCATTTGACTATATTCATTATTTATTATCATCGGAATTGTTGTTTTTAACGTTGAACATTTCTCTTCGTAGTTTTCTTTTCCTTGCTTATTCATGGCAGTTTTTTTTTATTTTTCTTAGCATATCGGAATCGACAGAGAGTGAGAGAGAGAGAGAGAGAGAAACGACGGTTTTTGTTTGAGGCAAAAAAGACACTCAAAATGTCATTTTTTTTTCATCTCTTCTCTGTCTCGACAAAGACAAACGTTTTTTTCATGGACGACGACGACAACAACTCGACATTCTATTCTCGCCTTCTCTCAACTATCATCAATACCCAGACCACCCGTATTCGTCTGAAATCTTCTTCTCCTTCTTTTCTCTCTCTTTATTTCGTACAATGTGCTATGAATAATTGATTATCCGCGAGTATAACATAGTTTCCTATCTAGAAAAGACGATTATTTTAGATACAGAAGAAAAAAAAAACTAAGAAAAAAAAAGGAACAGAGAAAAGAAAACAAAGGAAAAAACATGGCACAATCATTATTTTGATCTAGAAGGGACGGAGTCGATTAGATATTACTTATTATATAAATATATCTGCAAACACACACATCCAAATCGATTCAATGATGTCTCGTGATTCTTTCCTTTCGTAGGAGTCATATGGATGATCGACGATGGACGAATACTCTTCGTCCGTCTGCTGTAAGTTATTTCTCGTTTTCTTCATTTAAATTTCCTTGAAAACTTCGATTAGTAAGACGTGCTTATAATCATAATCGCATTCGATTGAATCGTGCGTTTCTCTTCGCGTCTTCGGCAAGATAAACTTCATTAAAACTAGACAACATAATCGTTTTTATTAGAATAATAAATCACAATATGTGCTGTTAAGTGCACACAAGTAGATCTGACATCATTTGCAAATAACACACTGAGAATAGGAATGATACAGACACAAATTCTTTCTATGTAAACATTGTCGAAAGAATTCTTATCAAAAGAAATTGATCAAGCTAATTTCGCTTCTTGTTTGTATTAGAGAAGAAAGAAAATCGCCGTGTCATTATCTATGAAATAAACTTTGCATGATGGCAGAACAGGAAGAGCGAGATCAGAGGTTTTTTATGATTGTTACCATCTATAAAGAACAATAATGAGTTTGGTGATAAAAGAAGTATTGAAGTGGAATTACAGAATGCATTTTACTTTATCTTGTCAGAAATGACACACAGAAGTAAGTTACATTCAACAGTGTGAGCAGATGTTCATCATGACTAAAGTGCGAAGTTAGAAACGAGAGAATGACAATGATTAAAGGACACTTTTTTTTCGGATATGAGATGTGTTTGATATTGAAATTTTGTTTAGACACTGATTTCGATGATGATGGATTAGAAACATTCAAACGTTACAAACCACGTAGTCTTGATGAATTAGCCAGTCGAACGAAGTTTAGCAAGAAGGAAATTCAACTGATTTATCAAGGTTTTAAACAAGAATGTCCGTCCGGTATGATTCATTAATGTAACTTTGCTTTTATTCATCATGTTTTTATTAGGCATTGTTAATGAAGAGACTTTCAAGCACATTTACGGACAATTTTTCCCGTTTGCTGATACCTCCTCCTATGCTCATCTTGTTTTTGCTACGTTTGATTTACGTGCATCAGGTTGCGTCACATTCGAAGATTTTCTCCTCTGTTTATCGACATTGTGTCGCGGCTCGATTGAAGATCGACTTCGATGGATATTCACGTTATATGACACAAAAAAATCGGGCAAATTAACGCAAGAAGTCGGTGCTTTTTCTCTCCGTTCAACTTCGACTGTTCCTTTGGATTGTTCTAGGATTTCTATGTAACTATTCGTGCGGTCTATTCCTTACTCGGTAATGTCTCCAGTCCACGTTATGATCTGGACACCATTCGCGAACACACAGCTTCTGTCTTTCAACGATTTGACAAACTACATCATGGATATATCACCATGCAAGATTTCATGTCATTTTGCTTAAGTGTACGTCAAGAATTGAGAACTTTCGTCTACATTGTCCGTTTTTCTTTAGGATCAGACAATGGTTCAATCAATTGATGGTTTACGAACGACGGTGTGATGAAGATTTTCATCCCGTCATCGATTCATGCTTTGTCTTTTTTTTTTGTTTTCTTGATATTGTCATCGCCGAAAGTGAATTAGTTATTCAAATCGAATGACTAATAACATTAATTAAATGAATCATATAAAGAATATTTGTGTCTCGCATAGGTGTGGTTATGTATTTATGTGTATCTGTTTTTCTTTTCGTCGTTTTTTTACGATCAGTGGAATCAGTTGTCAACTTTATTTTTCTTGTTGAGGTCAAAAATATCAAAACAAAATGCATTTTGTTTACGAGCGAATTTCCCGGATTTCTATTCGTCATAATTCCAAATTTTCGATCGATGATGTCGAGTTCGTCCTTGGACCGCTGTTTGGCACGCACTATGGCATGGGCGGATTACGCTCAATTATTTCGAGTGTTGATCACATTTTCTGCGCTTACGATAAGAAAACGCATCGATATATCGCCTGTGCTCTTGTGGAAAGTCATAACGAGAAAAATGTTCTTTATATAAAACTGTTCGGTGTTGCAGAATCTAATCAAGGTCAAGGAATTGGAACGCATTTGTTGAAATCAATTCAAAAGTGGGGAGAACGAGAGAACTACTCGGCGATTATTTTACATCCCCAAGTTAACAATCATAGAGCGATCGGTCTCTATGAGAAAGTCGGTTTTCACAAACAATATCTATTAAAAGACTTTTTCCGTCCACGCGAATTGCCTACATTTGTTGAAGTTTATGAACCCGATGCTTATCAAATGATTGTATATCTGTAACAATGTTCTCTCTTTTTCATCAATAAAGGACAAACACATCGACTTTGAATTAGTTAGCAAGATTCAGCTTTCGAAAGACTAACAGATAGACGAAGTTGTTCATTTGAAACTTTCGATTTTGAGTACGTTTGAATCACCTTGAAACTATCGAATGAATACACACCATTCATTGAAGCGTAAACAACATTTAATTTAGTCACGAGTATAAGCGTACTGATTTCGATAAGTATGCTAAGTAAACAAAGATGGATACGCCAGTTTTACTAATATTCTATATCAAAACATCCTCAGATTCTTCCGATATTCGTTCGGTTGTGATCAAAGATTATTTTTCCAAGTTAACCACCAATGTCAAAGTCCTTTATCCCACGCAAATTCATTCCGGACTTTTATTATGTAAATCCAAACGCAGTAAATCCATCGGCGTTGTTTCTTTTCCGAGTCCAAGCGTTTGTTTTCTTTTTCATAGCGGAAGAGAAACTCCTCAATATGCGTCATACGCTTTCCAATGGCTCAACAATTCACTTATCTCATCCGCCTTGTTCTCTATTTCAACAAACTAAATGCTTTTTTGACTCACATCTGAAGCAATTCAATGAAATTCGCTCACATTTACAACAATGTTTACCATTTCTCCATACTTCCAGTTTGACAACTGTTTGCCCTTTAATATAATGAATTTCACTCGTATTCTAGGCGGAAAAAGTGAAATGACTTCCGACGGATCAATTCTATTAGAAGGTCATATTTTCATATTGAATTCAATTCATTCATATCTCCTTCATAAAGCGGCACAAAAACAGCAAACAAATCTTCCTGACTCCTATGAGTTACGCAGTGGTAACTTGACTATCACGGTCATGAGCGGAAAACTAATGGAACAAAATGTTGATAGTATTTTGTAAGATACTCGTAGAATTTCTTTCGGAAAAAGTTTTTCTTTTGAAGAATTCCAATGAATAGCCGTTATAAAATCCATGCAGCGATCGATGAACAAATTCGAGCATTTGGAAAAACGAATCTAGCCAGTTATCTACGAGAATCAGCACAACGAGATACACGGGTGTTTGACGGCAAAGTATGTGTGAAATGACTTATTTTCCAGCAAAATAAAGATTAGAAAATAGATTATTATCTATCCCAATCGTGAATTTCCCATTCCAGCCAAGGTCTTAATCATATTCGTTGTTCCACGTTTGATCAATGATGAAACTACTAAGGAGAAGTATCCTATCAACTCGTATCAGTCGACTTATGAACAAATTATTCTTAATACTTTGCAAACGATCGATCAAAGTGGAATAACAAGTCTTGCTATGCCAGTTCTTGAGCCGAGTGGTAAATTTTTGTGTTTCGTTTTCGTCTGTTGATGAATTTGTTTTAGTCAAATCGTTTCCGGAGAGACGCCCTGCGAACGAAATGGCAGTTCGAGCGATGGTCAGTGCATTTCGACGATTTTCCATGAATTCTTCGATAAAATTAAAACGAATTCTTGTTGTTGATCATCATGTGCAAATCACGCGAATGAGCAAACGTGTCAAACAGTATCAAAGTCGAACGCAGACAAAGGCGAGCACGAACGTGAATTTCACAGCTGATGATGAACAGACATTTGCCAATGTTTTCGGTGTGCCGAAAGTTTCCGATGTTCCATCGAGTGCGGGTGAAAGTGACGAAGAAGCTGAATCCGAGGAGTATCAATTACCTTACACAGATCATGCAAGATCGTAATAAAGCGCAGAGAAAATCTTTTTTTTGATGTAAATGAATTTGATTTTACTAATGGGAAAAGAATAAATTTATTTTTTTTTGTCTCGATATATGACAGTCGAATCAGAATTTTGTAAAAGAGATCTATGAGTTCACGAAAAAGATCTTTATCCAAGTTTGGTAATATGTACAAGAATTCTAACTTCGGAGTGCTTGTAAACGTCGTTCCATATCATCCTCTTCACTATCGTCGTTTGCAGCAGCGGCGGCGATTGCTCCTTCTCTCGCGTGCATTGTCGTACCACCAAGCGCAACACTTGGTAATTGCCCAACTTTACCTAAAATTGAACATTGAGCAACGTTTACAACAAAAAAGTCTAGTTGATTTCTTACCAGCAAGAATTTCATCCAAAACTTTAGCGACTTCTTCGTCAGTTTCTTCTTCAAGATCGTTATTATCCATCGCAGCATCCACAGCTTCGTTCATCATTTCACCCATAATGCCCATCTAGACGAGATAGGAATATTCAAATAAAAGACAGTTCGTTTCAGGGCAGTACTTTGATAAGTTCTTTCGAAAATTGTCCAGCTACAGATTGAAATTGTCCGACTTTCATTAATTGCGCCATTGAACGTGCAACTTCATTACTCTTTTGCATAATTCCCGTAATTTTCACATTGGCTAAACAAAAATCAAATTGTTTCATGAACAAAGTCGTCTGTATTTACCTAATTGATTTTTCACTGCATTATCGATCGTATCAAGATTCGCTTTGGCGGAGTACAATCGACTTTTGTCATGTTTTATTCTATCAATCAAACCAGTATTTATCCGGTTTCTCTTGGCAATGTCGAACTTACTTGACAATCGTTTTCGCTAATGTACGAAGTGCTTCTTTGTTACCAGTTGCCGCATGTTTACGAATATCGACGGAAAGACGTTGAATTTCTCGGTCTGAACCTTAACAAAAGAGAATTCTTTACTGAAAAGTTTAATATGGTGTAGAGTAATCAGGTTCGTACGGTTTATCTCTCGCTCAAGTTGACGCTTTTCATGACGAATTTGACTGCTAATTTCGCGTGTCTAAAACATTCGTCAAAACATGATTTTATTTGCGGAAATCAAATTGATATACCTGTTCCTTCGCTTTTTCATACGGAGTTCGTCGATCGAAAAGACTCATGATGATCAAATCAAATGAAGGAAAAGGAAATAAATAACACAAGATTTCTCTCTCAGTCTCAGGTGGTTAATTCGTCATTCCCATTGGTTCTTCTCGGCCAATGAACTTTTTCTTTCAATCTATAACACAACGAGAAAATATTTTCGATTTTTTAGAAATCATATCCAAAGATAAATAGATTTTTTTCTTTCCCAGCGAAATCTTTTGTCGAATCGATTAACGTTGACAGTAGCGCCTCGACTTTTTTGTTCAAAGCCAAATGAATCATTTAAAACATATATTTTCTCCCTTTCATTTCGTATACAAACGAGACAAAAGAAAAAGTCGATCAATGAATTATTCGCCATCCATAAGAAAATGAAGATTTTGCAGTCAACAGGACTTTGAATCATTTTCATTATCTTATCTTTTCATTTGTTTTGTTACAGGCCTTTTTCATCGTCATTTTCACCTCATAAACAGCGAAGAAAAGATAACTTTACTTTTAGATTGTTTCATACTTGTGCTCGGTCATCGATTTTGCAGCAGACAAACCATGCTCGATTTAGTCCAGTCATCGCTCTTGTTTCTTCTCTTTTTTTTGGTTCAAGGTGTTGCTGCCATGGGAGCAATGGATGTTATTGCACTTATTCTCGGTTTAGCGATGTTAATATTCGGCATTTGTGCATTGATCGGTTTCTATGCACGAAAACGTTCGGGTTAAGACTGACTGAACTAGATTTTTTCCATTGACTTTTTATCAACTTGCTTTTTGACAATGTTATAATGTGTGTTTTCGTGTCTTTCGTCGTATTTATTGATATTTTAATAGAAAAACAAATGTGAATAAAAACGAACAAGTGATTTGGAAAAACGAAACTCTATCTGATAATTGTAGGGCGTTTTCATGACGAGTTCCACAACAACAACACGACAAATTCATACGGTTCTCGGCGGTGGCTTACGATATGAACCGGTGGAACTGATCCTTTCGGCCATACCTAATTTCGAATTGAAACAAAAAGGAAGAATTCTTCAATTGTTTGCAGAGGTAAGGAATCATAACGAAGAGAAGACATGTTTTCATGCAAGAAATTCAAGAAGTACTTGATGAACGTCAAAATAATCTTGATAGTCTCCTTGCTCATAATCAAGTTAACACATCGTTAGGCGAACCATTTGCATTCGAATCTGAAATTGATACGAATACGTATCCAGTTGATTTGCCACCCAGATTGATGAATGAATCTTCTCAGCCAATCAATGAACCAGATACGAATCTATCAAATGAAATCGATTCTCATACGCAGACAAACTCTTCTTGGCTCTCAAGAAAGAATCCAATCAAAATCAAAAAAGAATTGATTACACCAGTAAAAAACGGAGTTTTCCTTCAATTCAATCTTTGATATTTTCCTTGTAGCCAAAAGCAAAACGTCGACAGTCCAATGTTAAACGCAACACGACATCAGCGGAAACACCATTACGTCAAATGACATTGACACAGTTATTTGATCCTGCTCCATCACCTAGAAATTCCTCTCCAGTTAAACGAGAACCAGAAACACCAGATAATGATACGACAACATTTATGCCTGAATCATTGATTGGTTTAGCTCAACTATCAGATGATGAAGATCAACCATTGCCATCTCATCGATCACTACTCAAACGAAAAGCTACTTCTTCACCTTCACCTACTCGCGACATATCTCAACCAGTAACGACAGACGAAGAAGAAAACGTTCAAAATAATGCGATTCTTCAATCGCCTTATTCTGGTATTGAAAGCGAAGAACTACTCTACGCATGTCCAATGTGTCGTAATTATTGGCTTGGTTTGCCTGAAGAACTTCGTCATAAGCAGGGCTTAACCTGTCGGCATCGACAACGACCAGTCGCTCGTACTCCTGAACACTTTTGGTCGTTAGGTATCCCAAGCACGCAAACATGCATAGAAAGAGGATATGGTGGTGTTCTCCCTCCAGATAAACCAATCGAACGACCAAGACGTCCAAGGAGACAACATCAACGGCAATTACAAGAACAACAACAAAATCATCGTCGAGAGCAAGATAGTGAAGAAGAGTGACCTTCTTCACCCTTTTTTTGGAATCAATCTACCTTAGTTTTTCTGTTTTCTTTTACACTTTATATTCATTATATAATCTTTTCTATATGTGAAAATAAAAGCAGAATTTGTCTGAATAGAATTAGATCAACCGTCATCTTTGACATATACATACACACAACATTGTACACATTTATTTATGAATTCGATATAAATAATGATGAACATATTGACAAAGAGCAAAATGATCGGACAAACATTCTATACAACATACTCATTTCGTGTGACTTGAGTATTGAAATCATCGTCTTCAATGGTCTCTAACGATGAATAAGCGCGTAAATCGAGAGCAACAGGTAGATTCTCTGATACAATCGAATGATGAACAATAAGAGAATTCAATGTTGGAAAAGCCTTTTTAATTCCCTAAAAGACACCATTTGAATAACTTCAATTATTCGAATAAGCATTCTCTTACTCTTAAATGATAACCATGTTCATTACGATCAATTAAATAATGTACAACACACGATCGTTTCATATATTTCGGTACACGAATCGACAAAACATATGTATCTATTGGTGTTGTGATTGTTGTTGGTCGTCGAACGAAAAAGCTTCCAATTGAACGACACGATAATGCATCTTCTACCGCTTCTCTAATCAAAATATACAAATTATTGTATATATTAGTTGACCTATATCCAATACCTCGTTGTATTCTCATGTAACCACGGAGTCTCTTCGTCTTGAATGCTCGATGTTGATGGCAATGATGAAGAATGTGGCGCAAAACTAAATGCGAACAATCCAATGTTAATTTTCGAATTCCGGTGGGTTTTGTTCGAGCAGAAGATACGCGCATATCCGATTTCCATTAGACATCACTTTTCTTACCTTTTAAGAACGATCGACGATGGGCGATGAATAGAAATAATCGAATTCTGTATACTTTTGAAATCATCACTCAATGATGAATCCGTTTCTTCATTACTATCAACCATAGTTGTCGACGTCGTTATGACCTGTGTCGATCTGAACGAGATAAATCCAATAAACTATCTGTATGTTTTGTTAAACAAAGAAATGTAACATTACTTGCTCTTTTTTCTTCGATTGGTATTATTATTGATAAACGTTCGTCGTATAGTTTCGAACATTGTCTGGAAATGAGAGACAATAAACAATTTACCTGTTATCTTTTCTTCAAATGAAAGAGTTTAAGTAAACGTTCGTTCTGTGATGCAATTGCCAATGATCAATTCTGTACACACGAACAAATAAGAGAGGAAGAGAAGAGAGAAAGAGATGATAGACGTGTGAGAAGAGTTGATTAGGTTATGGTCCAATAACAACAGAAAATGTCTTGTTTGATCTTCTTTTCTTCTTTCTCCAATACAAAAATATCAAATAGCTCTGATAGTTATCCATCTTCACTTTAAGCTGATGATTAGTGGGATAAACGCTTGAGAAATCTTTCTTCGATACTGTCGAGTGACTAGCATCAACTACTTCGAGTCGATTGTGTAATCGAACTCTCGTGTAGACGATTCTTTCTTTCTTTCTTTTCATTGTTGATAGTGTCGTTGTGTTATGTCAGTCTTACTGTAAGTTGTATATTTCACATTGACATATCCTATCAGAATATGTATGAGAGGTAGAAATAAAAAGCAAAAGATTAGATCTCAGATGACAATCAACTTTATCGAAGACAATTCCAACGAACGGTTTCTTTTCGTTCATCTCTAATTACATCATCAATCAGTATCGTGCATTAACGAGAATTCTTCTCTCATCTCGAGTATCCCGATTAAATATTCTTCTCGATCAAATCATCTCTTTATAATTCTCTTCATTTATTCGAGAAAAACTTTTGGCAAAATAGCATGCATGACTATCGATGATAATGATAAACTAAAACATCACACTTAGAAGAAGAAAAAAAAACAGCAAAATCCAAATAAATATAAAGTTTTATTGAAGAACGATTATTATGCCACTCGGTTCGTCCAAACGAGCCATAGTGCATGGATACAACCAGGAATCATTCCGAGAACTGTTAATAAACTAAAACAAAACATTCTCTGCAAGTAGAAACCTTCGGAATGACTTACATATTCAAGAAAAAGTGTAAAGTACATCCAACTTGAATCAGAGCAGCAACTGGTGGAAGTAAAATTGCTAAGATTGTTAAAAGACTAAACGAAAAAGTGTTTTGATGAATGAATTTTATCGTCAGCGACCTACATTGTTCCAAGTAAACCCATGGTATCAATCGACAAGTTGTACAGAAGAAAAAAAAACCGATGTGTACTAACAATTTTTTGTTACCCACTGGTACCAATCTCTTTTTTTCCTTCTTTCTTTCTTTCTTTCATCGACATTGCAGTGATATTTCTACACTTTTTCTTTCTCAGTGGTATTTTTTGCCCAGCACATCTATAAATGGTATCATCCGTTCGATTTGCACATATAACACTCCTCTTTTTCCATTTCTTTCTTTCGTTCTCATTCACCATAGCCCGTCTGCTGCCATTGTGTATAAACACAAACTCGTTCGACTTCCTGTTTGTGTTTCTATATGATTAAAACACTCAACTCAATACGAATAAATAAAATGATCTTGTTTTGTCTTGTTCGATACAAGGTTATGAGATAAATTAGAAGGAAAATGGAATTGGATCATCAATTATCTGATAGGATTCTTCGTAATAGAGATTTCATATGTTTTGACAGGAAAGTCTTGAAGAATTTGCTGTATACTCGAGCATCGATTAGACAAAACAATAATAGATAAGAAAAACATAGACGAAGGTTATTTTTTTATTTAAGTTTCCGACATAGATACATAAAAAAACAGCACTCAAATAATCAACATACGTAACATACTTTTGAATCTTACATGCATATTTCGAAAAAAAAATGCGTCGTCTCGAGATATTTTTGTTGTCGAAACGATCGAACTTAAATTAAAATATAAACAAAGTTCATAGGGTTACTGCTTTTTTGTTTGTAATGTAATATTCATTGTATCTATACTGAAAGAAAAAACGTTAGTTACTGGACTGGAACGAGCATACGTTTCGTATGTAAACGCAAAAGTCAATGTGTGTATGACTAGAGCATGCTTTCGCTTTTACGTTCGTTTTTCTTATTAAACTAATAGCGCGGATGTCGGGATGACTATTCTCTATGGTTTGGCGTCATTAATATTAGCATAATCATCATATGGATCGATTTTATTTATTATTAAATCATACTCTTGGCGGGTAACATCGCTTTTAGTAGATACATCGTGACTCAATCAGAACATGTTCGTCACTGTCTTTCCTCGAATATTTAGTTTTAGATATACCATTTGCTTCTTAGATCTTTTACTATTAACGAATAAGACACTATGAGCGAGTTATTAGGGAAGATTCTTCTAACAGCATTGGCGATTCTATTACCACCAGTAGCGGCAATCATTCGAGTAAGTGTGCATTTTTTAACAGTTAATTAGCTACAAACAGAACAACAACGACGACTATTTCTGATGAAAATAGGTCGGTTGTTCAACGCATTTCTGGATTAATGTGGCATTAACTATCTTCGGCTGGATACCTGGAGTTATTCATGGAATATGGCTTGTTTGGGCTGGCCCGGCGACTGTTCAGTAGTGTGTATATAAAGTGAAGCGATTCGACAGACAACTTTACTTTTCTAATATTCAGTTGAATATCAATTTTCAAACTTAGTTATTCTTTTTTTCTCTTTTGTTATGCAGGCGTGTTTTTTTCATATCTGATATATGGAGATAAATCGAGTAAAAAAAACTAGGTCATATGTATGGAAACATGGGTGGTGGAGGAAGAGCTTGTTGGGCTTTCTCAGGATGAGGATTAAGAGCTGAAATAGGCAATGGCGGCGGTGGCTGCTGCTGAGAATAAAGTGAAAGAGATGACATTGGTTGTTGGCGATAAGGAGGCATCATTTGTTGTTGTTGTTGCTGCTGTTGATAGAAAGAAAATTGTTGTTGAGGTGAAGAGTAATATGGATATTGTGGCCTCGAATACGGTTGAGATTGTATTGGTAAATGAGGCGGATAATTAAATTCATTGGGAGCAAAATCACGTCGTTGAATTTCTTCGTGATATTGTCCTGTAGCTCGGTCAAAATGCCGTTCAATAATTTCACCATGATCGCCAGTGAAATAGCCGATTTGAACTTTATCAATACCACGTTCAGGATCACGGATAGCTTTTTTCGTTTGCCAGACACCTCCTGGACCCAAACGACGTTCTTTATGCGCTTGAACAACATGCGGTCGACCATCCGGACCCTGTGTGATTTGCGTAACGTTCATAGAACTAACGCCAAATGCTTTTCCATAAGGAAAGTTCGGCGTTAAACCTATATTTGGTCCCATCCCAGTAATTTCCGGAATATTTCGCAAAATTTCGCCCATTAACTGATGAGCAAGACCAAAAAGTGAGCCTAATAGTTCGCCCTCATTCATCTCGTTATAGTTTCCATAATTTCCATTGGGTCTGTTGTACTGCTGATTCATGAGTGGAGCACGATTATGGTTATACGGTGTTAACATTGTTTAAAGTTTTCTTCGGAAGTCAAATGAATTGTAGAATACGTATATGCAACGTTTCGTAGGTTGTAAATGAAAATGTTCAATGAATGAGACGAGTCGTGAATGTTTTATGTATATTTGTTGGTCATACTTCGATGATTTGTCCTTTTCGTCTTTACTTTATTGCATTTCTTTCATTTTTCATTTCTTCATTGCCTTTCATGCCATAATCAAACAAAAGAAACTGATTAGATCAGTATACATTTATGACAAGGTTTGATTCTATTATAGTTGCCCATACCTTGAACTTCTTGCTTCGAGTACCGTGAAGAACAGAAGAGAGAAAAAGCGAATCGTGTTCGTGTATCAGCTACCGAGATTTCTGATAGATATTCTCAGAATTCGTTTATTCGGTGTTCAATGTTTTGCTTTCATAATCAACGAAACAAGCAAAAGGATTCATCAGATTACGTTCGTGTCGAGGTTGGAATGTTACTCGATCAGCAGATGGAAAGAATTCTTTGATATTTTCTTCTTGGATAGCACCTAGAAACAAACGTTCATTTTGAAATCTCTTTGCTTTTGCTTACCTGTGCAAATGATATGTTTGCATGGCGGTGTTACTTTACCAATAAGTTTAGCTAAATGAGAAACTTTCTCGAAACATTCTCTAGAGAGAAATGGTGGATCGATGATCAAAACATCGAATGAATGTTTTAGATTGGCATAGTTTTGTTCAATATGCTCATCGTCCTTATAATCATATTCAACAAATGAATGATCACCAGTATCGAATCGAGTATCGTATTCAAAAAGAACATTGTGGATTTCCGGATGTTCCTAATCGATTTCGAAATAGATTAGCACATCAGTTTTCTCAGACAACAACTCCTACTTTTCGCATCAAACTCCAAACAGTTGGACAAGCAATGAATGCGCATCTAGAAAATTTTCAATACACAATTTCAATCACGTTAGATTCTTTTGTAATTCAATACCTTCCATTTTCAGGTAGGATAGCAACGACTTCGTTCATCAATCGATTAGCTGTTTCGTTATTATACCAAAATTGACTCAATTGCTAAAGGTATGAAATTTTTCGAAAAAGATCTATGTTATTCAAGGCGATTGAAATGAAATCATTGCAACACTAACCCAATCTTCTTGTGGTAGATTGGCAGCTCGATTTTGCTCTTGTTCTTGTTGCCATTCTTGCAAAGCCTTCAGCGTTTCAGCTGATAATTGTGGTGGACCATCATCTTCGGTGTCAATCATCGGAAAATAAAAAGCAAACAAACGGAAATGGTCATTGCTGTTTTCTCTTTATTTTACAATCAAAAATCAACTAAGTTTTTATTATGCAGAAGTAAAAAACTCTCTACTAAAACTGTTCATTTCTGTAAGGGTTCTTCGTTAGTTTTCTTCTCGTATTTTTCCACTTGTTTTCCATCGACATTGACTTCTTCCTTTTTATCTTCACGAATTTTTCGATGAGTTCGCTGAGTATTCCATATCGATGCATAACGGCCGTTTTCTTTCATTACCAATTCATCATGTGTACCTTGTTCAACAACTCTACCTTGATCTAAGATGATAATATTGTCACAATCAGTGACTGTACTTAGACGATGGGCGATGACGATCGAAGTTCGATTTTTTGTTAGTTTTTGAAGCGAATTTAGAATAGCCTAAGACGAATTCGGTGAACGAAGAGTGAAATAGAAAGGCAATTTTACTTGTTCAGTAGCTGTATCTAAATGAGCGGTTGCTTCGTCATAAACAAGAATGATGGGATCCTTAAGAAGAGCACGTGCAATGCTGATACGTTGTTTTTCCCCACCGGATAGTTTTAACCCGCGTTCACCAACGAGAGTATCATATTTCTTTGGCATACGCAAAATAGCATTGTGCACTTCGGCTAGTTTAGCAGCTTTGTAAACATCTTCTTTCGATGCTTTTAAATCTCCGTAATTGATGTTATAAAAAATTGTATCATGGAAGAGAATCGAATCCTGTTGAAATAGAAAAGAAGTTTACGACACATAACGAAAGAGGATATAAGTCATTTTTACTTGAGGTACAACACCGATAGCTTTACGTAAGCTTGAAAGAGATACTTCTTGAATATTTTGATTATTGATACGAATTTGACCGCTTTGAGGATCATAGAATCGAAAGAGAAGACGCACAATCGTTGATTTCCTAAGATATACATTTTCATAATCGAAATTTGAAAATTCATAACAAACTTTACCCTGAACCTGAACCACCAACGATTGCAACTTTGTGTCCCGATGGAACAGTGAAAGAAAGTTTATCCAATATCTTCTGTCCCTCTTCATAACCAAAAGTAACATTATCAAAAACAATCGATGAATGGTTGGTGCTGATATCTAATTTTGTTGCTTTATCTTTGTCCTAAACCAACCTGAATCATTCAAAAGTGTAATACTAAATCAGCTTACTTTAACATTAGCTTCGACCATTGTTAAACGAAACATAGTCTCCATATCAACAACCGATTGTTTCACTTCACGAAAAACTGAACCCAAGAAATTCAATGGCATCGATAGTTGAAAAACAAGACCATTAACTGCAACTAAATCACCAACCGTCATCGTACCGTCGTTGATTCCACCAGCAGCTAATAACATAATCGCAGTTATACCCAAACTAAATATGGCATTTTGACCAAAACTAAACGAAAAGAAAGTTCATCTTCTGAGAAAAAAATGTCTTGTCTTAAGCAAACTTTAACATGGCCAAACTTGTTTGAGTTTTAATCGATGCTGATTCATATTCTGAGAGAGTTTTATCATATCGGTCAAGTTCATGTGCTTCATTATTAAAATACTAAAACTATAATGGTAAACATTTATTCAATACAAAGATTTCGATCCATACCTTGACCGTCTCGAAATTAATCAATGAATCTACCGCTCGATTGCCTGCTTCATTATCCGCTCTATTCATCTGTACGCGAAACTTTGTTCTAAATATTTAATCTTGTTCTTCTTATATCGATACAAAGATTTCACCCGACCTCCATTGAGTTACAGCCAAAGTGTATGCAGTATACCCAGCAATGCAGCCGAAAGCTAAATAAGCCTTGTGTTTGTTTCAAATCATCTCAGTAAAAATCTATCTTACCAATTGCTCCGTATGAAAAGCCGAATTTATACCACTAAAATTTGAATTCCTATAAATATTCGATTTGAATATCTCGTTCTTACCAAAACTCCACTGACCAATCCAACTTCGAAAATAGTTGGCACGATGTTGAATACCAATGCCGAGAGAACAAAACTGATGCCTCTATTTACACATTATCGATTAGTTCAATTGAAAAGAAAGGTTCTAAAGAAATTGATTTACTTCGTTCCACGATCAATCGCTTTTGATAATGCTCCTGTTTGTCTACCCAAATGGAAGCTCAAGTCAAGATTGTGAATGTGTGAGAAGACTTTTTTCGCCAATTCACGAATACTGCGATGAGCAACATTAGCGAATATTGCATTTCGCAATTCGCCAAAAAGAGCAGCACCAGCTCGTGCAGCACCATCTAAACACAACAGAACCTTCTCCAAGTTGACAGGTCATAGGATTTCGTTCTTACATCCGATTAGCAGTGCAGTGATCATGGAGATGACAGCCGATTGAGTTGTATCTCCGTGTAATGTTCGGCCTTTATTCAGTTCATCAACTAAATATTTGAACATGAATGGAACGCTGATATTCAATAACTAAAGAAAATGGTGAGAAATTAAGGATTTCCTAAGAGAAAATATACTTTTGAAAGTAAGAGAAGTGATAATGCAATGAGAACACGAATTTTCACTTGTTTGCCAGTTTTCGGCCATATAAAATCTAACATTGCCTTGAGAATATATCGTGTCGAAATAGGCTTTGCTGTTCCAGCAATATCCGCGCTTGTTCCCGTATTCCCATGACGCCCATGCCATTTACGCTAAACAAAAGTTCACAGGTTTTCTTTCTTCTAAAAATTGAACAAAAGGAACATTTACCAGAAACACTCGCAGAATATTTCGACTGTTTCCAAACAGTTTCGATGACGATTTCACATTTACCTAGCAAATTAACTCCAATAAACCTCTTTGAAATGGAGAAAAACTCTTTTACATGTGTGTAAGTATGACGAGTGTTCAATAAAATCGAAGACTTCAGAAATATTCTTAACGGACTGCTGGCTACCGGTATAAAACAATATTGGTGAGTACATTTAAACAATGGAGATGAAAAGAGTGTCCGCCGTAAAAGCGGATTCATCTCAATAGCAACGAACCGCGCTTGTATCCGAACAATCTACAACCAAATTTTTAAAATAAAATATCGAATCTAAAATAAATAGCCTACACCAAGAATCCATCTATCCATCGAATACCATACGCATTCTTATTGGTCGATTGATCATCCAATGAAAATCCGAGGTCACCATTATCACGTTCCTTTTATTTATTTCCTTTTCCTTGCACATTATAGGTTGGTTCATTTGGACGGTGTTTGTTGTTCTATTTGATTTGAAATATCTTTTCTTCAAGGCTATTGTTAGATTCCTTATTTAGATCATTCGTGTTTCAAACTTTCCATCATGTCGGTTATCCGTCACAAGGACGGTCATCCCAATGTAAAATTTTTCGAATCAGTTGAAACATTAAATCAGTTTGATACAATTCGGAAAGCGTTACAGAAGAAAGAACTGAAAAAAGTCTTTGGTGACGATCAAAGCCATCTGAATAAAGAGAACATCGCTCAACTTGTTATTCAATTGTTACATTTTCAAGAAGATCATCTTGGAAAACAATCCAATGGTTCAGCACCACTCATACGCATTCCTGTAAGACAAAGAAAATCGAACTTCTCATTTTTTTTAACCATTTTTCTCCTTCAGATGGAATGCTTCTTAGATTTTCGAGAAACAGGTGCACTCTATACGATTATTTATGGCTGTTATGAATACAAAAACAATAACAATTGGTATGAAGCACTCTCAAGTTTGCTTTGTGTGATGAAAAAGGTTCTTTGTTTAGGAAAAAACTTGATCTATCGACACACTCTCGACCTGAAGTCATCAAACTATTTCAATACATTCAAAAGTTGTTAATCGAACGGAATGTGTTAACATTACCGATTTGTTATTTACGTCCAAATATTGAGAAACGATTACAAGCCCAATTGAAACAAATCATCGAAAAGAACAACGGAACGGTCGCCGAAAAAGAAGAAGATGCGGATCATATCGTCTACCCACCAATAACCGAAAATCCAAAAGAAATCGATAGTGAACGTGAAAGTAAGAATAATGAGTAAGAAAGTGTTTTTATTTATAAGAAATTTTCTGTAGATGAAATCGTTCGCGTGGTTGAAAAACGTGGCAAAGATTGCCGTTTGCATTATTGGTTTTATCCGGATTCATTTGATATCTGGGTATCGAATGTCGACGCTGAAGAATCCGAAAAGCGGGATGAAACTTTCACAGGTATTTGGCACGTCGCTGCCAATTGGATTTTAGACACAGCTGAATTCAATGAATGGATGAATGAAGAAGATTATGAAATTGACGAAGATTTGGTATGAGGAAATCGTTTTCGTTGGAGAAGTGAAAGTTGAATGTTTTAGGGACGAGAACAAGGAAGAATCAAATTGAAAAATTGTGTTTCAGGAAGAAAAACATTATCCGTGGTAAGGAGACGTTATTCGATCATGAGCGATTTTCTTCTTTCATCCTATTTGTCTGCAAACGAAAACTGAATAGAGATTATTTTTCATTTCTCTCAGACAAAACAAAGAGAATAACCCAGAAGATTATTTTGCATCATGTTTTTCAGCTTGTTCCTGATCGTAAAACTGCACCAAGTCCAACAACGGTTTCAAGTGGACCAACGAATAACTCGAAGAAGCGCGGTGCAGGGAATTCAGCAGCTGCTAAACGAAAGTAAATCGAGGGTATTTGTACAGAATAAAAGAATCTGAATTTCGAATTTTCAAAGTAAAAAGAAGCGTGGTGTTAGCGGAATGGAAATAGATGAAAATGATTTATCGAAAGACGGAGAAAATTCTCTGTCTCAATCACTTTTCGACGATCAAACATCATCAAGAACACGTAAGAGTTCGATTTTCAGACTTTAAAGAAGAAACATTCGGAAAATTTTAGCATTAACTGGCCAAAAAATTAATGATTCTCAATTACCACGCGGTGGTACGTCGAATGACTTAAATGATGATGAAGATGCTGATGATCAACAGATCCAAGGTGATTCCAATCAAATGAAACGATTTCACGAACCTGATGCGTGTGAACAAACGCATCATATTGTTGTTCCTAGTTATTCGGCATGGTTTGATTACAATGCTATCAATTCCATTGAAAAACGTGGAGTAAGCGAGTTCTTCAATGGAAAAAATCGATCGAAAACACCTGAAATGTAAGACATCTTCTCTTTTTGTTCTTCTCTTTATTTTATCTTTGTTTATTTAGTTACATGGCCTATCGAAATTTCATGATTGATACTTATCGTTTAAATCCAAGTGAATATTTGACTGTAACGGCATGTCGGCGAAATCTTGCGGGCGATGTTTGTGCGATAATGCGTATTCATGCATTTCTGGAGCAATGGGGCTTAATTAATTATCAAGTGGACGCTGATTTACGCCCAACACCGATGGGACCACCATGTACATCACATTTCACGGTCTTAGGCGACACGCCATGTGGTTTAGCGCCAGTTGGCCATCCCAAAGCAATACAACGAGAAGTAAGAATAAAATCCAGTGCCATTAGTATGAACTTATGTTGCGGTTCATGTAGAATTCGACATCAAAGCAATTGCCAGACTTGAAACAAGAAACGAAACGTGAAGAGCGCGATGTAGAAAATACTTTGAGTTTAAAACCTGATCAATATTATAAGAAGCTCAGTTCGGTAAGTGCACTCCTCTAGAAACTATGGGCATCTAAACTCATGTTTTTTTCTGTTTCAGAATCCTAAAACAAAAGTCAAAGATTGGTCAGATCAAGAAATTCTTCTGTTGCTCGAGGGTCAGCTTTTCTTCGTCCCCTCATTCACTAACAATCTTATCTTCCATGTTTAGGTCTTGAAATGTATAAAGATGATTGGAATAAAGTCTGCGAGCATGTTGGTACTCGAACTCAAGATGAATGTATTCTCAAATTTCTCCAATTACCAATTGAAGATCCATATTTAGAAGGAAACGGTTCCTCACTAGGTCCACTCGCTTATCAACCAATACCATTTAGTCAAAATGGTAATCCAGTTATGTCGACCGTGGCATTCCTTGCATCAGTTGTTGATCCACGTGTTGCAAGTGTCGCTGTGAAAGCGGCGTTAGACGAATTTACAAAAATGCGGGATGAAGTTTCGCCATCATTTATCGAAACGAATCGAGAAGTTATTGAAAATGCCTTGAAGAAAGGAAAAGGACTTGATGAAAATTCCAGTTTAGAATTACTTGGATTAACCAGTAATGCAGGTAAGCAAAAAAAGACCTATCTGTGTTTCATGCGGAAGAGTGTTCATTTAGAAGGAGAAAATTCCGTCGAGAAGACGAAGAATGGCACCGATAGTGAAGATTCATCGAAAGTGAAACAAGAGAAAATGGATGTTAATGATGAACAACCACAATCGCAATCAACTGCAGATAAATCGGTAAGAACTCTCCTCATTTTTATGTTCTAACATTGATGCGAATATCTGCTTCTATTTAGATCAATCACGACGATGAATCGAAACAAATGGATGTCGATGAAAATGATAAATCAACAACAGAAGCCAATACTCGAAGTGGTGAGACACAAATCATTCCCGATGAAACATCATCAAGTGTGCCGAAAACGACGAGTACTAATGCTGATCAAGATTCAAAGAAAATTTCCAGCAATGATGCGAACGAACGAGACATCAAAGCAGCTGCTGCAAGTGCATTGGGTGCAGCAGCAGTCAAAGCTAAAGTAAAGAAACATCTAGTTATACTGATTAAGATTATAAATGAACTCTTTTTTTCGTATTCTAGCATTTAGCGACGATCGAAGAACGGAAAATCAAATCCGCTGTCGCTCAAGTTGTTGAAATGCAAATAAAGAAACTCGAAATCAAATTGCGACATTTCGAAGAATTAGAAACAATCATGGATCGTGAACGTGAAACACTAGAAATTCAACGGCAACAACTCTTACAAGAGCGACAACAATTTCAATTAGAACAAATCAAAACATCGGAATTGAAACACCGGCAAACAACAAGCCTGCCAACCAATGTAAATAATATTCCGGCTCCAATGATTAACTTAAATGGTAAACCATCGTCAAACACTAGTCCACCACCACTTCCTCCACCCAACACAACAAACCCAACAGCAGCAACAACATCGGCAATACCAGCAGGAGGAAACATTCCCCCACCAACAACGAATGGAACCGAGCCAATGATGACAAATGAAGATTCAACTGATTCTCAACCAAGCGATGGTAATTTTCATACGAGAATCATAATTTGCATCGAAAGTTTTTTATGCTTTTAGTTGCTTCACCTGCTCCAGCTGGATCATTACCAACTATAGAAAACGAAAATCCAAATATCGCAGGTAAAATGTGCATACAAATAGAAATATTTAGTTCGCTTGTTCGCTCAGCTGCTTGCTTATTTCTCCGTTTTCCCTATTGTTTGTTGTAGTTATTGCATGTTTATCATTAGATGCACATAAATCTATTTTACATATGTAGCAAACAAATTGACAACAGATAAACAAAAAACATACGCTCTCTCGTTAGTCAGCTTAGTCTCAAATCTCAATCGATAGTTTGCTTTAAGAAACTATTCTCTCTTTTTGTTCGTTCTATTCCTTCCAAAAAGCTGTAGTATCACATTGCTTTAATAATACTTAGTCTGTTATTTTTCGAAAACTCAACAAACAAGAAATGAAAACGGGTAGAATTTGCTCTAATGCTTTATTGACATGTTTTTTTTTTGTCTTTCTCGTCTGTATGTTCTATCTGTCCAGCAGTCCACAGCGGGGAATTTCTACAATCTCTACATGCCTGTTCTTCTGTCGTTTTATTCTTTTGTCTATCTCTTTGGTGTTGGTTTTCTCGATGTATCACTTGATGTTGTCTGGTGAGAATGCTTAAGTGAAAAGAGAATGAGAGAAAGAGAGCATATATTTGTTGTTTTATCGATATTGTCCTTGTTTGCATGTTCACTTTATATCTTTGATATTTTTACCTGTTGTCATTGTTTTGTACATATCATTACACGCACATATATATATATATCGATCTGGGACTGCATGCATCATCTGATTTTTTTCTCTCTAGTAAACAAAAAGATTGAATTGATGCATGACAAAGCAATTCTTTCGTTGTTTTTTATTTTATGATGTTGTTTTGTTGTATATTTGACTATATACGAGAAGTCTTCGTCTTTCCGTCTGTTTTCTTGTTATTATTCTTTTTCCAATTTCAGGCGGTACTGTAGAAGAAACAACAACGGTCACAACAGTTAGTTCAACAACGGAAACAACATCTACTCTTGGTGTTACAATTAATAATACGACAATTACGACAACGGAAAAGATGCTCATTGTAAACACCGGTGAAAATGGTAGCGAAACCAATGATAGTGTTCAGAATGCTCCTGTTCCTGCTATTGCAGAAGTTGACAATTCAAATAATACTAATTATTGACAAACTAAACCAATCTTTTTGTGTGTTTTCTCATCGTTTTCTGTGTTTCATTCTCTTGAATGTCTCCTCTTAAAAAGTTGCCAGCCAAGCGTGTCAAACTCATTCGAATGATCTTTGTGTGCGTGTGTGTGTGTCGTCTGTTATTAGAATTTGATTCTTTTTTTCTCTTTCTTTCCTCTCTTATTCTTTTCAAATAACACATACATTACTTGCTGCTACTTACATACACCAAACTTAGTGTATTATATACATACTTCTATTAGAATTTTCAAATTTATATATATACATATATATCTGTTCTTGTCAGAGTCCAAAGTAGCAAATGAGAGGAGAAGACAACTCTGTGTATGTGTTATAATAACGCGTCTTATATTATTTCTTATTTGTTGTTGATCATTAAAAAATGAAAACAAACAAAAATATACATATATGAATCTGTATAGAAAATGCAATTCATTGTTTTTTTTATGTTTCTTTGCTGTTTCTAGGGGGTTTGTCAGGAGATAGTGAATCATCTGATGTTCAAGATGACTTGTCCATGTCTTCGTTATCATTACCCACAACACGAAAACCCAATCGATCTACAACTGAAATATCCCGCTCGTCATCCGCGGGACATTTTCGTCCGATGTCCGATCGATATGGATCTCAGGAACATTTACCAACTGGACCATCATCTTCATCGTATTCCAGTAATCCAAATCTCGAAGATGACAAACGACGATATCAATGTTCGACATGTTCGAAACGATTCAAACATAAACATCATCTGAAAGAACACGAACGCCTACATACTGGAGAAAAGCCGTACACATGTGATAAGTGTGGCAAACGCTTCAGTCATTCCGGTATTTGACACTTTACTAAATTCTGAAGGCAATGTTTGATTTGTTTCGATAACTTTAGGCTCGTATTCACAACATATTAATCAGCGGAATAAATATTGCCGGCCGGATCATGCAGATGCAGATTTAGAGTGAACAAATATAGTTCATTATCCCGTCGAACTTATTCAACTCGCTTCCTCTTTTTCTTTGTCTTTCAATGATTTGACTTGATTGTTTCTCTAACTGAACAAGACAGTTTTGTGTAGATAGTATTTATCCACGTGATATTGACAGAACGAACAGTAGAATTTCCGACAAACAACTAAAAGTATTTATACAATGTGATAATTTCGAACAAAAACATAACACAGTTTTCATGTCCATTGTGCTTCGCTCAAGTTGTTCGCGTTTCACTTTCTTTTGTATTGTAAATATCGATTGAACAAGGGGCGTAGAGATCAAAACATATATCCTTGTGCAAAATTTTCAGTTCAAATTATTCGATTCTTATAATATACACATATATACATAATGTTTGTTCATTTTTTATAGCGCAATACATCTTGTAGATTTGTTTTTCATTTCTTTTTTTGTAAATATACCTTCGACATTCTCTTCGTTTCGTACTGAACAAATTCTTCGTATGATTTTTTTTCTTGTAGATGGGGAAAAAGAAAACTTCAACTGAAAACGAACAGAAAGAAGGAATCGAATCGGCTGTAATTCCACCTGGATGGAAAGAACCGAAGTTTACCAAAGAAGATAATCCTCGAGGTTAAATCATTTTTCCAACCAAAACAATCAATAAATCTTTTGTGTATTCTCAGGTTTTATCGCTGAAAGTTCATTTGCAACATTATTTCCAAAATATCGTGAGAAATATCTTCAAGAATGTTGGCCTTTAGTCAAAGCTGAATTATCGAAATATGTAGGACAGACAAGACACATTTGTATGAGAAACATTGAATCTACTTTCAGGGTATCAGAGCGGATCTTGATCTTGTCGAAGGTAGTATGACCGTTCGAACAACACGTGATGCATATGATCCATACATGATTATTCGTGCACGAGATTTAATTAAATTACTTGCTCGAAGTGTGCCGTATGAACAGGTAGGATTGATTATTCGCTCTCGGACAAAGTTAAACGAATGTTTTGTGTTTATGTTTCAGGCTGTGAGAATTTTAGAAGATGAATATGCATGTGATATTATTAAAATTAGTTCGCTCGTTCGTAATAGAGAGCGATTTGTCAAACGAAGACAACGATTAATCGGATCGAATGGTTCAACTCTCAAAGTAAGGGTTTATTTGAATAATTATTGATACATCGATTTATTTTCTGAAAAATATCATAGGCTATTGAACTTTTGACTAATTGTTATATTTTGGTTCATGGGAATACAGTTACCGCGATTGGACCTCATCAAGGTATTCGACAAGTGAGAAAGATCGCTGAAGAAACGATGCAAAATATTCATCCAATATACAACATTAAAGTAAAGGAGAAAATTGAGGAATTCTGTTATGGTTTGCTATGTTTTTATTTTCAATAGACTTTGATGATTAAACAAGAATTGGCAAAAGATCCGAAACTAAAAAACGAATCTTGGGATCGTTTTCTTCCGAAATTCAAATCGAAAAATCTTTCGAAACGTTATAAACCTCATAAGGTTCGCGTCACCAAACCCTATACTCCATTTCCTCCACCGCAACCATTATCTAAAGTAAAGTCTTCTCTTTTACAATCCATCGATTTATTTCTCGACATCTCTTCCAACAATTTAGGTCGATAAAGAATTGGAAAGTGGAGAATATTTTGCAAAAGAAGCTGAACGTCGGCAGAAGAAGTCTGAAAAACATCAAGAAAAACTGGATAAGAATACTGAAGTATCTTTGCAACGAAAGAAAGAAAAACGAGAAAAAGAATATCTTCCACCAGTGGAAAAATCATCGCAACAAAAACAACCAGCAGCTTCATCATCAACAGAGAGTATGTAGCATTCATCCTTACATTGCTCTTCATCTTTTGTATTGTATTTGCTTTAGATACATCAAAATTAGTCAAAAATGTCAAGAAGAAACTAAAACGTTTACAAGCTGATTAACTGGTTAGTCCTGGAAACTAATGTTGTTTTGTTTGTTTTTTGTTGTGTCATAAATAAAGCCGAACTACTCAACATGATTACTATCATAATTAAGAGTAGCGCTGTTAACTCACTTTAGTTGTTTTATGACATTTTTTAACATAGATTTTGAGCGCAGATCGATAAACATTTGAAAGATAATAGATCATCTGAGCATATAATAGATGTCATGTATCGTATGATGGAAGAAGAATCGGCTCACATTAGAACAATAGTCAGACTGTGTTCATCGTATGAGGAAATTCATTAATTGGCTACAAGAAATGATAAGACGGTGCAATATTTGAAAACTCGAATTGAATTAACGATTTCTACGCTACTCTGTTATTTTATTTATCGTTCAATCATAAGTAAAGCTAAACTACAATGATCAATGAGCTAATCATGAATACGAACGAAAGTACTGACAAAGCTGAAAATGAACTTGAAGAAGATACTACGATAGATACATCATCAAGACATGAACCTGATAGGCAACGAAGACTTGTTGAACAAACAATACCACCTTGATGTAGACATTTCAATGCAGCAGTATGTGTTTTCTCATTCCATAAGCCTTTACATCGATTTTGATTGATATACAAATCGACTTGGTTATCTTTCGACGAGCCGACGCCAACTTGTTGTGAACCGTAACGAACTGCAAGAGTTGATCGTTTTTGATTGAATATAAACGGTCCACTTGGATCACACGCTTCAGCGGATGAATTACATTTGCATGAATCGATTAGAAATACCCCATTCAAGTTTTGACAGAAGATCGATGGAAGAAATGTTAAACAGAAAAGAGATATGATTATCGGACGGAACATGATTGAAGAAATGTGTAAAACTAGTGGACGAATTCGATATATAAATGTACAGGTCGATAAATACGATATTTTAAGCCTTTTCATTATTGAAATAATCAGATTAATATGAGAGTAATCTGATCTTCCATGTATACAAATATTGAATATTTACTTTATGATTAACGCAACGAGGTCACTTTTAATTTATTACGTAGTGTTACTGTGAGCATTTTAAAGAGTTTTAATCAATAAAATATATTCATCATTGATATGGGAGCAATAGCCCACTTTTGGGAAAATTAATTTACTGAATTTTATTACCTTCCTCAAATTTTGAGTGCAATCAAATTAAGTGGTGAGTTTTTCTAGGTGCAACAAACAATATGGATATCGACATGGTGTCATAGAAAAAAATTGAGGAAACAAACAGAAAATAATTTTATCGAAAATGACGTTTTTCATCAGTGAGATGACTTTCACAGTTTCAATTAGCGAACTTTCCAGATCATGAAATCGCTGTGACAACGTGGTATCTTACTTCCACTTCATCAATGTTTCTAAGCAACATTCAACATTCTCAGTAAGATCTTCAACAGATTCTTTCACGGACAGTTCATGCATATTCTGATATTTTTCAATTTTGCAACATGATCATCAGTGTAATTTCGTAAAATCCCACGATTTTGGCCAAATACCCTTCTATATGTACACCTTATGCACATCAATAATTTATTTTGCGATCTCCCCAGGGCCTTTTCACTAATAATCAGCTATACGTATCGTCCGCGTCACGTATTTTTACTGAACTCAAGATACTTTAGTATCTACGACATTTACACATTTTTCATCGTTCGGCACACTTCTTTTCTCATGCATTCGTAATAACGAAGGTAGTGTACTTTAATCAGGCAAAACTACTTAATAGATTAGTTTTGTAACCAAAGAAACTCGTCTAAAGCTAAACACATTGCTCCTACTTCTCTTTCCAACATTCTCTTCTTTCAACCATAACTATACTACAACAGCTACTACTGTCACTCAAGATATGAATACTTCGACAAGTGTGTACACCTACGATACTGGTGACAATGCATGGATGATGACATCCACTGCGCTTGTCCTTCTCATGACACCGGCACTCGCCTTCTTCTACGGTGGTCTTGTTGAACATAAAAATATTCTCAATCAACTCTTTCTCTCATTCGTATGTATGGGTATCGTCTTTCTTCAGTGGGTACTGTTCGGCTTCTCTTTCGCTTTTGGTCCACCCGTCAGCTCTGGTTTCGGATCATTCGGATGGTCTGTGCTACGATTCGGTGAATCCTATAATTCAAACTATAGTCCCACATATCCTCTTCTCACTTATTGTGCCTATCAAGCCACATTCGCCATCATCACACCTGCTCTCATCTCAGGCGCCATCGTTGGTCGAATGAAAACCATTCCATACATGATCTTCATTTTCGTTTGGTCAACAGTTTGTTATGATCCCATGGCGCACTGGGTGTGGGGTGAAAACGGTTGGCTAAAACAGTTGGGCACACTTGACTTTGCAGGTGGCACAGTCGTTCACATACTCTCAGGTGTTTCTGGGCTTGTCGCATCGATTATTCTAGGCAAACGGCATGATTACGATCCGAAAAGCACCACTGCTCACAACTTACCATTCACCATTCTGGGAACATGCCTACTGTGGGTAGGATGGTCTGGATTCAACGGTGGCTCTGCAAACTCAGCAAGGTATGTACAGTTATATATGTGCCTAGAATACACTACTCTTTCTTCGTGTTTTAGTGGTTTGGCCGCACTCGCAGTGATCAACACACATACTGCGGCTGCGACTGGACTAGTCACATGGGTAGTGATCGATGCCATGCGTGGCCACGTCTCCATTTCAGGTGCGTGTATTGGTCCCATTGTTGGTCTAGTGGCNTTCAACGGTGGCTCTGCAAACTCAGCAAGGTATGTACAGTTATATATGTGCCTAGAATACACTACTCTTTCTTCGTGTTTTAGTGGTTTGGCCGCACTCGCAGTGATCAACACACATACTGCGGCTGCGACTGGACTAGTCACATGGGTAGTGATCGATGCCATGCGTGGCCACGTCTCCATTTCAGGTGCGTGTATTGGTCCCATTGTTGGTCTAGTGGCGATAACACCAGCATGTGGCTTCGTTCAACCAGGATGGTCCATACTAATCGCCATAATTGCAGTATGCGTCGTCTATGTTCTTCTCTTATTGAAAAAGTATATGCATTACGATGATACATTGGATGTTGCCATTGTTCACGGTTGTGGTAAGAGAAATATATTTGTGTTTCGATAGGTTGATATGGTCACACAATTGATTTCTATGTCAACAGGAGGGATTACCGGAGCGTTTATGACTGGATTATTTTCACAGAAATGGGTAAATGAAGCAGGTGGTTCCGATGGCGCATTCTATGGTCGCCCAGTTCAACTATGGTATCAAATAGCTGGAATACTCACGGCTATCGGTAAGCAAACTATTTTATGATATGATGTGTTGGTGTGGAATTTAGTTGTTGATAGGATTTGCTGCTGCGTGTACTGCTGGTATCCTACTCCCATTACATTGGACTATAGGAATTCGATTGGCTAAGGAGGAAGAAATCGAAGGTCTTGATGTATCAGGTAAGAGAAAATTTGTGAAGAAGAACAACTTTAGTATTATTACTTATAGCACATGGTGAAAGTTGGGAAGTAGCTGCGTCGAATGCAGTCAGCAATCTGATAGCATCGATGATTGAAGAAAAGCTCAGTCGTACGAGACATCTAGAACAGCACGGTTCTTTCAATTTACAATACATCCCTCCGAATGCGGGCGAGAAATCAATTACAGTCCCAGTGTCCAATGTATCGATAAAAGCCGAGGCTCCTCCGGATTGCAATACACAAAAAAATGAGGAACAAGAAATGTACACTGAAAGATCGAATGAGGTATAAACTATGCTGTACAGCAAAATAATGGTTTTTGCTTGTTTCAATTTGTGTATAATTTTAATGTATTTGTTGCTCATTCACATGTATTTTATGCATTTCTCGACCGAAAATTATAAATAGAAGTCATGAATTTATTTAATCCACTTTAAGTGAAACTAGACCTACCGATAATATGATCATATTAATAAAGAGAACAGATGAAAAACAGGCGTTCATCACGCACAATATGGACGGAAAAACATAACTAAGTAATGAGTTTGATTCTATTGATTGATTTCGACAATATTCCTGCTAACAATAAATTACAGTTCGGTATGAATAAAAATGAAAATACATAAAGCAAGTTTCGATGTGAAATCAATTCGGTATGTCATTGAAGGTACTCATGTACAAGTACTATAATTCATATTGGCATAACAGCTATAATTACGTATATCATCAGCACGACATAAAAAACATTCATATAGCACCTGTCTTGGTTCGCCATGAAAAAAATCGATCGTTATTTTCGTTACAAGTATACATAGTCGATAAAATAAAGAGAAAGGTGCAACATTAATTGACATCCTTAGGTCATTCAATGATCGTAGGTTGCGTTTTACGGCATTCCTTTTACGCACCAGTCCTTCCCATCAACTCAAATGAAAAACACTTTCATTACCTTCACATACACAAAACTTACAAAACGAATCAGACTAATACAATCATTTTACATTCCAGTATTATCGACAGAATATTTATCAACAATCAACATTTCTCTTTTATTCAATTTCTTTATACATCGTTCTCAGATAACAAATCAATTTATCATAATGAATACAACTACTACAAAAAGCTATGATACTGGTGATAATGCATGGATGATGACATCCACCGCGCTTGTCCTTCTCATGACACCGGCACTCGCCTTCTTCTACGGCGGTCTCGTCGACCATAAAAATATTCTCAATCAACTCTTTCTCTCATTCGTATGTATGGGTATCGTCTTTCTTCAGTGGGTACTGTTCGGCTTCTCTTTCGCTTTCGGTCCACCTGTTAGCTCTGGTTTCGGATCATTCGGATGGTCTGTGCTACGATTCGGTGAATCCTATAATCCAAACTATAGTCCCACATATCCTCTTCTCACTTATTGTGCCTATCAAGCCACATTCGCCATCATCACACCTGCTCTCATCTCAGGCGCCATCGTTGGTCGAATGAAGATCATCCCTTACATGATCTTCATTTTCGTTTGGTCAACAGTTTGTTATGATCCCATGGCACACTGGGTATGGGGTGATAACGGTTGGTTAAAACAGTTGGGCACACTTGACTTTGCAGGTGGCACAGTCGTTCACATACTCTCAGGTGTTTCTGGACTTGTAGCATCGATTATTCTTGGCAAACGACATGACTATGATCCTAGAGGCACCTCTGCTCACAATTTACCATTCACCATTCTGGGAACATGTCTGCTGTGGGTAGGCTGGACAGGTTTCAACGGTGGATCGGCGAATTCAGCGAGGTATGTACAGTTATGTATGTACATAGAATACACTACTCTTTCTTCGTGTTTTAGTGGTTTGGCCGCACTCGCAGTGATCAACACACATACTGCGGCTGCGACTGGACTAGTCACATGGGTAGTGATCGATGCCATGCGTGGTCACGTCTCCATTTCAGGTGCGTGTATTGGTCCCATTGTTGGTCTAGTGGCGATAACACCAGCATGTGGCTTCGTTCAACCAGGATGGTCCATACTGATCGGCACGATTGCAACTTGCATTGTCTATGTTCTTCTCTTATTGAAAAAGTATATGCGTTTCGATGACACATTGGATGTTGCCATTGTTCACGGTTGTGGTATGTACTCGGATTCACTCCTTCGTGTATGTGAGTTTTCGAATATTTGTATGATTGTAATGTGTAGGAGGCATCGCGGGAGCATTTATGACTGGACTNTTCAACCAGGATGGTCCATACTGATCGGCACGATTGCAACTTGCATTGTCTATGTTCTTCTCTTATTGAAAAAGTATATGCGTTTCGATGACACATTGGATGTTGCCATTGTTCACGGTTGTGGTATGTACTCGGATTCACTCCTTCGTGTATGTGAGTTTTCGAATATTTGTATGATTGTAATGTGTAGGAGGCATCGCGGGAGCATTTATGACTGGACTGTTTTCACAGAAATGGGTAAATGAAGCAGGTGGCTTCGATGGTGCATTCTATGGTCGCCCAGTTCAACTATGGTATCAAATAGCTGGAATACTTACAGCTATCGGTAGGTGAACGATTCACTGATTTGACAATGGTAGCATCAAATGTGTATAGGATTTGCTGCTGCGTGTACTGCTGGTATTCTACTCCCATTACATTGGACCATAGGTATTCGTTTGCCACCGTCTGATGAAATAGAAGGTCTAGATGTTACCGGTAAGAGACTAATCATTACGCATAAGGATTCATGTACTGATGTGTGTAGCTCATGGTGAAAGTTGGGAAGTGGCTGCTTCACGGGCATTTAGCAGACTTGTAAAGCAGATGTTGGAAGACCATAATAATAATGTCAATTCTGACGATGTTCGACAGAACGGTATATTTGCTCTACAGTACACATCTGGAGACAGGAGTCAACCCTCCGTTACCATTCCGTTTCCAACGCCGAAATTAGAGCATCATCATTTATCAAACGATTTTTTGAGTACCGGTAAACAGCAAAGTCCAAATTGCGGTGACGCCATACGCTTTTAATGATCGATCGGTTATGTTTGTTTTCTAACTTTTTATACATGGCTATCTATATCTTTAATTTTAAGAAAATATACACATAGTGCAAGAATATGACGTTTCTAGCTTTTCTTTGTGAATAGACAAGCTTTCTTAATTACATATTAATTGAAATAGTATAACACGAATGCTTAAAAGTACATCTACTTATTTACGAAGTATTAACTTTCAGTTTTTTTCAAGAAGAACCATTCATTTGACTCAAGAGCACGCCTCTTATGAAAAATAATCCTTCAGTAGAAAATCTTCCAAATCTAGTAGGTCCTTTTGAAAAATGACAGGGAAATGCCTAAAGATGTTTTAAATAGCCTTTTCGGAATCATTTCACAACCCGGTCTATGAAAATGTCTAGAAAGACATTCGTTGGAAACAAGCAAAACTATCCCCCTAGTCGAATTTCAAGTAGTTTGAGGGTGGCCAAACCTATGACAGTAAACGTTGGAATAAATCTCAAGAATCAATCGTGAAAAAAAACAGCTTAGAACAGAATCTTTTTGGTATGTGAAGATTCATTGTACAGTCTGATTCACCCAAAGTCGTCGTATTCGCAAGAGCGAGTTTAGTTCTTGCACGAAGATGACGAATTTACCGTTTGTTGATATACTGTTCTTTTTCAAACCATGTGGCTGCAGTGACCAAGTTGATGACGTCGGTTTTTTTCAGAGAAAAAAATATCTCGAACTAATTAGTGCTGCTTACCATGACAAACAACAATTATCTTTGATGCCAGAAAAATTACTTAAAACTGAATGGTCTCATTTGGAGTGGTCTCGTCTATTTCAGACAAAACCTTTTCTCGGCACCTGTCACTTTCTTCTGTATGAGAGACTTCACAAGACGTTGGTTTAGAAAAACTTCATGCATTTACTTTATGCTCGACAAAATCTTTTACTTGTTACAAAAGACCCTGTCATACCTCAACATCTTCCGCTCGAAGTTCACACTTTGAATCAAAAGAATGTTCTTAAGGACACGGGTATCTTTATCACGAGAAACTGAAAAAAAACACTTTTTGAACAAGTGGATGAATCCTCATCGAAATAGTATTAATATCAAAGAATTTTTTTCCATCTTCATCTACACAACTACTATAAGAAAGAACAAGCGTTGCATATTTTTTATATTAGTAGCACATATACAATTCTGCTGTATTCGAGTCCTTTCCACCGAATATTACTCAGCCGTTAAGATTTCTCATTTATTTCAATCTGCTACAGATCCTAATCAGATAGTGGAACTCAGTTTATCAAAATGAACATAAATGGCACAAAATACTACGATACTGGTGACAATGCATGGATGATGACATCCACCGTACTTGTTCTTCTTATGACACCAGCACTCGCCTTCTTCTATGGTGGTCTCGTTGACCATAAAAATGTTCTCAATCAACTTTTCCTTTCATTTATATGCATGGGTATCGTCTTTCTTCAGTGGGTACTGTTCGGCTTCTCTTTCGCTTTCGGCCCACCCGTCAGCCCTGGTTTCGGATCATTCGGATGGTCTGTGCTACGATTCGGTGAATCCTATAATCCAAACTATAGTCCCACATATCCTCTTCTCACCTATTGTGCTTACCAAGGTACATTCGCCATCATCACACCTGCTCTCATCTCAGGCGCCATCGTTGGTCGAATGAAGATCATCCCTTACATGATCTTCATTTTCGTTTGGTCAACAGTTTGTTATGATCCAATGGCGCACTGGGTATGGGGTGAAAACGGTTGGTTAAAACAATTGGGCACACTTGACTTTGCAGGTGGCACAGTCGTTCACATACTCTCAGGTGTTTCTGGACTTGTCGCATCGATTATTCTTGGCAAACGACATGACTATGATCCGAGAGGCACCCCTGCTCACAATTTACCATTTACCATTCTGGGAACATGTCTGCTGTGGGTAGGCTGGACAGGTTTCAACGGTGGATCGGCGAATTCAGCGAGGTATGTACAGTTACATATGTGCATAGAATGCACCACTCTTTCTTCTTGTTTTAGTGGTTTGGCCGCACTCGCAGTGATCAACACACATACTGCGGCTGCGACTGGACTAGTCACATGGGTAGTGATCGATGCCATGCGTGGTCACGTCTCCATTTCAGGAGCATGTACGGGCCCCATCGTTGGTTTAGTAGCTATAACGCCGTCATCTGGGTTTGTTCAACCAGGATGGTCAATATTAATAGCAATTATTGTAGTATGTATCGTGTACACTCTTTTGTTGCTAAAGAAGTATATGCGTTTCGATGACACACTGGATGTTGCACTCATTCATGGATGCGGTAGGGAAAATATACATATTTTCATATATGGACATAATTATATCAATTACATACATATATTAACAGGAGGTGTCTCTGGAGCTTTTTTGGCTGGAATGTTTTCACAGCAATGGGTAAATGAAGCTGGTGGTTTCGATGGTGCATTCTATGGTCGCCCAGTTCAACTATGGTATCAAATAGCTGGAATACTCACGGCTATTGGTAGGCAAACTATTTTATGATATGATGTGTTGGTGTAGAATTTAGTTGTTGATAGTATTTGCCGCTGCTTGTACTGCTGGTATTCTACTCCCATTACATTGGACTATAGGAATTCGATTGGCTAGAGAAGATGAAATGGAAGGTCTTGATGTATCAGGTAAGAGATAATGTTTCAAGGAAAACGATTGTACTATTGAAATATGTAGCTCATGGTGAAAGTTGGGAAGTGGCCGCATCGCGAGCATTCAGTAAATTTGTGAAGGAAATAGTTGAAGAATATAACAACAGCGCTAATGCACAGAATGTCGAAGAGAACGGTACAATTGCTCTACAGTATACATCTGCGAGCGGAAAGCAACCGGCAATCACCATTCCGTTTCCATCCGTAAAAGGCCTACATCAGCCACCACCTAAACACCATGCTGGTGCTGACAAACAAGAAAGTTCCAGTGTCAGCGAGGTTATACGTTTTTAGTAATTGATCGGCTTATTATGCTGTACTATTGTTTCATGCATTAATATATATATATATACGGGAGAACTATAAGACGGTCTTAGTCGACTTAGCAACTGTAACGCTCTTTCAGCGAAGAACTAATAAAAAAATGATATTTGCTTTCGTGTATATGCTTGACCGATATGAAGCATTATTGGATACAGAGATTATGATAAATTACAGATCCATGGCTCACCTTTCTATGACCTATCAATCATGAATATTAGCTCAGATCATATAGTAAACGTCAATCAATAAAACTTCGTTGTAATATTTCAAATATCAATAGTGCATAAAGTTATTTATATCCATGAATCAAAAGATAGAGTGATACACGTTCCTTTGCTAATGAGTAATGATTTCGTATGTCAAACAAAAATAGACCGGTATAATATCTAATGTGAGCATCTTCATGTAAACCTACAATGACTAAACTAGTGTTCTATTCTTCTTAAATGTTCACCTGCGAATGGTCGCAACTATATTTTGAGAGAATGAAAACTATTCAGGTCAAACATTCTTAATTTTTACGCCCCGATTCGTTCATCCGAAGTTCGTAATGATATTTCATTCAGTTGCGCATAGAAAACAAGATAAAACCAAATGTTAATTTTTTCGCATGTTTACTCAAGAAAAGCTGTACTTTGATCTATACATTTCATCGGACATGTTGCTAAGACACGCGTTGACTGGATGATTGCAGCATTCCTTTTCGATTGCTGACGTCAATGACATAAAAAAGGGAGAGACGAAACTGTCATAGATTTATCTTTATTCATGGTTCGTTGCGCAAACTGAATATCAAATCTTCACCTGAGTAGGTACGGTCGAAAAATATTTTTCACTGGCAACCCAGCATAAATTCTACTGTGAAACCCATTTACAAAGGCATTTCTCTTTTTCTTGACATTAGTAACGTAAAATCATTAACATGAGTCTTAATAATACTACGGTTCCTGCAATGATCAATACAGTGTCCACCATACCCTATGATACTGGTGATAATGCATGGATGATGACATCCACTGCACTCGTCCTTCTCATGACACCGGCACTCGCCTTCTTCTATGGTGGTCTTGTTGACCATAAAAATATTCTCAATCAACTTTTCCTTTCATTCGTATGCATGGGTATCGTCTTTCTTCAGTGGGTACTGTTCGGCTTCTCTTTCGCTTTCGGTCCACCCGTCAGCTCTGGTTTCGGATCATTCGGATGGTCTGTGCTACGATTCGGTGAATCCTATAATTCAAACTATAGTCCCACATATCCTCTTCTCACTTATTGTGCCTATCAAGCCACATTCGCCATCATCACACCTGCTCTCATCTCAGGCGCCATCGTTGGTCGAATGAAGATCATCCCTTACATGATCTTCATTTTCGTTTGGTCAACAGTTTGTTATGATCCCATGGCACACTGGGTATGGGGTGATAACGGTTGGTTAAAACAGTTGGGCACACTTGACTTTGCAGGTGGCACAGTCGTTCACATACTCTCAGGTGTTTCTGGACTTGTAGCATCGATTATTCTTGGCAAACGACATGACTATGATCCTAGAGGCACCTCTGCTCACAATTTACCATTCACCATTCTGGGAACATGTCTGCTGTGGGTAGGCTGGACAGGTTTCAACGGTGGATCGGCGAATTCAGCGAGGTATGTACAGTTATGTATGTACATAGAATACACTACTCTTTCTTCGTGTTTTAGTGGTTTGGCCGCACTCGCAGTGATCAACACACATACTGCGGCTGCGACTGGACTAGTCACATGGGTAGTGATCGATGCCATGCGTGGTCACGTCTCCATTTCAGGTGCGTGTATTGGTCCCATTGTTGGTCTAGTGGCGATAACACCAGCATGTGGCTTCGTTCAACCAGGATGGTCCATACTGATCGGCACGATTGCAACTTGCATTGTCTATGTTCTTCTCTTATTGAAAAAGTATATGCGTTTCGATGACACATTGGATGTTGCCATTGTTCACGGTTGCGGTATGTACTCGGATTCACTCCTTCGTGTATGTGAGTTTTCGAATATTTGTATGATTGTAATGTGTAGGAGGCATCGCGGGAGCATTTATGACTGGACTGTTTTCACAGAAGTGGGTAAATGAAGCAGGTGGCTTCGATGGTGCATTCTATGGTCGCCCAGTTCAACTATGGTATCAAATAGCTGGAATACTTACAGCTGTAGGTGAGTGTAAAGTGAATGAAAGCAGAAGAATACACTTTTATCAGACGCAAAAATATAATATGAAACACAATGGATTAACATTTTTCAGGATTTTCCGCCGTATGTACAGCTGGTATTCTGCTTCCGCTGGATTGGATAATGGGTATTCGTTTAGCAGAAAAAGATGAAATCGAAGGTCTTGATGCAACCGGTAAGTAATAATTCTGGAGGAGAATGATACATGCCCGAGACGAAATCTTTATAGCTCATGGTGAAAGTTGGGAAATAGCTGCGTCACGTACTGTGAGTGATATGGTTAGAAAGGCTTTAGAAGACGTTAATAATGGCAAGAATTCTGAAGACAGAGGCACATTCCAGTTGCATTATACTCCTGCGGATACAGATCGCAAATCATTCACAATACCCCTTCCGGACCGTTTTAATCGGCAATATAGTACTGCAGGAAACACACGACCGCAAACAAGTGTGAATTCTAATGAGATTCCAGCAATTCAGGACGACGTTGTGAAATCTCGCCATTAAATTATCTCATGTGAAGAATTGAAATGATTTGTTTTTTTTTGGTAGTATTTACTTTTATTTATATTTTATATAAATAGGAAAAATAAGGAAAATTGCTACAGCAAAAGAAAAGATATATGTTTAATCACAGATAGAAATCAAAATATGACAACAAACTAGACAAAATCACGGAATCTCATTCAGTTTCTTTCGATGTTCGACATTGAATAAACATGTCTTTTTCGCAGCTGTTAAACATTGTCGAACTTGATTGTTATTGTACTTTTCATCAAATATAACACGCGTTACGATGTCATAGAGCGGGTTTGATATAGTTGGTAAATTATCCCATAAAGTTTTTTTATTCGTCAACGGAGTGTTTTGTAGAATCAAAATCAATTTTTGCAGTCCGTCATGTCGTTCATGAGCTTTCTTCGATTGAATCAACCGAGATAAAGAACTCAATGTATCAATTGGTAGATTGAGTCGAGCACAGAGAATATTCATCAGTAATTGATCACATTGATCATCTGTTGCAAAAATCTATTAGAGAAACAAAATGAAATCGAATCCCGCTATGCAATCTTCTCGTTTATACCTTTCTTCGATTGTTTTCAATCAGAGTAGCCCATTCGTCGAGTGATATCTGACTGAACTTACGCGTTTTCATAAATACTGTTTGTAAAGCTTGAATAAATTTTTGAAGAGAAATCTCTCCAGATAGTTGTTTATTCACGAGACACGAATGCAGTTTTTCTACAACGATTGTATACATTGCTGGATCATCAGATTCCAAACGACGAAACATTTCTCGATGTGCGACAGATTGATCAATCTTGCCCGTACTTTTCCGTACAGTCGAAGCTAAAATTCGCAAAATTTAGATCAATTTCCGATCATTTGTTAACTTACGTTCTTTGTTTTCATCCGATTGATGATTGAAACATAGATCTAATTGTTGTCGAAATATGGGAGCGTGAAACATAGTCGATTGCTGAGCAATATTCTGCCACTGTTGATTATTGTTATTCTGATCATGTAGGATGGTTATGATACGAATCATTGTTTTCTTCCAATCAGCTATGGCATATTTTGCGTTCGGAGTTTTTAATATTATGATAATTTGATGTCGAGTTTGATCGGTAGATTGATGAGTTTCGATCGAATTCAATAGGTTCTTCGGTGAAACATGAAGATTCTGCTGGAGAAGATCAACAAGGAATTGTAGAGAATTTTTCAACGTTTTAGAGAGTTCAATCGTTCGATTTGCCAATTGAAGTGTTTGAGCGATTGTTAAACATTGATTATCAAATGTCGATAGGATAAAATTAAATAATTTATCCATATCACTTTTCTCTCGAAGATCATTTTCAACCAAATGGATTAGTTTTTCATAAGTATCTTCATTGAACTTGTTTTTAATTGATTCAATTAATCGATCGAGATTGGATGATGACGGTAAACGCGAAAGAACGAATTTGTATTGTTGTTCTGTAAACAAATATGCGAAAAATTCGGATTGTTTCTCAATAATGGCTTTCAAATGTTGACGATAGAAGTGAGGATTTGACTCATTCGAAAAGTTATTTTCACATATGACGAGAATAATTGAAGAGAATAAACAACGATTGATTTCAAATTGGATTGTCATTTCATCAAAATCTGTTCGTTGAGAAAAATCTTCTAGCAGAGTAAAGAATTGTAAATGAGCCTAGAAAGACATGGAGAGAAGGGTATGAGTAATATGTTCTTCGTTTATGTTTTACTTGATGATCTTTTTCGAAGATTTTTGTTAGGAGTTGATTGAGAATCGTTGGATCGATCAAGGGAAGTATGTTTCTGTGAGAGCGATGTTTGTCAAATGATTCGTTGATTAATCGACAGCGCTGTTTTCCAAATGTCTTCTTGTCGATAAGAGATTTTAGTTCTTCACATTTCTCACGGGAGAATTTTCGTCGATTTGCAAATATTTCAACAATATTTTGGGTTAGATAATCGAGTATTTCTTCATTTGTCAAGAAATTTTGGTTTTGAACGATTGACACAAGTTGTTCGACATCAAATTGACTTGATGTACAAAGTTTTTTCATTTCATACAACGACATTGGACGTTTATAGAACGTTTTTATACGTTGTTGTTCAATGTTGGATAGCGGACGAACTATGGAAGATCGATCGAGAAAGTTATCAAGTAAATTTTTACATTGTTCATCTGAGAAGGCTTTAGTGTCCGAACAAATTATTTCAATGAGAGAAATAAGGTAGAGAAGAACATGATTATCAATAATTGGAATTGTATCGTCTGTTTTTGTGGATGTTTGTTCATTCTATATGAAGAATTTCAGATAGTTCATAGTAAATACTTGTCTTACTTCTTGTGCGACGTGAAATTCGGGTTTAAGTCTTTCTAATACTTTGAGAATGTCTTCGTATGCAGCATGTTTCCCTTCCTGATTGTCCGCTTCTAATTTTGCTTTGATTTGTTTTAATTCACTAAACATAATCGGTGCGTGACCTTGGTTTAAATAGAATTCAAAGTAGAATTTTTGTTTCGCGTTAAACAACGATGATTGAATGGCTGATTTCAACAAATTGTCAAATTGTTCTCTACTTAAATGACCGCTACTGCTCATGAATAAGATGGCGAAGTACCACATTGCATGGTCGACGATGATAGTTGAAGTTGGTTTCACATCCACGGAATCTGATTTCAAAATTTGTTCAAATTCAGTTAACCATTGATTGAGATCACCGATGAATTGATCGTTTTTGAAAGAATTTAAACGTTCTTTCCAAACTTGTTTTTGATTATTTCGTTCGAATCGTTTCATTCGCATGTCCAAACAGGAATGAAATTCTTGAAGTTGTTCAGTAGAGAAAATGTCTTTTTTCTTTTCAAATAAGATCCTCGCAGTAAAATTATCCAAATACTGTTTATCAATATAAATGCTTGACCTGAGTACATTTCTAATTAAGTCATATAAATTCGGAGATATTGGTGGAGTTGAACGAATGATATATTCTTGAAAGTCATTGAATATTGTCGGTTGCATCTGTGTCGCATTTGTCAAATGTTTTTCAATGACTGTTAAAGCCATTAGTTGACGTTGTGCACAGAAAATCGAACGATCAGCATTCAAACAGTTGGATTTTGTTGGTAATAGAACAGTTCTCAATTCATAAATCTTCTGATATTGTTCATTGGTGAAGAGAAAATCATTTTGAGCAATGTGACAGAAAAGCGGATAAAATGTGGATTCTTTGTCTTGAAAAGTTTTCAAAAGATTTGTTCCATGGCAATCTTGAAGTTTTTTAGTCAATGAAAGAAATAATTCGAATGTTTGGGTACGCTCATCAGCCGATTGAGAACTATTTAGAAGTTTAGATGATATGTTATAAAGATGTTGTACTCGATTATGATCTGCTTCATTTATAGTTGTTGGTTCAGTTGATGATGAGGATGATGAAGAATTCGAACGCTTTCGCTCAGTTTTATTACGGTTATTACCGCGCGCATTACCTCGAGCGGTGCTTTTTGGTTTTTGAGGACAATCGTACTGAACATGACCGTATTCTCCGCATAGGTAACAATCATCTAGAGCGAGTTATCTAGTAAGTCCAAAATGAAGAGGGATGAGGCTTACATTTTCGAAGGTCAACACCATATTTGTTATCGAAAGGAGCTACTCGACGTCCCTTGCCTCGAATAGAATCAGATTCTTTTTGCATTTTGTTTACCTTCGGGTTTGACTTTCCCGGAATATCGTTTCGATGACCTTCTCAATGATAAATAGAACGGATTTTATGGGAGAGAAGACAATTTCATTACCATTTTGCTGATCACGAATATGTGCAACATGACCATTGCGTTGATTAGATAAGATTTGTGTTGAAGATGAAGTCTTTCCCTTTGCTGCCATTGAACTTGATTCAACAAAGGTCACATGTTTCTGTTGCCGTTGATTTCTTCCATCTTGATGCAATTTTTTATATATATCTTTCACTTCTTCCTCTTCGCTTTCACTTGCATCTTCATATAAATCATCATCATCATCTTCTTCTTCGTCATCATTATCATCTGGCTTTTCGAATATTCGATCTTCAACATTTTGTAACCATCCATCAATAATTTGATTTTGTGACATAGTTAAAACACGTGCATTTGATGCCAATTCCAGTAATGCACGTAATTGTTCATCGTCGAAATCATGATTAAATGGTGTAAGAATGATTTGTGATATACAATCAAAGAGCAAATCATGACAGCCATGTAACTGTTTACTTATTTCGGGCACTTGCAGAATATCGATCAAAGATTTGTAACCAGAAATGAACCGATTTTTGTCGTTTGATGAAATAGAAAATTCATTATCCAGAAGCTTTTTAAGACAACTTTTATAGTTCATTTTTGCCATGACGCCTTCTTTTTCGAAAACTAAATAAATCTAAACCTTTTGGGAAAAATTACAAAATTACTGAGTAAAGCACACTAGACATACAATACGATGGCAATGTTATCAAATCCATGCAAGGAGTTATAGATGGCTGCACAAACAGATGTTGTCGATCTTGACGATGAGACGATTATTTTCTCTCGGCGACTCTTTTGAAAACTCCATCATTGATAGAGAATTAAATTCTGAATTGAATACAACCAGACTTCAACGCAGCATAAGTTCATGTGTGAATCTGGACAAGGAATACTCGAATATGGTGCTCACTTTTCTGACGTGAAAACGAGTGACACTAGCCTATTAAGCAATACTTTGAAACAGCACTTACAAATATGAGTATGAATTGCACTAGTGCAAGAAATGTTTGTTTGGCCAAAGATCTTATTCAGTGAATTCAACATGTATAGCTGTCTTTATACTTTGATGATTTATTATTTATTTTCGAGTTATGATCAAAAATCTAGTTTACATGTTATTTATTCAAAGGTTCATCCAATGGCACACCAATCTTCATTCGTATTCATCCATTTCATCATCCATGGTTGTGGTTACGTCTTCAGCTATTAACCAGTCCTTTTCTGGACGAGCGACCAATCGTGCGTTCTGGTAAGCCATGCTGAGTGTAAGAATAGTTCTTGCTATATAGGTAAATACACCTGGTATGGGCGGGTTACTATCTTGTCGGGTGAGGGTTAAAACGAGATCTGGTTTGCTTGCTTTTTTAAGACATAGCGGCAAAAGCAATTGAAGCTCACCTTTATATGACTGTGGAACAGCAGTACGATAGTTGGTAAGGACGCGGTTCCTAGCTAGCTTTAATGCACCTTCTAATCGAGTTTGAGCATCGTATTGTTGACGTCTTTTAAATTCTTCATCATTGCATTTATCTTTACCATAAATTATCTCACAGATCCGCTCCCAGTTCTCATCAATAATATGTGTCCAATGAACAATTGGTTCTTTGGTGCCATCCATAATCAATTGAGTATAATCGTCAAAATAACTACATCGATCCGGTAAAGGATAGCAATAATCTGACATATGAATGTCTCGCATGAAATTGTTTGGATTGTAAGACAAAAAATATTGAGGCTTCTCCTCCGTTCCTCTGCTTGCCAGTTTATAGTTCTTCTGGAAAGCGGCATAGATACGTTCCATGGTTTCAGTAATGAGGCCTGTGTTAAAGTAGATCCAATCTTCATATTCTACGATATAACGTATATCAGGATTCTTCCTTTGGGCTTTTCGTAATTCATAGAAAGTGTGTACGAAATAGCTGACGAGAATCATATCATTAGGTCCCCAATTTTCTACTTCAGCGAGTTCTTTGAGTGGCTCAAGAGCATATGCTAGCGCTGGTCGAACGTCCCAGTAGTAACCATCAATATTCCGATTTATAAAAAAGGTGTCAAGAAACTCTCTCCATACTCTATTGTAGTTCTCCCATCGTGGCTGGTTATTATTCAGTCCAAAAGACGCTGCTTCGTTCATTGTAGTCACGCTACACTTTACAATCTAAAAAGGTGTACTTTGTTTAATTTTAAAAATCAATAAAGTTCTATGCTTTTAATAACTTCTACGAACCTTTTAGTAAACGCTGTAAGAGTTGAGAGAGATATTTAACAGAAAAAAATCGGTTTTTGAATTACGGCCGATTTACTGCTCTTTTCTATGCACATTATCAACGTTTTATACGTGTACGTTACTTATCAAAATCAAACACAGTATCCGATAAGATAAAGTGTTTGCATATTAAAACAAGACGTACTCACTACGGTGTCAGTCGTTTTGACGGCACGTCCATTTTGCCCACAACCACATATTCTTCGAAATTTGAATAGTCATCATGATTTTGAGAGCCAGGATGTAGATGAGAGTAAATGGAAAGGCTTCAGAGAAGGTGAGGATATCACTAATTGTGACAAAACCCGATCTAAGGTGCAGCGTCTAGATCGATATTATCGGAATTTGGATACCTAAACAATTGCACATCGAAGTGAATTTGACGGGAAACTGTACCGGACCCTTCAAAGCATTAAAGCAATGGTTTTGTGACACGCAAGCAGTATAAAATAATGCGTAAAGGAAGGTGAACATCGGTTAGGATCTACTTTCCGAGAAAAATGCCCAACCATACGACCGTACCAGTAATCATCATATAAATTTGTCGATTTAATTTTACAGAAAAGTTTTCCTCCGTATTTTTCGCTTCGGCATGTTGGTACGCTCTATAAACAAGTCTAACTGACATTAAATTCGATTTGATTTCAATCTGATCAGCACTAGTCACAAGTACTTAACAAATAATTTAATTCTTAGCTTTTCTGAACGAAAAGGTGTAAAAATCGTTCGTTCACTTTTCTAAGAACACCGCAAAAAATCGATGGAAATAAGATTCTCTGAATCTATTCGCAAAACGGAACCAGGTTGTTAATTAAATGATTGAAATCACGACACCAAGCTGTCACTCAGATTCATTCAATTCTAACAGACGAAACTAACCTACAATTAGAATGGCACGACCATGGTTAGCTTTTGCCAGTTATTTCTCAATCACAATACAACGTTTTGCCAATAAAAAGCTGTGCTCCTATCAAATGAATTTTTATTAAAAAATCACTGCTCGAAAACTCGAATTATTTTCTGTGAAAGTGTCATCTGGACTATATCGACGTTTTCAAACGAAAAAACGAGCGAAAATCTTTTCGAAAAAAGTGAACAGGCGGCACAGATGCACTTTAGTAACACTTATTTATTTTTGTATATTGATAGAACATAAGAAGATTTGTCGATGAATTATCTAAGTAGTTTTTAACCCGAGTAACATATAGCACAAAAAGATAGCATAAAATTAGTTATTAAATAATGCTATTGACAGACAATTGATGATTAAGAGGAAAAGTTTTGATGATGACGATCAGCGAGTCGCCGAAGAGCAGAAGTATCTTTGGTATATATTCTTGTCGATTGTGTACATGCATCCGTACTGAAATTTTCATTTAACCAAACTTGCATGCGATCACCAACGTTGAAAATTCCAAGACCGCATGTTTCTGATTGTTCATATGCACTCACAAGTATCATATCACCTTTTGAAACGCCCTATAATGCTGATAACAATTAGACAATTGTTCATGAAAATGCAGTTCGATTACTTTGAATGCTTCTTCCACTCTCATTTTATACTCGACAGGTTTGAGTGGCTCTGGTCGTGTTTTATGAAGAATCCGACCGATGAAAACGGCGTGTGTCTTCTGAAATTCGTCTTCTATTGGCCCAAGTGCCATACACGAACATGAAAATGCTGTTCCAATAAGAGCAATAAATATCAACACAGAATACATTTCGAACATCGAGGCCATACGTTTGAATCCGAAATTGTATATGTATGGAAGATACATAAGAACATATTAATTCGTCCAGTCTACAGTCGAACACGACGGACTAAATATCTTAACCAAACTCGTTCGACTTTACTATCAAAATTAAATTCAGACGGAATGTTTAGAAGGCGAGAGAACTATTTATTTACTATGCAGACTAATGGATGTCATCGAATTACATAATCGAAAAACAAACTTATAATGTAACTAAGAATTACACGCTTTTCTAAAGGACATGATGTTACTTTTTGTTCCACCACGTCTGAAAATCAGTCGATGTACTGATTAATCGAAACATGATCACGAAAAGAAAATAATCTGTATAGTTGGTGTCAAATTTTTCTCTCAAAGTCTTGATAATGTGATCGACATGAATATATCAATGCAGAAATTTTCGATTGCCATGCAAATACATTCAGCACTTGTTATCACGGGCCTTTCGACATTTTTTATTTTGACATTTCGATAGATTCTTTGCTCTTTTCATTCTCTATAGATAAAGCATGTATCTAATGAACTTATATGACGGTCATAATTCGTCGGTTAACGTATGAGTATATAGATCCACTATTCTCACATAGTAAAACGAATTTCATCATCAATCTCACGTTCGATACACTTGTTATTCACTGATATCTGTAAAATTGAATGCAATATGCTTGAAAAATGGTGAATATTCGTATTTCTTCTCACATTTTTGACAAATATTTCGCTTTAGTTTACTTTCAATTCTATCACTACTTTTACCACCGGTTGTTGCATTAATCAAAGTTGGTAAGATACTGTTAATTCAACTAACGAATTCACCTAAACGCTTCCATCTTTTTCAAGGATGCACTCAAACCGTTCTTCTAAATGTTCTACTAACTCTTTGCGGTTTTATTCCAGGAATAGTTCATGCGTTGTATTTAGTTTGGTCAAATAAAAGCCAATAGAACACAGTTGTTGTTTTACGTTTCTTTTCTTCGCATATTACGTGTTAATGTTGAACATAAAGCCGTTCTGCGACATACGTTCGTTCGTTCGTCAACTTCTGCTCTCTGACTGATTAATATAGAACCACAAAGAGGAGAAAAATGAGAATTCTTTTTTGCGTGTCAGGGTGATGAGATGCCAGTCGAGTGAGGCGAAAGAACGGAGAAGAAAAATGTTTACCTGACTGAAAAGAGAACGCTATTATGTGTAGTGAAAAGTTTGATAAAAATCGGTATAGGCTTAGTCCCAATAGAGAGAGAGAGAATGACAAATACTCGCATTACGTTGTTCATTCATGAACACATTCTTTGTCATTTTGAGTTTTGTGTTTGTTGATTTCAGATGGAGAATCCACCGGATCTTTTGGTTGCTTTTACATCGGATGATTCATGTCAAGATAAGAAGAAATTAGTCGATGATGAAGTGATCGATTATCTTCATGTAGAGAAAAAAGCTCTTGAATACGAAGTACAGCAATTACGAAAACAAATCAATGAACGTCGGCAAACAAACAACGAATTTGATGATCAAGCGTATTTGTTACAACAACGAGTTCACGAAGAAATTCAAACGGTCATTCATCAACATAAACAATTGATACAACAAGTGACTAATGATCTATCGATTTATGTTACTAATATGTTACAAAAACGCGTTGAAAACATTGAAAGTTTAAGGTATAGTCTTTGTTGTTCAAGTGTTACATCAAAACGTTATCATTTGATTTAGATTATTACATCAGAAAGAATTATGCGCACATTCGCCAGATTTGACTGACTGTATTCGACAACAATCATGCGAAATGACTGAACTTTGTTCGCATTTGCTTGATGAGCAACGTCAAGAGCCGATGAATCTATTCGAAATATTGAATACTGAATTTCAAAGTGCACTGAATCAGTTACAAACAAGTTTCGACTCCAAAGTCAATTATCTGCATGATATTCACTCATCGACCATCGACAAATTAAATACCAAACATACCAATGAAATCGACGAAATCAAATGTGAATTAAATTTAGCGTGCAATCGATAAAATCATCGACGGAGAAAAGTCATATCATGAGGCAATGCCTGTTAGCAAAAGATTCGTTTTTTCTTCGTCTTCCTACTGTAAGAATTGTGTATTCCGACAAAAAATATACCATGAGAAAAAGATAATCATCATCAGTTTTCTATTCGAACTTTATTTATCACAAACAGACACAAAAAACAATTGAGATTCTGAAGATACATTGCCAAACAGAGAAGATTTATTTCATTAGAAATGACAATAGCGCAATAAAACTAAAGCCAATAAATATACAAAATGTTTTTAGGAATCGATGGCGATTCGATGTCGAATGCCGAGGATGAGAATTCAAATTCAATTCGTGAGGTAAAACATCCAAGAATGTAATGTAGAAAAACGTTCCGCATGCAAAAGCACGAAGAACTTCATGTGTCAATTTCGCTCCTCGATTATTTGGTAAAAGTTCTTGAACAGTAATAACAATCAGGATTCCAACAGGCGTCGCAATTGATAGCAGAAAGGATGCAAAATAGACTAAACGTTTATTCGATAGATTCATTAATTTCAATCCAACACTAAATGTAATGATGGATTTGTGAATGATGATCGCGAAAAATAATTCGAAGAATAACTTCGATTCTTTCGTTGAACCAAGTGCGATGCCTTCGAATACTGAATGAATGATTAACGACAAGATTAAAACGAAGTTTCGTGTGTAAGACACACGATTTTGATTGATAAGTAAATCATCTTTATGTTCGCTGATGTCAAAAAGATGTTCTGTCGACGAGGGCTTTGTCACTAAAGGATTTTGATCATTGATAAATGATGTTTCATCGTCGTCATCATCGTGTGCCATAATAACTGTCGGTTTTTTGCTCAATTGAGCGATGGAACGCGTAGAATTCGAATGGCACGATAGAGTGATTTGTTCGACAAACAAAACGAGAAAGAATCCACCCGCGATTAACAGTTCAGCAATGGGATAATGTTTTGACGCTTGATTATCGTACTGAAATTCGTCTTTAAGTGTCATGTTTATGTGAGAAATAACTTCAGGTAATAAATCCAACAGACATGCGCCGAGAAAAATACCGCCACCAACGCAAGTTATACAACTGATGAAAGTATTCACAGATATGAAGGAGAGATGTGAGCGGGTTGAACGAGATTTCAGCCGAGAATAAAGACAAATCGGAATAGTTAAACATAAAAATGTGGAGAGAAAGAAAACGAGTGAAAGAATTAATTTAACACCGGTGATATCCATTATCGAGAAGATATCTGAAATGAGAAGAAAAAAATAAGACATGCCTCGTTACCAATCTTTTTCGAACAACAGCTGGTGTGGACGGACTAGGCGTTTCAGATGGAAACAGATGGTTCGATTTATTTATTCGAATAGTTTCTTATCATAGCCTTCGATTTGACGAAGCAGTTTCGCGAAAAGATTCTCTTACAAACTAAATAAACATTTGACTCGTTGGGAAAACTAAACAAAATATGAAGAAGATCCTATTTCACTGTTACCGTCTCGAGAAAGACGAAAAGTTTCTTTTTTTTTATCAAGAATACATATGTATATATATACATGATTTTATTTCATTCTTAACAATATAAACACTGGAAAGCGAAGAGAAAAGTGCATTTCCATAATTAACTCGATTGAGACGGTTGTTGTTTCGAGGTTGAGCTTTTAGGATTCGTTGTTGTAGATATATAAGGTGTTTTTAGTGACTAAAATAGAATAACAGATTAGTTGTATAGTTTTTCTCAACATCTACTTACAGCTTTCAATAAATCGTTTGACAAAAACTTCTTATACTGTTTAGGATCTTCAGTACCAAAGCCTGGAACCCACATACTGTATGTTCGTTCTATCGACGGAAATAGTTTCGAAAAATACAATAAGAAAATATCGTTTTTCTTTTCTTTACCAAGATGAAGTTGAACATCTTTTGCTTCGACTGTATTCGCTTTTCGATGCTTCGCATTCTGACAAGAAGCAAGCAATGTCGAATCAACGAATTCTTCCGCTATTTGAGCTAACATCTAGGAGTAGAAAACGATAGGTCCACGATTCTTTGTTGAAGGAAGTTCTCGTACTTCTTCAACTTCTTCGTCAACCTGCATCAGTGGATCGACTTCTTTGATCAATTCTTGTATCGCACGTTTATCTAACAGCTTGAAGATAAAGAGATCTGATTCGATGGGAACATGAAAACAAATTTTCTCGCTTACTGATCGATCTGCATCGTTCGTAGCTGCTCCTGTGGTTGGCACAGTTGCTGTTGCATTTCCTGTTCGCAGGAAACCATTTTCATTTCGATAAGCCATCTACGAAAATTGCTTGCAAAACAAACTGCAATCTTAATAATTGATACAAGATAGTCATCTTTTTCCATGGAATCTGATTAGTTGTTATTCAAACAAATGAACAACACCGGTTAGTAAGTGCATAAGTGCTTTGACGCAATGCATTGATGTAATAAACGGACGGACGGAGAAAGAATACATGTCTATTTAGTCGAACGTACACTCGAGAAAAAAACATTTTTTTATTTCCCAATGAGTAATATATATATATACATCAATGTCATGTATTTCTTTCTTTGTTTAGAACATTCTTGCGACATAGTCGAACAATAAACAAGTTGTGAAAGATTTCATTCGCAAGAAAATTAATTAAAGATGGGCGGACCGCAATTTGACAGAAATTTCGGTGGATATCGAGTGTTTTGCGGCGATTTAGGAAGTCGCACGAATAAATTTGAATTAGAGAAGGAATTCGATTCGTTCGGTCCACTTGTGGATTGTTGGGTTGCACGCAATCCACCCGGTTTTGCTTTTATTGTTTACAAACATGCTGAAGATGCTGAACGTGCTGTCGAAGAACTCGATGGACGGTAAGAACTTTCGATTTCTTTATTAGTTTCTCAAGTAATTCTTTTCTTTAGAACTATTTGTGGCCGTCGAGTCCGTGTAGAACACGCTCGACCAACTGGAAATAAAAAAGGCGCATCATTTGGCCGTGGTTATTTACGCCAACGATCACCAGGCTATCGGTAAGTCATTCTCCTCAATGGGCAAGAAAGATTGAAAAAACGTTTCATTTAATTTCATTTTCACATCTTTTGCCTCCTTCATATTTTTCAAAAACATCAAGAACTAATTTTCGATTTTGCTAATCGCATTTATTTATCTCCTATTGTTCAGCGTTGTTGCTGTCTATGTTCATCCATGATCACCATCTCAGTTGTTCATGTTCATCTATTCTGATCGTATCTCTACATATGTATACAGCGGCATTCCTACAGATACTTTTCAGCCAGCTGATCCTTTAATCTGCACTTCTTCTCTGTGTATTCTTCTCTTCGACCAGTGAGTATTTTTTTATTTAAATCAAAACATCTTTGACGAACATTGTGCAGTGGCATGAACATCTTTTAATCATGAAGATTACTTTGGTTTTTTCTTCCGTTGTTGTCAGTCGAGATACGAATGGGGAAGAAAAATTAATCGTTCTATTTCATCGACTAGGTCACCAGATTCAAAACGAGATCATGATGACGATCGACGTCCGGGTCGACGCGAACGACGCCGTTCGCCAAGTCGTTCACGGTAAGGAATGCTTTTGTATAATTTGGTTTCCATGATTTGTGTTTGTTTAGATCTCGTTCATCATCTCGTGAAGAACGTCGATCGCGACGACATCATCGTCGTTCACGATCACGCTCACATTCACGTTCGAAAAAAGAAAGTAAACGTAAACGTCGTTCATCATCAAGTCGATCACCGGCTGACGAGAAAAAGTAACATTCATTTTTCTCTTTGTAAATTTTAATTTCTGATTTTATTTTTCTAGACGCTCTCGTCAACGAACGTAAGCAAAGCAAAACTTTTTTCCTTATATGAAGAGCTTTCATTTTTACTATGTTTTAGTCTATCACGGGATCGATCATCGTCACCCGCAGAAAAATCTCGTCGTGATCGGTCTTCTCGGTCACCATCGAAAGATGACAACGATGAGAAAAAAGACGAATCTAAAAATGATAATGATAAGTCGAATAATGAAAAGATTGATCAAGATGAAAACGACGAAAGTCGATCATCACCACCACCTGAAGATGCTGACATGAAAAACAATGATGATGACTAAATCATTCAAATAATCGTTATTTGTTTTGTTTGCGTCGTTTTCCTTCTCTAGTTTCTATGTGTTTCATGTGTCGTGTAAAGAAATTCATTCATCTTTGTTTGCTTACTGGTGTTTTGTCATTAACTCATTTTTTCTTTCTGTTCAGCTGATCGTTGTATGTGCGTGTTTGAAAGAACAGAGTATCATTGAAATAAAAACTAAGAATCGATCTACGCTCGATATAAATTCTCAGTTTCATTCAGCTCGCTTCTAGATGGAAACCGATTGGCAATAGTAAAATGCCCAAGTCACGTAATAAGAAGGATGCCAATGTATCGACTTCGAAATTCTCGCAACCATTACCACTATTAGACAGTATACGTGGTCAGACACAATCAACGGTGAATATGGACAATGATTCAGACACAGATAACTTGAAAATACCACCAACAGCAGTTGGTTGGCAATGTAACATGGATGATTGGTCGGATGCGAAAGCTCCGAACAGTGCAGAGAATCAATTTCCTCAAAGTCTTCGTTCACTTGAACGAAAACAAGAAAAAAAGAAAGATCTTCTTCTAAAAACTTTGACAGTCAACCATGAAAACATGAACAAAGAAGCAGAGAAGAAGGCATCATCAGATGATATTGATCTTCCAAAGCTAACTCAACTTGTAACAGATCTCATAACCGGGAATGGAGGTGAAAAAGCGTATGACGACTTTTTGTCTATTCTTCAATATTTCTCCGTGCATTCAACTCGTGACGATCATCTCGAAGAAACCGTTTATCATTTAATTCAAGCTGCGGTTAGTTTTATTCGTTCGAATCAACAACGATTCGATTTAACCAAACTCGACGAATGTTATCGTCGACGGCATCTTCTTAAAAGCAATTCTACTCAGTAGATTAGGAATTCAATTGTGCATTTTGTTTCATGTATATGTTTCTCGATTGAAAAAGCAGAAAGGAATAAATGTTTAAATTTCAAGTGTAGATTTTTATTGAACCGACTGATGATGTTTTACTTTGTCTATAAACAATCTTATTGATTTCTGAATATACATAACAAGAAAAACAAACGAGTCCTTGTTTAACCAAATTTGCCAGCTGGATTGTAGTATGGTCGACGAAGACGTGAGATACGCCATGAATTGGGCTCTTCGTATTTGTTGAACAATGGTTCGACACGTTGTTCTTTCTTCATCTTTGACAATCTTGTTGCATCTCCAAATTTGAAAAACTTCGGCGCATACTCAACAAGCCATTTAGGATCAATTACACAAACTTCACGCATGTATTCTTTCGTCGTGAAAACCAACTCATGATAACAAAGCCTACAGAGATTAACCGATAAGATATACATACAATTTAGTGCATAAGACATACCACTCCGGTTGTCGATGATAGATCGAACTCGATGGATGAATATAAACTACTTGACTATCGACTAATGTTCGATAACCTAAACAGATTGATCTCGTATAGATTCCGTACAAAACCGCTGTTCTAGTTTTACCTTCTTGAGGATCACGTTTTGCAGCATTTCGAAAGAAACCAGAGCAGATTGCTTTTTGAACAAGACCAGTTTGTCTTCCGCATGAAATAACGTCCAATTTATGTCTAAAAGCTCAGAATGATCTACGGATTGATTGAAGTCAAGGAAACATACCGATCCATAATACCCAACATTTGTTTTCGAATATCTTGCGAGCGTTTTAATGAACGTTGTTGAATAAAATTTTCATAACACCATAGATTGGAAAACTTATTCTGTTTCCAAGCATTGTAAACAGCAAGTAGGGTTAAATGATCACCTTCGGATTGATGAAAACGAGCTTTACGTTGATCCGATTGTTCTGCTTTTTCCTGAAATACATCGAAGAAAATCAAGTTACAGAAAAACAACTCTGCACAATCTGCATACTTTTGGTCGATAGAAAACATTCTGTACGGAAAGCATCGATACGATGGTCAATGCTTCTTCGGCGCAGCGTAATTCAACGGACATGATTAACATTTTTGATAATTGTGGCTCTAATGGAAATTCTGCCATACGTCGACCAAGTTTAGTCAACAATCCTTCGTCGTCCAGTGCACTCAGTGCATGCAATTGTTCCATGGCCATAATCATGGTTTCTAATGGTGGTGGATCCATGAAATCGAATGATAGCAGATCATTGATACCCATGGCTTTCAAACTTAGCACTGTACTGGCTAAATTTGTTCGTTGAATTTCAGGGACATTAGTTGAAAGCATTTCATCACGGTAAGCACGTTCGGTATATAATCGATAAGCTTTTCCTGGACCTGTTCGACCTGCACGACCCATACGTTGCTTTGCTTGAGCCTAAACGACGAAAAATTCCTGTTATTTGCCATATTTTGCCAATTGAAAGAAACTTACTTGACTGATAGGTGTGACCACGAGACTATCCATGCCTGATTTTGGATTGAAGACTTTTTGTTTCACGAAACCAGGATCAACAACGTAATAGATACCGTCAATAGTTAGTGATGTTTCAGCAATGTTTGTTGCAATAACGACCTGTGAAGAGGAAAATGAAGGAAATCTTTGGTAAATAAGATCAAATACCTTGCGTGAACCCGGTGGTGCCGGATCGAAGATTTTGGTTTGCATTTCACTAGGTAATGCTGAATATACTGGTAAGATAATCAGTTCAGGAACTTCAGGGCCCAGAGTTTTCATTCGTTCAAATAAAATTTCGCACGCCGTATCGATTTCTTCTTTACCAGTTAAAAATACTAATATATCACCTGAAAAATAGAGGAAAATTATCAAAAACTATTCATCTTCTCTCGACTGGACATACCTGGTGGTTCAGTAAGATGAATTTGCATAACTGTAATCAATGATGCATCGAGATAATCGGTTTCTGGTTCTTTCGTATACAGAACTTCAACAGGAAATGTTCGACCGGGAATGGTAAAGATTGGCTATAGAAAGCGAACGCACATTTAATTGAAATTCAATTAAATTGTTTCAACTTACTGCTTTGAAGAAATATTCGGAAAACTTGACGGAATCTAAAGTAGCTGACGTGACGATTAATTTCAGTTCTGAACGTTTTTGCACAGCCTGTTTCATTAGACCAAACAGAACATCAGTATGGATGGTACGTTCGTGTGCTTCATCCAACATGACCACCGAATATTGATTCATATCTGGATCAATTAAACACTCTCGCAATAACATACCATCCGTCATATATTTGATTTTGGTTTCCGGTGATGTACAATCTTCAAAACGGATTGTATATCCAACTTCCTGTCCAAGTCGACAACCGAATTCTTCAGCGACACGTTTAGCAACGGACATGGCAGCAACACGACGCGGCTGCGTACATGCAATTCGACCTCGTGATGTGTAGCCAGCTTCAGCTAGATATTGTGTAATTTGAGTCGTCTTTCCCGATCCGGTTTCGCCGATAACGACAAGTATTTGATTATCATTGACAGCTTTGAGTAATTGTTCTTTTAATTTGTAAATTGGTAAACTTTGCCGTTGTTCAATAATACTCATTGTTGTTCGTTTACCGAATGTTGGCTTGCTATTCATTAGAGATTTCTTCCACTCCGACATATTTGCCCCTGATTTCGAATTTAGATCTGCTGATGTTGTACGTGATGTTGAACTGTCAGGATTCATCGGATCATCGTAATTCGTACCATTTGGACGAAATGTTTCGCTTCGTTGTTGTTGATCACGTTGTTCCTGTTGAATTTCTCGTCGTTCTTTCGATAAGGCACTCTGCATCATCGCTGCTTGTTGTAGCGATCCATCCGGATTCTTCACAATCTTTACCGGACTCAAATCTTGCACACTTTGTTTACCATAACCTTTTAAAAACGGTGCTTCGTCGTCAACAACTTCCACTTCGATATCTTCACCATCGGAATCATCCTCTTTAGATAAAAGTCCAGTTTCGGCATCATAGTATGGTAATTCAGTAAGGTCGATACATTTCGCACTACGCATTTGATTAAGTTCCCATTGATCATAATCGGAGACTTGTCGAGAACTTTTTCCTCGATTATCTTTCGAATTGATATCTAATTGACCGGCCATCGAAGGATCACGGGGATTCATTCGGTTTAACGAGGAATAACCAGCAGGACCATCCGGATTTCGATCATTTTCAATGCTTATTTCACCACGTAATTTTTTTGTTAAATCTTCATTCAAATCATCACCTGTGTCTTGGTCAACATCTTTCATCGAGAGACTGAGTTTGTCATCTGTACATGAAAGAACTTTGACTTTTACAGCTTGATTACGTTTGATAACATCAGCCACATTTGCAATTCGATCCTTATGAATCTAAATGTTCAAACAATAACGTATATGAAAACATGGGATTGAGAAATTTCTTACATTTGATATATGAACAAGTCCTTCTAAACGATTGCGAAACTGAGTCAACCGTACAAAGCATCCCCATCGCATGATTGACATCACTGTTCCATCATAAATATTCCCAACAGTTGGTTTATCTGGCGCTCTCTGGCGTGGTGGTGATTCATTGCGATCATGATGCCGTGTTTTTTTCGAGGAATGATGTTTCGGTGAAGGAGAGCGATCGTAACTACTACGACTACTTCGACTGTCACTTCGAGAACCGGTTGATGAACGTCGACGACGTTTACGATCTTTATGACTACATCGAAACAACAAGTTAAGTAAAATAAATAGTTTTCTTTGAGAAAACTCTTACCTAGACTTCTTTCGATCGTGTTTTGAATCTGGCGAACGATTTCGGTGATGCTTTTTCTTTTTCTTGTGATCATCATAATCGTCGCGTTTCACCGATTGATTCGATTTCGCTTTGGCTTCAAGATTTACTAATTCATCCATAAGATCGTCAACAGTCTGTTTATCTTCCTCTTTCGGAATATCTGGCTTTGTTTCATCGTAAATCATTGTCTAGATAACCGATCAAAATAAGTTATTGAATTGACAATCAGAAGCGAACTTACTCGAATTGATGGATCATTGGGTCGACATAAAGCTGGACACATGGCTTTCCGCAGTGCCATGTCTGTCAATTGCCGAGATTGTTCGCCATTGGTTTCGCTTCCATTGTCGATTGTTGTTGTTGTCTTCGTTGGTGTCGGTAACATTTTTTGAACAATACGATACAAATTGCTGCTGAACGAATCAGGAAAATCGGCGTCATTTTCACTTAATTTCTTTCGAAAAACATCATAAGTGTTGCTTTCTTTCGCTAAATGAATGATAAATTCGGCCAAATCTTTATCGTCAAGATTTAAATGATTGTACAATTCGGAGCAAATCTTTGATACAAGCGACAGGTACTCGAAATTTTGTAAATCGTCCATTTCGTTCCTATCTGAAATAAGAAATAGCTATTGGGTAACGCAAAGAACTTTCCTTTCCTTCGATAATTCTTGTAGTTATATTATTTTTATTCTTTCACAACATCCATTTCCATAGGCTACCTCATTCACGTATGATAATCTATGTTAGTAGAATATGAAAATAACTCTGTTGAAAAAATCGGTCAGATTTTATCGATGATAAAAAGTTTATAAAGGAGCAGAATATTGATACCAGTATATGAGATGGTTTCGTTATAGAGGTCACTAGTGGTTTGAAGGTAGCCTTCAGTATCAGTATATCATATAACTTTTTAGGTATCTTTAGGCTAAAGAATATAGTAGAATCTTTGCTAGTTGATTGATCGACAGGTATTGTTTTTTTCTCGTTTAGAGATCAATGAATAAAAATTGAAATTTAATTTGAAGAAATAAGTAAACATAAACTATTAAAAAGAACGTTTGATACGCACACGCAATCACACACATGCATATATTCTTGGTAGGGATATTCAAGAAAAAAAATAGGTCAAATTGAACGCAAAGAAAAGAGAAGACATATGTGGTGATGCAGAACATCATTGAGCTAGCAAGCTGAACAAATGACTTACATAAATAAACATTCTGCTATTTCTTTCATTATTAAACACACGTGTGAATTAGTATTCAGTCTCTACGAAATGTTAGGGTGGGTAGTAGAAAGGATGTTATGCATGATTGTTATAATGTTTGTATAGTAGTAACAAGTGACAATTAGGTTGAAGATGTTTCTTCGACTGGTGGAGCATCTGCTGCAGTCAGAGTAGGATCATTTTCAAGTGAGGAGGCACCTGATAATGAACTACCATCAGCTACGGCACCTTCGGAGGACACTGGTTGATCGTCAGTAATTTGACTGGGCGTGGGTGCTTCCTCTTGTTGAGATACTTGTGGTGTTGAAGGAGGTGCGGCGGGTAGTTGTTGCTGTTGTTGAGGCGATTGTGAGCTAGGTAAATCTTCACCAACGATTGATCGAGAGACATGTTGAATTCGCTGTGAGAGTGATTCTTCTTGATGTTGACCCGATTCTTTCGCCTGATTCATGTAATGATCGCGTAGTGATGATAATCCAGTGTTGCTTGTAGTTGCTTGATGTTGTCGACGTATATCCTGTGGTGAGTTCGTACTTTCAGAAAGTGATCCGCGTTTGAAGCGGTCACGTAATGCACCAAAGCCAGGTGCAGGACCTTGAATATGTGGTGGAGCAGCTGATTGTTGAATATTTGACGATGTATTACTGATAGCTCCTTCTTGCATCAATCGATAATATTCAGCACTATTCACAGGTGGCTCTTGAGGTTTAGGTAGTGCTGAGTATGTCATTGTATGTGAAGATGACGCTCGAGTTGTGCTTGAGGTTGTTTGACCACCACTTGTTGTTGATGAATAGTTCGAACTTGAAAAATGTCGTGTAGTCGTCGTTTTTTGTTTGGGATCATATGTGGGAATTTTTGTTGGGCCAGTGAATTTGTTCATCAAGCCCTAGACGGAAATGATTAACAGTTGCTATAAAATCAAAAATGAAAGGTACACACTCGAATTCCAACCGGTGGCGCTGGCTGTTGGGCTTCGATAATTTGTGTTTGTTGTTGTTGTTGTTGCGCTCTTTGCAATGCTTGTTGTCGTTGAGCTGCTTCGAGCTGAGCGGCTTGTTCTTGTTGGCGAGCTAACTGTGCTGCATAGTAGTCTGTCATCGTCGAAAACATCAAATGAAAATTATAATAAAAGTAGTTCTAAGATTCTGTATGTATAAATCGTCTCTTTTGTCCTTAATAGCTCTCTGAGGACACATCGCTATTGCCTTCTTTACATATCTTTGGGAGTACATTTAGGAAAAAAGGAGAACAGAAAAACGTACCTTGTTCGTCTTGATGATGTTGTTGTTGTCCGCTAGATGCTGTCGAATGGTACTGCTCTTGTTGGTAGGTCGAAGATGACGAAGATTGCTGAGCAGCAGCACGACGTTGTTGTTCGTAGTAAGCATCCAACGGATTTTGTTGATCTGAATATTAAAGAAAAATAGATGTTTCATTGTAGGAGTTCAAATTTTCTGTCAAGTCAAACCGTAATGTTGTTGTTGTTGACGGTAAGAATCTTGACTGTTGTGAGATGAAACGTTACTTTGAACTTGTTGCGATCGTTCTTGGTATGGATCGTATTGATCTTGACCTATACTCAACAATAAATAACTTTGTTTGGAATATTATTTGGATGAAAGGAAAGAACCTTGTTGGCGATATTGTTGATCTTGATTGGAAGAAACTTGATGAACTCGTCGCTGTTGTTGATGCTCATCATAGCGTTGAGGATCTTGATTTGATCGAACTGATTGATAGTGTTGATCTGTACGTTGCTGTTGCTGTTGTTCTTGTTGTTGTTGTTGTTGTTGTTGTAAATAATATTGTTGTTGAGCGATCTGTTGTCGTCTTAATTCATCTTGTTGTTGTCTCTGAATCTGTTGCTGACGTAACAGTTGCTGATATTGTTCTGAAAATGGCATAATAGTAGAAGTCAGAGATAAATATATGGATGCATGTGTCCGTATAAAAGTATAGACAAGTACAACTAATACATACCGGGAGTTAGTTGACTGTAGTATTGTTGTAGTTGATCTTGATGTTGTTGAGTTGGTTGAGGAGATGATTGAGAGGTTGAATACGATTGTTGTTGCTGATGCGAACTACTTGACACTGTTCGCACTGGTACATGTTGTCCCTATATTAAGATAAAAGAAAATAATATTCCGACAGATAAAACTACGAATAATGATGAACGAGTCAATCTATCATTACTGGGATAATTACGCCTATTTTTCTCATATAGAAACAAGCGATGTAAATACCTGCACATGTTGATCATGACCTCGAGATGGACTTTCCGTTCGCTGATCCAGTGTCTTCTGTGTATATTGACTAGAACCTGGTGTTTGATAATTGCCTGAGGTGTTTGTTGATTGTCCTACTTGTTGACGAGAATCATGTTGATATTGCTGATGAAGTTGAGAAGATATTTGAGGAGATTGAGGTGTACCTTGTTGATCGTAGGTTGAATACGAGTGTTGTGATGGTTGTTGTTGACGTTGATGAGGCGAAATTTGTGGAGATTGTGATGCGCCTTGTTGTTCATAATTTGCATAAGAATGTTGCTGTTGTTGTTGTTGCCGTTGTTGAGGTGAAGTCTGTGGAGAATGAGGCGCACCTTGTTGTTCATATGTAGCATATGAATGTTGCTGTTGTCGTTGCTGTGGTGAAACTTGTGGAGATTGAGACTGACCTTGTTGTTCATAGCTTGTATAAGCTTGTTGTTGTCTTTGTTGTGGTTGATGATACTGTTGCTGTTGCTGTTGATATTGGTTCGATGAAGAAAATTGTTGCTCTTGACTGTTTACTGATCTTACCGTCGCTCTGACTTGTGGTGCAGGCGAGGGTGATGATTGATACTGCTGTTGAGTTACACTTTTAGTAAATCCTGCTACTGATTGATGTTGTTGTGGATATTGATAGAGATCATTTTCATTATAAGTGGTTCGATCTGATCGAACTTGTTGATGTTGAGAGCGAATTGCGGCAACTCCAGCAGGTTGAGATGAATATTCTGATTGACCTACTGTTGTCGTTATTGCTACAGGCGATGAATAAGTTTGATCTTGTGTTGTTCGTTGTGATTGCGACGTAGTGGCAGCATTATTAGCATCAAAGTAATATTGACTGCCACTACTTCCATTTTCAATGTAGTGCGTGGCCATATCTTCAATTTTATTATTAAAATGTGATTAGATAATGGCGAAAAGTAAAAGATATTCTTCCGAGCAAACTGAAGACGTAATAAACAAACAAAGAAAACAGATTTTGTAAGAATAAACCAAACAGAACAGAGCAAAGGCGAAGAACGCTTGTTTGGTTTATCTTCTCAATACACGATTTTTCTTTTCCTTTCCGTTAATGCAATTTCTTCGTTCTACTTTTATCTGTCTATATATGTCTATATGGATAACACAGAGGCAACTGAGTTCCTCGTCGTGTTGACCAAAAAAAAAGATCTGTTATACATCTCTTTTCTTTCTATTGTGGATATTCCTGCTGCCGTCATCGATGCAAAGAGAGCATATTGAGAGAACACAATCATATGTATGTATATATAGCCGACAAATCATTTTTACCAGCAGAAAGAAAAATATCGAGCCACAACAAGACATCAGATGAGAAAGGCGTACTTATATGCACGCCCACATACATATACATTCCTCATATATCAAAATAAGGAAAGACATATATGGTACAACATAGAGCATACGGAAAAAGAAAGAAATCAACGTATTGTTACTGATTAACATGAATATTTCCCAACGACAGGATGTAGAACCCCCTTCGTAGATCTTGTTAGCTATGTTTATGGTTATTTTATAAAATTACAAGATTCTTTTCATAATTAGATAGACAGGATGCTATTTTGATCGAAGGTCTAATCGATAGAGCACAATATTTTTCAGTGTCAATGCATTTTTGCCGAGCCATATTGTCTTGTGAATACAAAGACAATAAAACTAATTCATGTAGTCAAAACACTAGTTGATCAAAAGTCGAACTAATTAGCTAAGCGTATCCTCTCAACTGGAGAAAATAGATTTTATTATCCATTAAGAAAAACATTCTCTGTTATCTAAACTACCATAAAATATTTACTCATGCAAACAGCCTCTCGGATCTCTACATGTTGTCAAAAACAAGAATGTCGCCTTTTAACTACTATCCGACGATAATATCAAAATAAATTCTTTCATTTTTAGCAGAAACTTACTGATTCCTTCGTTCTTGATCATGTTGAGTTCTGTTTGCTTCCAGACTGGTATCAACATTCTCTGCGGTGCTTACTGTCACCCTTTTGTCGAGAGCGGATCGATAGTTAACATATATCTCAGCTATTACACATGCAATAACACATGATCTCTCTTAGAAAATAAATAGATTTTCACTTGACTACTGCTTTGTTGTTAACAAGGATTCACTATTAAAATCGACGTGCGCAAAACCCAGTTTACAGTGATTGATGACACTAATAAGTGTATCGCTGATGCAGTTAATCATTGATATCCAGAGACTACAGTATTTGGAAATGCAATCGAATAGACCTGATCTTAACATTGTGAGCTTTCAGTCTATGTGAAACGTATCGAGCTGAATTTAAAAAAAACAATAATCACCATCTAGAGTGAAACTGGAGGAGACGAACGAATTCCTTCATAGCAGTACTTCCATTATGAACGAAAAGGAAAAAATGCAACACGTGAAATTTTACTTTTCGATTTCTCTCGTTACTCTCCTTAAAAACTCAACCTTATGTTTACTCACACGTTTATATTTCAAGCAGACGTGTACACACAGATGCGAAATTTCTCTTGACTGATTGCTTGGCCTAGCATAAATCGTCCTTTTCCCAACAATTATGCGAAGATATTCTTCTGATCGAATATGCTTTTTCCTGAGTGCGTCATTGCTAACCTACATTGCATGGCGCGTACTTTATCCTTCAGGATACAATGCTACAGACGAAGATGATGCAACGGAAAGATTGGCTTATTTAAAAGCATCGAATAACTCAAAACCGTTAATAGAAAATCTTCAGTTATGTTCTTCGAACAAAATCGATCTTATTATTCTGATTATTTCTACCAGTGGAAATTTTCTTGAACGACAAGCTATTCGTGAAACATGGGGATCAATGACTGACATGTTTACAGTGCGATCTCAACATCTTTTTGTTATTGGTTATCATCCATATGGCAAGTTTTATAAAGATCTGATAAAAGAAGGAGAACATGAAAAAGATTTACTTTACGTACCTAAGAAAGAGCAAGAATATACATTTAAGGAAATCTACGCGTATCAATGGTTAACTCAGCATTGTCCAAATGTAACATACATATTTAAAACTGAAGATGATCTGTTCGTTAATGTTCTACTTCTACACGAAATTATTCGAGAACTGAAAACCGATCCTGATGATGTTTATAATCGATATTTGTACAACAGTCAAATTGATAGTTTGTTCCTGGCGAGAAGTGCAAACAATGGGAAACAGTTTTTATTTGGTTTAGCATATCAAGCAGGTAAACCAGAACGGAATCTAACACATTCCCCGTATTTTGTTAGTCGAGAAGAATACGCACCTGACTTATATCCAGGTTATTGTTCTGGTTTGTACATTGAAACTCGGTTTATGTTGTTCGTTCATTTCATTCGATTTAGGTTTTGGTTATTTGATGACTTCGGCAACGAAGTCGGCTTTATTAGCAGAAGCCGTCAAAGATCAGCAACCACTTCGTTTTGCTGATATCTTTATTACGGGAATCATTCCACAGCGTTTAAATTTCTTTTGTCAACTTATTCCTTTCGGATTTTATCAAGGTTCAGTTGATACATGTGCCGGATTGATTAAAAACACGACCATGTTAAATCCTCCTCCGGGTATTGCTCCACTACTAACTTGCTCAACTGGACGTCATGTGGGTCAGCATGCTTTTGCTGACTATTATCGACTTTGGACAGAGTTAAAATTAATGTACGCAGGTCGAATAAATCCCGTTAAGGAACAATAGGATCTAGTTTCTAATGTCTCAGTTCTATTAATTAATTCAAGTTTTCATCAATAATTACAAAAATAAGAAACACATATGTATACAGTTTTAACAAAATCGAATAAAACAATATTTGTTCTAATAAAAGCATCAGTAAAAATGTAAATACAAAGGCAAATTGTTCGCACACAGATACAGTTATATACAGGAGAGTGAGATATCAAAGATCTGCAAGAACTAAAATGAAATTATTGATTCATAGTATCATCATCGTCGTCGTCGTCGTCACTCGGTGTTGTATCACCTTAAACCAACGAAATCGAATAATTAATCAGTAATAAAAGTTCTACCTTGTATACCTTCTGTATTATTTTGTTTGTTTGGCGGTGACTTTTTCTTGGATGCATAACCTCGTGAACTTTGACTACTACGTTTCGATTGAAGCAATACCTAAATGAACGATGTAAATACACATGGGAAGGTGGAATATTCTGTTGAACAGACTTCGTGAAGATGTGGAATAACACCACCTTCAGCAATAGTTACGTGTTGACATAACTTATTCTAGAAGGAAACCATGAATATCAATGATACTGGATATCGAAGTTTTACTTACCAGTTCTTCATCATTACGTATAGCCAAAAGAATATGACGAGGCGTAATACGACGTCGTTTATTTTCATGGGCCGCATTTCCTGCTAATTCGGTTATTTCGGCTACCTAATTGAACCCATTTCTGTACTTTCGAATACCGCTGACATGCAAAGTACTTACTAGATATTCCAAAACACCAGCCATGTAGACAGCAGCACCGTCTCGGACGATTTTAGCATAGTTTCCCTCTTTCATAACACGATGAATTCGATGCACTGGAAAGACAACGCCCTATCGAATAATCGATCATATAAAAATAATCAAAATAATGAATCGAAAACTTACAGCTCGTTGTGAACGCCGTAAAACTTTATGACGCTGTATGTCACCATCGTTCGTATTTCCAGATTGTCTTTGTTGTTGACTGTTTTGCGCAGTATTTGATGTTGTTTGACGTTGACTTGATGATACGTTTGTTTCGTTACTATTACTTTTCTTTTGAGTCATGGCTGTGGAAATAATTATTACGGAGTAAGAATAAATGGTGAATGAACGATTGGTAACGGTTATTTATAGTGAGAAAGAAAGAGTGATTTCATATATATATCCGACTGAGAATTTCTTTTAGTTCGTCCGTCTTAGCAAATAGAAAATGTATTTGACTGTAAGATATAGATATATATGTAATGCGTTACAAGTGTAGTAGAATCCCGTAATCATTATTTTCTTGAGATATTAAGTTGCCATTCATGTTTATTTGTATTAAATTCAATGAAATACGTTTTCGAATATTTGTGGACAACAATTGATTCAAATCAAAGAAGGAAAAAAGACAAATATTAACGAGAAGCTTTTTCAATGATGGGAAATCTGCTTACTCCGTTTAAAGTGTCTTATAAGATCTAAAACGAGGGGAAGTTTTAACCTTTTTCAACCGATTCTCAGAGGAGAACGAGAAGGAAATGTTCATGTCGTAGCTGTGATTTCAATTTGACCAAGTTGGGCAGATTGTCTGAAAAGTCAGATCATGACTTGAAATTTGAATACCTTTTTACTTTTCTTCTGACGTCTGACTTTAAAGCACTTTTATCTAATTTCAGTGAACTTCATTTAAATCTTAGATTTTACTATTCTACCGTAACCTATCACTACAGTATATAAATATGGCATCATCTCTGCTGTTTATACTCCGCAATGGTAGAGTTTTATGGTAAACTATTAAACATGAAATGAAGCAATCTTAAAGGTGATTAGATCTCCTGACTTACATTGTTCATATGTAATTTCTATGTTTAACTTCGTCCTGAGTGAGTTTTGAGCATAATAAGAGTTTGGTGATAAATATTTTCATTACTTTCTTATCAATTAAACCGTATATTTATAGCAGTATGGCACCATAAGAGCAGTTCATTTCTAAGAAATGCCGTTTCTGATCAATCCCTCTACCTTCAGACTTCGTTCTCGATACCCTCGCCCACATCCAGAGTAGTCCCTCTTTGAATTGTTTGCGGATTGGAGTTGCGTTAGTCCGTCTCCTCCACGCGATCAGTTGATTATGAATAAAGAGTAATAGAACAACGTTGTTGAAATATCTATAGTGAGAAGAAAAATAAAAGTGTACATTTAAAAAAAGCGACTAAACTCGCTGTATATGCTGAAAATATGCGAAGTCTTCAAAATTTATCGACTGAGCAAAATGATCGGGTATATCAGTGTTGATCAGTGTACAGGTAACATCGTGGACCTACGTAGCATACCATAGTGCTCGATTCGAGATATTTTCGGATTTATTGGTCATATATGGATTCCAACTGTCATTTTACTTGTTCCACCCGAAACCCTCACCCCTTGTAATATGAATTTTCTTAAACAGAATCATGAGAGGAAAAAGGAATAACTTATTTTACTCTCGGAAACACACTGGCAATTCCAGGAATCTCTCTGTGAGAAAAGTTAACTTTGACAACTGATAAAATGATATGCAAAAAAGTAATACCGTCAAAACCTTTCTGTTCTTGTCGATTAATAGGTAAACAGTAAGCCACACTCACCATGTTTTTTATTTAAGAAAAGATCAAAAAACGAATAGTTTTCTTTTCGCTGCATCACTTTGTTACCTGTTGTTAAGTTGCCGTTTATACACGCATGCCACGACAAGTAATTATTGGTAATTGTTTATTCTTAATTAATCTTATTAATCAATGTACTTTCTTTCTACTTTTGACTAAATAGTATATCTACATGTTGTAGATATTAGTTAATAAGGTTAATTAATATTATTTGACTTTTGTTATTCATTTTCCTTCTATTCATATCATCAAGAGTCCTTGCATTGCTATTTGGTCAAATTTCTTCCCTATTTTTTATTATTGGTAATGCATATACACACGTCTTCATTAAATAATTTCGTTTATTCTCCAAACTATTTCAGTCATTACTCTCATTCTCTTGATCACTCGTCAAGAAGAAAAAATTAAAGTAAAATCAACATTATCACATTTTACAACGTTAGAACGTCAATTTTTAAATTACAAAAGAACTTCAACTGTTACGAATTGTAATTGGTCTATCAGCACTACTTTAAGAAATACTTTCTTTTAATTTGACTTGTACAATATTGATTACTTAGCAACGACACACACTTTTTCATATGCTTCAAACATTATGTTTTCTTGTATGTATTATAGCATCAACTGCGTATATGAAAGAATTATTTAAATTCTCACATCGCTTTTCAAATGATAATCAGATTAAATGAGTTTCCTTTTTCTTATTTTAGTCATATCGAAGAAATAAACGATAATTTATAAGAATAAATATTATATGAATTATGAATATACGTGGATAATATTCATATCAGAAAGAAGCAAAAGGATTTCTAGACAAAAAATCAACTAGAAATTGTCAGAAATCATTTTATTTCTCCTTGGTTCATATAGAAAAAATTAAATTAAAAGACGCACAATCTCTTATTTATCCTATAGTTGAATATTGTCAAATTTTATTTATTTCTTTATTCTTTTTTAGTGTAAATTATGAAGAAAAATCTCTGTATTTCCACCTATAATATGATTATTGTTATCAGAGTTATATGTGATAATTCATTTTTCGAAACACAACAAAATAACGAAACATAAAATTTTCGATTATATTGTTGTTGTCAATCTTAGCCCCAATCGTTTCTTATGTTTTTATATAAATAGAAAACAACACGTCTCTCTTTTTTATCTTATAGTTTTATTTACTGAATTATTTTTATTAAATGTATATGAATTTTAATTGTTAATATAAAATCTCATAAATTATTGTCATAAAAGTCATGACGTTGATAATATTAAATAAGAACGTTATTTTATAAAATATCATGCACAAATTCGTCATATTTGAAAATGAAAAGAATAATAAAAAGAAAGAAAGATTATAAATATTGAATGAAGTCCGTTTAGTTTTCATTCTTAACTATTTGAAAATGTTTTTTATTCTTTTGATGCTTTTTATTAATGGCATTGAAGGTAATTGATTATATCTGAAAATTTTTAGATTTCTATTATTTTAGTTTTTATAGTTTTTTCTATTAATCAACATAAATTTTGTCCAACAGCCAAATGGAATTCGGATGCATCGACTTTTAATGAAAAAATTATTGCGATTAAAGGTTCATCGATGTTTATCGATAAAAAAAATACAATTTATGCTCTTAGTCGTGATAAAGCTCGAATTCTGATATGGCCTAGTGGTCAAATTCAACCAATCATAATTAATTGCACAACTGAAGCAAGACTTCATTTTATGTTTGTTTCAAACATTGGTGATATTTATATTAGTGCTACTGACAACACAATTACTCAATGGATAGCAAATACAAATGAATTTGTTGATATTATGACGCTTGGAACACTATGCTGGAGTATGTTTATTGATGTTAGTGATAATTTATATTGTACAATGTTAACACATCATAAAGTTATAAGAATGTTTTTCAAAGGCGACATACTGATGAATATAAAAGAAATAGCTGCTACAGGTTTTGGGGGTTCGGGTCCACATGAATTAGAGAGACCCCACGGAATCTTTGTCGATACAAATTTCGATTTGTATGTAGCAGATTGTGATAATCAACGAATACAATTCTTTTTATCTGGAGAAAAAAATGGAAAAACAGTGGCAGGGCGCACTTCATTAGATATTACTATTACGCTTCATGACCCAGTGTCAATTGTGTTGGATGCTGATAAATATCTTTTCATTTCGGATTCTTTAAATCATCGTATAATTGGATCAGGACCAAATGGTTTTCGATGTTTAATTGGATGCCGTAGTGAAGACGTTGAATCGGATCAATCTATATCACCAGCACACTTAACTTTTGATGTTGATGGAAACATGTTTGTTATTGATTATAACGATGCACGAATTCAAAAATTTGATATTGAGAAAGATTCTTGTGGTAAGTTTATGATATAGTTCAACGAGAAAAAACTATGAGATTTAGCATAAACAATTCTTATTCTTTTATTTAGTAAATGTTCCTACAACTATTCAAACGGTGTATTCATCTACTTTAACAACAAATCATTCAATGTTTTCACGTACTATATTCAATAATTCAAACTATTATTATGAAGCTATACAAATAGCTGTGACTAAAAACGACTTCTATATTCTCACCGGCAATAGTACTATTAATCTTTACGGTTTTCTTTATAAAGATTTTTTCAGTCCATTCATTCCTACGGCAAATCTCATTGCATGGTATGGAAACTGTTGTGATAAAGAGCAATTTAAATTCACACTTGAACTTAAAATCGGTATAAAATACATTTTGGTTATAACAACATATAATCCAAGAGTGATAGGTTCTTTCTCAATTATACTATTCGGTTCAAATATGGTTCATTTCGAACAGATCGGTGAGTAATACATATACCGTTGAGGTGATTATTTACAAAAGGAAATAGAAGTAGTCGATAATCTTTGTATTGAATAGATGCTAAATCAGTCATCAGATCAACGTATTCATCTCAATTAACGAATAATCATCCAGTATATGATCGTTGGAATTGTTATCTAGGACAAGAATTTCATTATGAAGAAATGCAAGTGGATGTAAGCGAAAGTGATTTTTATATTATTCTTAGCACTGGTGATGATATAAATGTGGCTAGTTATATATATGAACGTGATTTTTATCCTCATAGTGCACTTGGAAACTTAATCTCGGACAGAGATAATGGTTGTAAGGGTGATCCATCCGAAATTTCTATTAAACTTATGAATAACACTCGATACATATTAGTTGTCACAAGTTGTGATCATAGAGAAACAGGAAACTTCTCTATTAAGATATTTGGCAAACATAAAGTCAATATTAGAAAAAAAGGTAATCTTAACATCAGTATTTACTATAAGCTGGGGAATATGATTTTGCGGCAAAATAGATTTTTTTTAAATTAATAATTCAGAGCAAAATTCGAAGACACATATCTTATACTAACTAAATCTAGTATGAAAAAACTACCAGCCCAGCAGTCCAACAGTACGGTGGTATAAAGATATAGTGGCATAGCGGTGTTAGCGGTATAAAAATGTGGTGATATAGCGATATCCTGAGGCCGTAGGGAATAAGTATTTTCACCTTCCAAGCTTGACACTACGGATACCACTATATCCTTATATCACCACATCCTAATACCACTATACCCTTATATCGCTTTACCGCGTATAGCTATAGACTATAAAGTACACAAATAAAGACAATGGGGGGAAATTGATTGAACGAGGTAATTGCTATTCGTTCCATTATTATCGATGCCTCGACTGATAGAAACTACATATTCGACATCGTTTGAATGAACTTGCATTTATCGCGAAGTAGCCTTTTTGTCGACTTTGCAGTTAAAATATTGACACTGATTTGAATTTGCCGCAAAATTAAATTCCCCATTACCTCATAATTGTTATCTATATTTTTCTCGATCCTTTCTTTGGTCTCTAACTATATATATATAAGTTTTGATCACTATTTTTCGATCAGAGTAAACATTTGTTTCACAAGGCGATAACTAGTGAAAAAGATACACTATTGATATGAATGATCATCGATTTATTCACCGGTCCTCCGTTAACCATTGCGCGGTTAATAGAAGCTTTTCAGCTTTCATTTAAAAAAGTCCATTATGTTATAGCTTATCATAAAGGTTTGTTTAGAACGTTATACAATGGATAAATTCACGAGCACTGCATTAAACATAACAGCAACTAGTCAGACATATGAAAAAGATTGCATACTCAAAAAACATTACTATACAACTCGACAATTAACCGTATCTATGGATTCATATTATACTGTTATAGCTGCGACTGTCAATCTTCGTCCATACATGAACATTTATGAAAATCATTTCAACCCGTTAGATTCAAATAAAAATGTAATTCCAATTAAACATCATTGTGGGAGTTATCACTTTTACAAACTCATGGTTTATCTTCGAGCGAATAATACATACATATTACTTGTGACAAGTTATAATCCATCGATAACAGGAGCATTTACAATTCAGGTGGTTGGTTCGGACACTGTTACTTTTCAAGACATAGGTAAATAGTGACTATAAATAAATTATTCTTTGATCAAATTGAAAAACTGCATTCTAAAAGAGATGGTATAGTTGAGAAATATTCCCATTGATATTTATAATGAAAACTAGTTTTTAATTTAAAATAAAGCAATTCGATAAATTGCTTGTCTCAAATATTTCAGTGTTCAAATTAAAACAAAAATTGCATCTGTTAATAAATATAAACATTTTTTTAGCTATTAATTCAACTTATTGTTATATTGGTGGTTCATGTAATATTCAAGTTAAAAGTATTGGATTAACTCTTGATGATATTTTACGACGTCAAATCAATCGAAGTTTCACAATCAATGATCAACCATTTGCAATTAAAATGAGCGCTGCTTTAACAATGATTATGTTTATTGCAGGTGTTGTTAATAGTATTCTTTCGATTTTAACTTTTCAAAATGAAAGTTTACGACAAGTTGGATGTGGATTGTATCTATCTGCATCATCAATAACGTCTCTTTTGACAATAACTATGTTTGCAATTAAATTTTGGTTTGTTGTTATTACACAAATGAACACATCTATTCATTTAACTGTTCTCGAAGGTGGTTGTAAATCAATTGAAATTCTTCTGAAACTTTTCTTTTATTGTGATACTTGGCTCAATGCATGTGTGGCTGTTGAACGTGCGTTTAATGTTTATAAAGGAGTCAATTTTAATAAAGAAAAAAGTAAATATTTTGCTCGATGGATCATATTTATTTTACCATTTTGTATTATGACTACAATCATTCATGAACCTCTCTATCGTCAAATCTTTCATTATGATGAAAGAGAAAAAATTACAGATGAATGGATAGAATATTTTGTGATAGATAGACATACATGGTGTACAACTTCTTATTCTCAATCAATTCAAGATTATAATACAGCTATTTTATTTATTCATGTTCTTGGCCCATTTATGGCAAATCTTTTTTCTGCTTTATTCATTATTATTCAAAGTGCTCGACGACGATCCGAAGCACAAAAAAAACAAACTTTTCAACAGCATCTTCGTGAACAATGGAATGAGCATAAACAACTTGTGATTAGTCCTTTTATTTTACTACTTTTATCAACACCACGTTTGATCATTTCTTTATTATCTGGATGTGTTGATGTATTTAGTCATTTATGGTTATATCTTTCTGCTTATTTTATTTCGTTTTCACCTTCGATACTTGTTTTTATTGTATTCGTTATTCCATCGAGTTCTTATAGGAAAGTTTTCAAACAAACACTTTTTCGGATTTTTAAACGACAATGATCATAACTCTTCGTTGCCGAACGTTTTTTTTCAATAGCTATCGTTTTCGATATAAAAAAATTGTGGCCATCTTGAGAATGAAATACACTTAAAATATTGCTTATTTCCCAATTTAAATAAATTTTTGTTTATAAGTTAATTAGATTTTTGTTATTTTTCATAATTGTGTAGGAGAATTGTTAGTATCAGCAAGAATAATCCCATTCTCAGGTTTTTTATCATCAACAGCAGCAAGAGATTTCTCATCTCCTTGCCCTTGTGTAGTTAAACAATAAATAGCGCTTATCGAGTCCGACTCGCATTACCCTCGACTGAATTCGTAACTCAGAATACGATAATCACTGCGCAACATACATAAAACTACGTCCTTAGAACTGACCTCTTGAGACTGATTCTCGTTCATCTTAATTTTAAACCCTAACCCATGGGTGGCGCACGACCAACATTTTAGGGGAGGCAATAAATTTTCGAAACACAGGTACCTTTTCGGTAGAGAATTGAGTGACATCATCTACCCCTCCATCTCCACCCACACCCTCACCCTCAAGCATCTATAGAAATGTAAATACAAAGGCAGATTGTTCGCACACAGATACAGTTATATACAGGAGAGTGAGATATCAAAGATCTGCAAGAACTAAAATGAAATTATTGATTCATAGTATCATCATCGTCGTCGTCGTCGTCGTCACTCGGTGTTGTATCACCTTAAACCAACGAAATCGAATAATTAATCAGTAATAAAAGTTCTACCTTGTATACCTTCTGTATTATTTTGTTTGTTTGGCGGTGACTTTTTCTTGGATGCATAACCTCGTGAACTTTGACTACTACGTTTCGATTGAAGCAATACCTAAATGAACGATGTAAATACACATGGGAAGGTGGAATATTCTGTTGAACAGACTTCGTGAAGATGTGGAATAACACCACCTTCAGCAATAGTTACGTGTTGACATAACTTATTCTAGAAGGAAACCATGAATATCAATGATACTGGATATCGAAGTTTTACTTACCAGTTCTTCATCATTACGTATAGCCAAAAGAATATGACGAGGCGTAATACGACGTCGTTTATTTTCATGGGCCGCATTTCCTGCTAATTCGGTTATTTCGGCTACCTAATTGAACCCATTTCTGTACTTTCGAATACCGCTGACATGCAAAGTACTTACTAGATATTCCAAAACACCAGCCATGTAGACAGCAGCACCGTCTCGGGCGATTTTAGCATAGTTTCCCTCTTTCATAACACGATGAATTCGATGCACTGGAAAGACAACGCCCTATCGAATAATCGATCATATAAAAATAATCAAAATAATGAATCGAAAACTTACAGCTCGTTGTGAACGTCGTAAAACTTTATGACGCTGTATGTCACCATTGTTCATGTTTCCAGATTGTCTTTGTTGTTGACTGTTTTGCGCAGTATTTGATGTTGTTTGACGTTGACTTGATGATACGTTTGTTTCGTTACTGTTGTTTTTCTTTTGAGTCATGGCTGTAGAAGTAATTATTACGGAGTAAGAATAAATGGTGAATGAACGATTGGCAACGGTTATTTATAGTGAGAAAGAAAGAGTGATTTCATATATATATCCGACTGAGAATTTCTTTTAGTTCGTCCGTCTTAGCAAATAGAAAATGTATTTGACTGTAAGGTATAGACATGTGTTTAAAAAACATGTTGATTGTCGTCCAATCTTAATATTCTAAAACTAGGGGCTAGATGTTCACTTTCCTAAACCAGAGATCGGACCCAGACGCGTCTTTTTTTGTCGATATCGAGGTTATTACCATATTCTATGTACAAGCTCAAAGAGCTAGCACTAGTCACCTCTCGTAGGGAATGCTTGGGCAACCGCTAAAAGGATTATTTCCATTCGGAGACTCTTTGGGTGTTTCAGGAGAACTCATTTCACTCATCAACAGTGGACTGTCCTTTTCTTTTACAGGCATATATTTAAGCTAAATTATGTGTAACTATTTATCAAACAACTTAAGTATCGACATCTTGCGGATAAATCCCTTTTAATGCGCAAAAATTTTTTATTGTGTGGTTAAAAATTCAATATTGAGTCTAAAATCATGCAAATCACAGGATCGTTCGTAGAAACAGTGCCCATGCTTCTAGATACAGTCAAACGCACAACTCTACACAGGATAAATCATTGGCCTCTGCACTATTGGCGAAGTGTTGATTCTTGTTGAAATGTCATAGTTCGTTTTTGAGCAAACTTGACTGAAAACAGCCATAATGAAATTCAGTCAAAGTAGAGATTGCTATCAACTTAAGTCATATCGAACATGCCGAAAATGTTAATCTTTGTCCATTAAGCTATATGTATATAAGGTGAATGAATATCGGATGCATAACATTTGTTAACACAGAATTGTCGACATGAATTATAGAAGTACGAACATTCTTACACTTAGTGATGAAATATTACTTTGTATTTTGAACAAACTGGATAATATGGATGTATTGTATTCACTCATAGGGACGAACCGAAGACTTCATCGAGTAGCTAGTGATATAACATTTACCAGATCTTCAATCAATTTTGTTTGGATGTTATACCTTGCGTTCAGCATCATATTGAATGTCTCACTCTTGTCCAGTTTTTTATTGATCATGTTTTACATACTGGATATTATCCTCAACTTCATCGACTTGTTCTTCGTATTCTCCGGTTTGATATGATGTCTGATATATTGTTTGATAAATCAGCAACCTTTTATTCCTTATCAGTTCAAATTTCACATCTTACCATCATGTTTAATGATGATCCCACTGGTAACTACAAAGAACTATGCCAGAAGATCTTTTTCAACATCTTCCAAATATTTACAAACTTGTCGTGTCTTCATTTCGGTTCCCAAACCCATTGGTTTGCAATCCACCGTATGTTACTCATCAAGTATAACTAATCTAAATATTAAAGTATTAACGTTTGACCTCTGTTTGCATTTCCTTGATGGACGTCTTAGTCAGTTGCATACATATATCGTTCATATCCAACGAATTCAAAAAATATCAATGCTCAACAGAAATATGGTAAAAGATTTCTTGCTTTGATTTCTTTTGTAGAGATTTGATGTTTCTGACGAGATAATCGTCAGTTCACTCTTTGTTTCGTAGGAGTTTAGAAATGAATATCTTTTGCATCTTGCACACAAATTTTTATATCTATGAATGAAATTTGAAAAACTTCTCATCCATTGATTTCAAAGTTAAGAATGTACATTAAGTCTTGTGTTTGCGATCAATGGAATAATTCTACACATTTATCTAATAGTACTATTGTGGCATTCTTCTAATATCTTTTTAGAAGTCCGTCTCAAACCTCAGAAGTTTTTCGTAAACTTCATTTTTCCGTACAACGGAATATGATGATTTAATTGTACCACTTATTGGTCAAATGTTTCATTTGACAAAACTCACATTGGCACTTGTTGTTTTCAATCGACGATCATTTGTCGATGGAAAGAAATTAATAAATGATATACCTAAACAAATGCTACATTTAAATAGGTTTATCTTCAATATCATTACTGAAGGTGTCACATTATTTGAAGAATTTATTCCTTCATCTGAAGTTCTCTGTCGTGCTCTTGTTGAAAGAGGATACGATTTCGACTGTTATACCGATTACAATCCATTGAGCAGAGGTCTATGTCATATTTATTCATTGCCATTTACTGTGGATTGTATGCATATACATTCACATCGATTTCCTGGTGGTTTGTTTCGTACTGTTCGTTATTTAAATGTGCAAGACTTTGTTTATCCATTTGAACACGAGTTTTTTCTGTGAATTTCACAATCGTTTCCGTTATTAAATCAAATGACAGTGTTCAGTCCAAATTCACAAAAGAAGAAGACAGTGGAGAAAGAATGGGATGATGATGAGCAACTATCTTTCGTAGTTGAGTTTTCTCATCTGGTCAAACTTAGTCTTGGTGGAAGTAACATTGACTATGTTAAACAATTTCTTTTTGATTACAGAACATGTTTACCTTCTCTTCATACATTAGGTATTGATTATGGATTATTAGTTATGGCAACAGAGGACTTCACAAATAACGCTGCTCGCAGTACTTGTACAAACATAAAAAAGCTTATTTTTGATTGGGCACCAATGATTTATTCGAAAAACTTTTTTCATTATTTTCCTTCACTGTGAACGAATCTTTTTGTTAATCTTTATATAGTTTATTCATTCGGGAGCAATAAAGTAGTATGGCGGATATGCACAGTTCGAATTTGAAGCCCAAATGACGTTTTCAAGTCAGAATACATGAAGTCACGTATCAAAAGTTTTCATAATCGATGATGGCATTTTGTGATAATTCCTTTTCGAACATATTTTCCTGGAAAGTCATTTGAGTTCAGAGAAGTCTGAAGGTGTCGAAATGATTGGAAGACAGAAAATCATTTTCCAGTTTATTCTACCCAGATTTTCAACTGATAAATCTAGTTAATTGATGCTTATCTTATTTAACCACAATGAATAACCTACGTGTGCGGAAGTTAAATAGTTCATAAACAAGTAGCGCTCATCCATTGGATTCGCTGACCCTTTTCTGAAAATATCAGAAAACTAGTAGATAAAAGCTCTCACTTAGATCTCCATCTAATCGGCTTCGGATTGAAGTCACTTTTATGCTCATTCTTTCATTTTCTGCTTCGTTCATGTCAGATTACTTTCAATTTATTTGTCCAAAGACGTAAACAAAACGAACACTGTTTATAAAAATTTATTCATCAACGCTCTTCAAACTACTCAAAATAAAAAATCAGTTTACTTTCATTTAATTTATCTCTAAGCAATTCAAATAAACGCCTAGTTGTTCATCGGCCACTTACGGCTAGCCGTTTCCATGTATTTTCCTTTTTTCATTTTATTCAGATGAAGATGTTATCCGAAAAGAAATCCGCCCTGGAAAATCAATCCATAATCGAATGCCTAGGAACTTTACATCATAGGTATACCGCCCTCTGCTAAACGTTCCATTCATCTCTTCATCATCAGGCATCTTAAAAAGTTGCCGGTTATGTTCTTGCGAATTGATGATTAACTTCTGTTCAAGGAATCTTAAAACTATATGAACATCGCTAAAACTTGTTGTTTAAAATATTACTCTTCAAATCAGCGTCTAATCGGTGGGCCATTCGCGGCTAGCCGTTAATGTCCAACTTTCATTCTTTCATCTAGTTTAGAATCCCTTCGGAATGAATCAAATCATTCCCTTCCATCCCCCGCTGAAGAATCACCGACTTTGTGCTATTGTGACTGTCCAAAACAACATTTGTTAGAGGGGAGTGTTATTTTGAGTGGCCAGTACCAGATAATGTTTGTGTAATATAACCATTTGTATAATTGTGATACTATCAATGTGCTGATGTGTATGAATATTTAACAATCCGGCGTTAATCAACTATTTCGTTTTGTTCTACATATTGCTGCTTCAAACACTTGCCTACAAAAAAACTTCCTTGCAAAAAATCGCCCTTTGTCTAAAAAAACAGCACAGAATATTTTTATTGAAAAACCAACACCCAGGTGGACAAATCCCATACTCGGATCCTATATCGGTTTCTGTCGGATCTTATCGGAATCCGACAATCCGACGAAATCCGATGCGATTCCTGGTGACGGAATTGCTTCGGGTTCCGACGGTTACGGATCCTATCGGATCCCATGTCGGATTGCGTCGGATCCGAAACACGGATTTTATGGATTTTCTAAGGGTCATCATAGAACCTAGCTAAAAATAGGGCTCATAAAATTTGCAACAAATGACTAGATTTTCCAGTCGGAATCCGATGCAATTCCGCCACCAGGAATTCTATCGAATTTCGTCGGATGGTCGGATCCAACGTCGGATTTGTTGACCTGGGCAACAGCTTCGAAATCTTGGATCCAGATTACCTCATCAGTGGTCAATCTTTGATTTATAATATGCTACAATCTGATTGGATTATGCAAACAAACAAAGAAATGTTTTATAACTGCCCAGGTTATTATGGGACGGTCGGTTCCGGCCGCTTAGGTTCGTTTTCCGGCCATTTTCTTGTCGCCGGATTCCGGCCGGAAGTTCAAACGTAGGTTCCAGTCATTTCCTGACCGTTTCCTGCAAACTTCGAGCTGGAAACGGTCAGGAGCTGATCGGATATTTCCTGTGCAATTCCGGCCGGAATCCGGCGGCAAGGAGCCTGTTGGAATCGGCGAAAACTGTGCCGGAATTGAGAAGAGCTGTACCGGAACCGACCCATATTTCAACGGATTCAGTCGCCGGAGTGATCGACCTGGGTGCTCACGATTGATCAATATGATCGTTGTTTTCGATAATATTAAAGTTTCTTTTTAAAAGTAGAGCAATACAAGCTACGTAGCTCTGAAACACAAAATAAACGCGTCCTAACACGTTTAGGCGTGTTTTCAATAGTTGATGCATTAAAACGCGTCTGAAATAAGAAACCCTTTTCCATTCAGGATGGAGCCATTGACAATCATAAGAGGCAAAGCAATACTTCATCTACTTCAATTAGTATTTGAAGTCTGAACTCTCGCTTTTCCTCCCTTCAGTAGAATTCGCATAGGCAAGCATATCGACCTCACCTTTCCAAGAGCTCATTTCTTTCATTCTCAAGAGTACTTATAAAAACTTAAACAAATTCGTCTCTATAGAACGGCCTCTATGGCTTCACCATTAACCTCGGATGCGATTTGTCAAACGTCGCCGGCTTCAATCGTAAGATTTACCCTTCGTAAGACAATTCATACCAGCAATGTCCGTCATCCAAAGACATTCAATGTGTCAACTTATCGTTACTTCTCTCATGGAAACGTTCTCGGCGCATTCTAATGCAAAGGCATCGATAGAATGCTTCTCTGAAACGTTATATGATGACATGTAATTTTAAGATAATAGATGATTTTATTTTATACCACGAAGAGAAGAGCGCTGCAGTTTATTATCCACACGTTCCAGGTTTCTTTCGAATGTTAAAAGGTGTGGATGATTTGGTGACATCGAACACTTAGCAATTTGAACAGCGCGTTCACAATAGAAGTGAGCTTTTGGATAATCACCCATACTGTCATACACCGAGCCGATGTTGTTGTAGGATGCGGCTAAATGAGGATGGTTTGCACGAAGTGATTGTTGTTGAATTGAAAAAGTTTTCTCATAGTATTCGACTGCTTTTGGATAATCACCCATATTCTTACATACCAAGCCAATGTTGTTGTACGATGCGGCTATACTAGGATGGTTTGCAGGAAGTGAATGTTGTTTAATTGAAAGAGCTTTGTCATAGTATTCGAGTGCTTTTGGATAATCACCCATACTGTCATACACCGAGCCGATGTTATTGTAGGATGTGGCTAAATGAGGATGGTTTGCAGGGAGTGAATGTTGTTTAATTGAAAGAGCTTTCTCATAGTACTCGAGTGCTTTTGGATAATCACCCATACTGTCATACACCGAGCCGATGTTGTTGTAGGATGTGGCTAAATCAGGATGGTTTGCAGGGAGTGAATGTTGATTAATTGAAAGAGCTTTCTTATGGTACTCGAATGCTTTTCGATAATCATCCATACTGACACACACCGAGCCGATGTTGTTGTAGGATCTGGCTATACTAGGATGGTTTGCAGGGAGTGAATGTTGATCAATTGAAAGAGCTTTCTCATAGTATTCGAGTGCTTTTGGATAATCACCCATACTGTCATACACCAAGCCGATGTTGTTGTAGGATCTGGCTATACTAGGATGGTTTGCAGGGAGTGAATGTTGTTCAATTGAAAGAGCTTTCTCATAGTACTCGAGTGCTTTTGGATAATCACCCATACTGTCATACACCAAGCCGATGTTGTTGTACGATGTGGCTATATTAGGATGGTTTGCAGGAAGTGAATGTTGATCAATTGAAAGAGTTTTCTGATAGTATTCGAGTGCTTTTGGATAATCACCCATACTGTCATACACCGAGCCGATGTTATTGTAGGATGTGGCTAAATGAGGATGGTTTGCAGGAAGTGATTGTTGTACATTCGAAAGAGTTTTCTGATAGTATTCGAGTGCTTTTGGATAATCACCCATACTGTCATACACCGAGCCGATGTTATTGTAGGATGTGGCTAAATGAGGATGGTTTGCAGGAAGTGAATGTTGTTTAATTGAAAGAGCTTTCTCATAGTACTCGAGTGCTTTTGGATAATCACCCATACTGTCATGCACCGAGCCGATGTTGTTGTAGGATGTGGCTAAATCAGGATGGTTTGCAGGAAGTGAATGTTGTTTAATTGAAAGAGCTTTCTCATAGTACTCGAGTGCTTTTGGATAATCACCCATACTGACATACACCGAGCCGATGTTGTTGTAGGATGTGGCTAAATCAGGATGGTTTGCAGGAAGTGAATGTTGTTTAATTGAAAGAGCTTTCTCATAGTACTCGAGTGCTTTTGGATAATCACCCATACTGACATACACCGAGCCGATGTTGCTGTAGGATGTGGCTATATTAGGATGGTTTGCGGGAAATAATTTTTCGAAAAGCACAAGTGATTTGACATAGAATGTTATGGCTTCCTGAAACAAGCCTTGTTCGTATCGGATACAACCAAGTTGGTGATAAATCAATCCTTCATCACTGCCATCTGATGTTTGGTTCAGTAAAGTATCATAAATATTCTCAGCCTTGTCATGTTGACCCAACCGAATCAGCAGTTGGGCTAATCGCGTCCAACCTTTACCATCGAGACGACTCTCGCGACGAATATGATCAGTCAGTGTGCGTAACTCTTCGTCAGAATCAAGAGTCAGTGAGATACTCACTTCATACAGTGGTGGATCAGTGCCAATGACTTCGATGTGATGAATGGGAAACACGGTGTGCATCGAAAAGAGCACTTCGTTTTCTTGTAAGAAACGACCATGATTCCCAACTGAGGCAAACGGTGTTGTTGACTGAGAAGGATCGACCTGTATTGTGAAGAGAATTCCTACTAACTTGGGATTGTCTGCGTTACTTTTCGCATAGGAAAACGAGATGTCACGTTTCGTGCTGGTAGAGAAGAAGCTGTTGAATGACATCAACCCGCCTATTGTGTTTCTTAGTTCTTCAAAATCTGTGTGGGATAGACCTTGTCCGCGATATACTGTAAACACAAGAGAACTCCAAGGCGTGTTAACAAACTGTTCTTTGTGCAACTGTTCAATGTTGCGATGAAGATCAGTGACGAAGAATCCCATTCGAACAAGAACATCACCATCCATGATTCTTAGTGCATTGTTGAGCATGGAATGCATGGAATTACCTCTTGTATACCACCAGATGGGTTTCTTTGCACGGTAATCACGTACTGATTGCTTAAAATCATTAGAATGTGTACCATCGAGAGTGATTAGTCCAGGATGGTGCCTGACAAACTCTTCGATGTGTTTGTCTTCGAATTCGATCGTTAACAAGATCTCTTTGAAGAGTTGTGTGTACATGAAAGATGGATTGAGCAGATCCGATCTTTTGCCAGATGGTACAAAACTGATTGGTGTGATAGTGGGCTCATCTTGGGGAAATGTATTCTGAATGGCTTGGCAGAGTGATGTTATATCAGTGAAAACATCTTTGATCTTGTTCCAATGTCTAGCCCATTGTTCATGATATGATTTGTTTTGACAAAAGATGAAAATCGAGTGCAATGGAGGAATATCGTGGATACAACGCACAAGATATTGTCCAAGTGCACCAGAAACGATTAGATAGACTTGATGGTCATTACAATTGAGTATATATTCGACACATTCATCATTATCCGTGAATGTAGTGACATTGTCAGTAATGTGTTCAAGTTGTGCAATTGTAAACTGACAATCAGCATTGCTATGATCAATATGATTGTCGAGCCAGATCACAACGCCGTCTTGCATCTTTCGAAGATCGATCGATTGTCTACTGTGTTGAAAGTTCTGATTATTGTTCTCCTAGTTGTTATTGCCTTCATACACTCTGCTTTGATGCTGTGTCGGTTAACTCACAATAAAAAGAGTAACTTCGTTGGTAAATTTTTGCGCTCTTTCTTCTTTCTACCGCATTCGCAGAGTTATATTTTTTTATGCATAACAACTGAAGAACGAGAAAAACATGCCTGTAGAGAATGCAATTGTTGCTATGCAAATATTAAAAATGTGAAAAGGAAGTGTTTAGTAAAAGACGTGATTTAACTGAAATAAATCGAAACAGGTTCTATTTGCATAATGCGCCTCTGTCTGAAAAAAAAAGTATCACAGAGAGGTTATACCTTACCTGCTTGAGATGTTAAAAGTCTATTCGTCCTAGTGGATCTAAATGTGTTCGTAATCGTTCAAAAAACGAATGATTATATGTTGTTGTAATCGGGAAACCCAGGTTATTATGGCACGGTCGGTTCCGGCCGGTTAGGTTCGTTTTCCGGCCATTTCCTTGCCACCGGATTCCGGTCGGATGTTCAAACGTAGATTCCAGTCATTTCCTGACCGTTTCCTGCAAACTTCGAGCTGGAAACGGTCAGGAACTGATCGGATATTTCCTGTGCAATTCCGACCGGAATCCGGCGGCAAGGAACCTGCCGGAACTTGCTGGAATCGGCGAAAACTGTGCCGGAATTGAGAAGAGCTGTACCGGAACCGACTCAGATTTCAACGGATTCAGTCGCCGAAGTGATCGACCTGGGGGCCTTTTCAGAAAGAATTAGAAGACTTCTATATAAAACTTTTCACGTAGATCTCGATCTAATCAGCTTTGAACTAAACCAACTTTTATGCATGTTCTTTTCTTTTAATCCTTTTCTGCTCTATTCATGTCGAACTACTTTCAATTCATTTGTACAAACATGTAAGCAAAGGAACATCGTTTCTATACATTCACTTATCGACTCTCTTCCGACCATTTAAACTCAAAATTAATTGGCTTACATTCGTTTTATCTCTTCTAAGTCATCGAAACAAACATCTAGTCGTTCGTCGGTCTCCTTCTGGTCAGTCACTCGCGGCTAGCCGTTACATGTCCACCTGTCAATTTTACATTTAGTTTGGAAACCATTCCGACCATGTCCTGTTCAAAACTACACCTGTCAGAGGAAATATTATTTGAGTGCTTAGTATCGGATGACGTTTATGTAATATAACTGTTTATATAGTTGTAATTTTATCAGTATCTTGATGAGCATGGAAATCCAAGAATCCGATGTTTATCAATTATTTCGTTTTGTTCTGCATATTGCTGCTTAAGACGCTATCGCCTTAAAAAACCTTTTTTGCAAAACAATTATCCTTTGTCTAAAAGAAAAACGGAACATAAACTTTTTACGAAAAAACTAACACCAGATTCGAGACCCTTGACTCCGATTACCCTTCGATCCAAATCCTTACTCGACACTATCCTTGAATTTTTATGAACTTATCAAATGCTTCAATCTGATTGGATTATGCAAGCAAACTTTTAGCATTTTAACGACCGCATTTTATACACTATAACGCTTTCTTTCAGAAAAGGGAATACTCGGAATGTGCCGACCAGAGCTAATAAAAATCAACACCTGAATGCTTAAATTCAAATTTCATATTTGATCGTACTGCGTTGATCTGTGTATTTCTATTCTATTGCAGCTGTCGACATGCTTCCACTATAAGACGTCTTGAATTTTTCCTTTTCTTTCATGCGTCAGCTGCCTATTTGTATGGGCTTTTCCTTATCTCTTCTATATTCATGGGATTATTCTCGATCACGATTCCATGTATAGGTATTTGAGTATGTAGATCTTTACATGTGTGTGTGTGGTCATTTTCTACTCTCTTTCATCACGTTCCTACTTATGTTTTCACAATAAACACGCAACACCCTCAAGAGAAAATCTATAGCGAAGAACAATAATATTTTTGAATTAATCACTATTCTATAGAAAAAAAAGCGGAAGCCGATGAACTTCTGCTGAAAACAGATCTTATCACTAATTTAAAATTCGAAATTAAAAACGAGTGTGCAAAAAGCTTACGACACTCGGTATTCCCAGGCGGTCACCCATCCAAGTACTAACCGAGCCCGACGTTGCTTAACTTCAGTGATCGGACGAGAACTGGTGTATTCAACGTGGTATGGCCGTAAGCATTTCTACATCTAATATTCGTTCCTTTTGATGACACCTCAGCTTTCATTTGATTTTTCTGTCGTCTAGATCTAACGGTTCATGAAGACAAAGTTTTGATAAAACGCTTTTCTACTAACAAGTAACGCTCATCCTTTGGATTCGCTGACCCTTTTCTAGAAGACTTTTCCGAATGCTGAACACATTCAGAGACTTCGATAGAGAAAAAACGCATTGCGATTGCTACTGGTGCTCAACTGAATCATGGTACTATGTCACACACTAGAACTAGAATGAATATAGGATACAGAGGTCTTTTTAGGAATCAGACCGATTAGCCATTTGTCAGTGGATAATTCTCCAGCACTAACTATTTTGACTGAAAAAGTCATCGCTCAACGACTAGTCAGACGGTCAACCACTGACCTTGTCATCTGTTTTTCTATTTTCACATCACGCGTATGGAAATTTTCATAAATGCTTTACTAAGTCACTCATAGACGGACGATATACAGTAGACTACTTGAAAAGTCTGAACATTCGTCTGTGTCTTCCAGCGATAATCCGATCCTTTTCTATCCTGTCAACGAAATGATACCTGGTCGAATATTTTCATTGAGGAATATTCATTCGAAACGGACATCTTTCATAGTACCGCATGCGTTCGAAATACTGTTTGTATAGTCCACGCGCCAGTATTTACGAAGATAGAATTTCATCGACGGGTATATAACTTTGCAAACTACTTTTACTAAATTCCCACGAAAACACATGATGTATGTAGCCTACAAAACAAAGATGATACTAAGCTCATATCACTTTTTCGAATTTCTTCAATTAGAAACATCATTATGTACAATACATTAGGTCTTTTCGTGTAAGTTCTTGATCTACTCTCTTTGTACGCATGACGTCCATGAATAGCGTTCAGGTCACCATCTTCTACAAAAGATTTTAGAACAGATGAAGAGAAATAACTCCTTTGTAAAAAGGAAGGAACAAGCCCAGGCTCAGCGAATAAGACGAAACTCACCCTCAAATTCGAATTTCCCGACGTCAGAAATCCTTCCGTCTACTCTAACAATGGATGTTAATCAGTCGTGGCTACTTAATGAAAAATTAATAATCAATTAAGCAATAATAGCCTCGGATTCGTGATCCTCGACCTCGATTACCCTTCGATCGACTCTTACTCGACAACGAAGAAAACTTTCATCGCTTAATTAGCTAATTAGAATTACGAGAAACTAACCTCAGGTTCGAGATCCTCGGCCCCGATTACCCTTCGGCCAACCCTTATAAAAAACATTTCTTTTTGCAAAAAAGTGAACCGTTGTCGCAAAAACAGGACAGATAGATTTTACGGAAAAACTAATACCGGATTCGTGATCCTCGACCTTGATTACCTCAGGTGATTCATTTCCGTATGGTTATCTCTAAGGTTTTATTAGTTTATTAAAAGCTGCAACCTGATTGGATTGGACAAACTCACAAACTTTTAGCTTTTGAGCCACCGATTTTAGAACGCTATAATCCTTTCTTTCAGAAAAGGGAATTAAGAAACTTTTGATGAATTTTGCATAGCCTAATTGACAACTAGAAAATGGAGAGAATTGTATATTCTTCATTCAAATGTTCATCGTCCGCTATTAATAATTTATGTATGAATATGAACATTGGTCCCATTATGTTCACTGTTTGAATGTAAGGAACACTTTAGTCGATAAATTTATCCACAAATCTTGCAATTTCTCTTCTATATATTGGTAAATCACGTCACGTACATCATGCACTTTTCTGTCTAAGAATAGATTTTCTCGTTCTCTTTCTTTCCGACAATTCCTCTCCTTGCACGACAATCATATGATTTCAATTTGATGTATTTGTATTATATAACTATGTTTCAGATTAATTTTCATGAAACCTTTTTTAATTGAATCAGTATTCATATTGAGTATCCACCCCAGGTCAACAAATCCCGTCGGTTGTTGCAAATTTTATGAGCGATCTTTTTAGCTATATTCTATGAAGACCCTTAGAAAACCCAGGAAATTCATGTTTCGGATCCGACATGGGATCCGAGTATAGGATTGTTCGACCTGGAATGCTCAAACAGCAGAAACAAGCATCGAAACGGTATTCTGTCTTTTTCAATGAAAAAATATATAATTTTTTTGTTTAGTACATCCACGACGAATGTGAAAGGGAAGCTATCGAAATCAAAATAAACAATGGCGAGGCCACCGAGGATGATGAGGGTCGTTTGGTTTACGTGTGTGACGTACTTATACATCTCTGGCCACGCTCTAGTAAATTTTGACAGATGAACCATGACTTTATATTGTCAATCTTTTCGTGTAGTACAAGCGGTGGTTGACATTTTACATGCCAATTTTCAAAATCCATGAACGCATTCAAATGATCGTATAAACTTTTACATTATTTGATTCTTTTTAACTTTTTAATTGTATCGTTACATTAAGAAATCGTTTTCTCACCTTTTGCAAATCTATTTCTGATGCTTTTATTTTCAATTCATATTCAATACAATAAAATGTACAGTCATAAGTCATGACTATATAGCAAATAACTGAAATATAATATTTACAATATTGTCTATCCAATGCACGTCTGAGTTTGGAGAAGATTAGCAAACAATCGCTCATGATCATCTAATGTTTTTTGCAAATCGCCTGTTGGTGAATGACATTTAAATGTAAAAACTTCGTAAAGATATTCAAGTAAGCCACTCCATTGTTTTAAATCGGACGAATTCATTCGACTGTAAGTCCGTTGAAGATGATGAACAAGAACCTAGAAATCGGATTGTTATCGAACGAAAACTATAGGAAAAACTTACTGGCATTTGCATGCCAAATAGTAGAATTGGATTTCCAATTTGTGGCAGATCTCTGATTGTAAAACGACAAACACGTGATAAACGTCCGAGAAATGATGTGTGATGTTCTTGGGACAATTGCTGCATTTCGTTCGATTGATTATTGAGAACAATTTGTTCAAAGTCAATGAATTCACTAATAAAACCAATTGGACGCTGTCGAAATTTTTTCATTAGAAATTCATAAATACAGTTTAGTTTCTGCGCGTAATCAAATAGCTGTTGAACTGAAAGATTCTTTTGTCTCGCTAATGCGCGTATGTTGTAAAATTTCTTCAATTCGATTTCATATTGCGGCATATTCGATCGATCGTAAGAACAAAGTAAACAACGACAAGAAGGTATGCCATATTGTCGTAAATGGCGTGCTCGATCATTCAACGATGAAGTCCATAGTGGACAGTAAGAAATAGTTAATTCATCACCCTGACGAATATTTGATGAACAGACATAAATGAAAAGATAATCACCAATCAAATACCAAAGACAATTCGGTAAACAGGAATGGTTAAACATTGAACCAAGTGGATACCAAGCATGAGTTGATTTGGACGAAAATGGATTCTGCTTTTGAGTTTCCAATAGAACACGCCATGGAATGTGAGATGATGGCGGTGGAACTCGTCTATGAATGTTCAAATGCATAGAAAATCCACAGCAGCGAAGAAAAACTTTACTTTAGAAATTGTTTTCGCCATTGACTTTTCAAAGCAACCGATGTTTCATCATCCAAAGAATCTAACGGATCACTACTTTCCTCCTGTTCAATATTGCAACTATTTTTGGTTTCATTTAACCAGTATCGAATCGGTTGCATCATCTTCAGTTTGTCAAATGTTGTCCAGCTAGCATTTCCAATCAAAATTTGCTTTTCAACTTCATTCAACAAACGTAATGTTTCATCATCATAATATTCGTCTCGGTTCGTTCGCAGATAGTTTATTGAATGGCAACGTTTTCCAGAAACAATTCGATTGTCAATACTTGCAAATGGCTGTTCGACAATCAATAAAGTGCCAACTTCGAGATTTTTTAATGCATACACACCATAGGAACCTTTTGGATATCCATGTTTTGTTATTTCATCTGTTTGACATGGCCGAATTTCAAAAAGATCAGTGCGTTGACATTCAGCATGATGATGTGGCAAATCAATAAACACCAACGGTGATTTCTCACTTTTATTTATTGCCAGTTGTTCGCGTAAGATTCCTTGAATGTCATATTTGCCTCCAAGACTTTCATCTCGAAGTCTATTCAACTCTCGTTCAAGTACGATCAATGATGCTGAATTATCGTCATAATTCAATCCACCACGAAATTTTGAAGACTGGAGCAATTTTTCCACTTTATCATATAAACCTAAATAGAGATATGCAGTCAGACAGCGAAAGAGTAATTTGCTGATTGTTCCTTTCGATTGCTCAAATATACGAGAGAAATCTTCGAATGAAAGAAGAATACTTGTATCAACTAGAGCCAAACCGGCATGACGTTCGCGTAAGTAACAAGCGCATCGATTCGATAAAAACCGAATGCGATGTTGTTGCTGTTCATCATCGTTTGAACATAGAAGATCATTTTCTTGTCGTTCATCAATTTGTCTTAGGCCGTAAGTATAAAATTCAATTGCTGCAAGATTGTCATCACCTTGATAACATGCATTGCCCCATTGACGTAATTGATCGAGACTCGTTCGTGAATTCGTTGAGCAGCGCGTTTCAAAATCAATCATCAATACATGCGTGTTCGGTGAATCACAACGTAATGCTATTTCGCCATCTTCACACATTTTCAACCATGGATCTAGCAAAACAATGCAAGAATTCATTGGCAAGAGGCATGATAACCGTTCTTGAATGTAGGAATACGATTTCAGTTGCCGTGTTTGAATTACATGTGACCAATTGTAAATAGATAAACGAAGACAATGAGTATTCTCATCTTGAACGATAACATGCACGGCATAACCAGTCCAGATAGGTTTCGATATGATTTTCACAGGCAAACGACTATTTAAATGAATGTGATTGATACGAAGTAGATTGATTTTCAATTGTGTCGAAACTTCCATACGATCCATCTAAATTCAAAAAGAATATCGTTCAAAAGTAACGTTAAAGTGCAAGAATGACTTGTTCGGAGAAAGGATCAGTAACTATTGGAATCATTCGGTATTTCATTTGTGGTAAAAGATTTGTTTTTGTGAACGAATATGGCAAATCGTCGATTGCATCAAATATTTTTGACAGTTGTTTGGCAAATGCTTCATGGATTTCCAATACAATAGATTTTGCAACTGGCGTCGAATAAATTCCACCAGGCTGATCAATTAAATAGTCATTTGTCATTCGGAACAATTTCCAAAGAATATTTCGATGAGATACTTTGTTATAATGTTTTTTCGATTTAGATTTTGGAGAACGTTGACAAGGTGACACTTGCTGGAGAATTTGTGTTAAACGTTCATGCCAATGCATTGGACAAATTCCTAGAAGAGAAGAACTAACTGACATAGAGAGTAGGAAAAAAAAGGAATAGTCACGTTTTGCACAACATGATGTTGATTCAAGTTCTTCGGTAAGTCCAATAATAGCTGCAGCGGAAATCATTATTGACTTTTCGAGTTTGGATAGTGGCTTCGGCATGACGACATTCTTTTGAATGTAGAAGCGAAATTTCTGATAAATTTACTCTCGGAAAACTGTACAAATTGGAACGACCAATGGACTTTTCACACATTTTGTTAAGTATGTTCACAAGCGACATCATCTCGAATCTTCGTTTAATATTCATATATTTGAGCGCGTTCTTCTAATCGCACGCTTATTTCTTCATGTGGGATGATTCATATCCATGTTCAAGATTATTTGTTTGCACGGCTATACTTTGTTGGGATTCTCAATTTTCAAACATTTCTTTTTTCAACATAACAAATTGCACTCCGTCACCACTCTACATCCAGTGGAATCTTCGATTAACACCCAAAAATCGTCTTTATTCGCCTATTTCAAAATCAAATGGATTCGTCTGTTCAGATTGTTCAGCACAGCGAGACTTTTTTCGATACGAGTCAAGTACACTAGCACAATGTCAACAAAGATCAACGAAAATCGAATTAAAAAACTATTGTCTCTATTCGTATGGATATCAAAAACGTTCTTGTCAATGCTTACCAGCGAATTATACGATCCAACCAACTAGAGACTGGCTGAAAGCTTTAGTCGAGCCTGGCAAAAGTCACTTGAATATCGATCGAGTTAATCGGATTAACAAATCTGCACCAATATCCTCGTATTTTCTTTCTGGTTTCATCTTTCTATTCATACTAATCGGTGGTGTTACCGGACTTGTTGTTTACTGGATACGGGCCAAGGTTATTGGCAAAAAACCACCTGCTTAGCTTCCCACACACTCGGTATGATCAGTTCATAAGAAAGACTTCGGATGACGAATGTATTCTTTTCCTAGCAAAATCAAACAACGGTATAACAATGGAAAAAAAAACAATTTTAAAAAACAGAAAACAAAACATTCAGGACGAAGTTGTGCGCACATAGCATGAAGGAGAAAAAATAAAATCATTTCCCCATACGGAAATGATATTTTTGTCGGCTGTTTTCTGTGTGAATAACTATGAGAGGACGGATCTTGATTTGAATCGCAATATTGGTTTAATTTAGCAATTCAAATTCCTATGAGAAAGAAACACATTGTATTCAATCAATATTTCGTCACCGAACTGCTCGAAGCAACAAAGATATGTATCGTTAGCAAAACAAAAACAATCCAAAACGATTTTATTAACCGTACAAGCAAACAACAAAAAAAGATGACAAATAGATTGACAAATATATCTCACTGACCTGTTTGAAAAGAAAATATGTCAGACAGGTCACAATATTGTTGGTTTGCCGGCAAAAGAATGTTTCTACAACAGAAAAGACGTTAATTACTCGATCGTTTTCAAACATTCTTTTATGACTTACAAAAAATTCGTAACAAGACCAAGCTACAGCTGTACTTGGCATTTGATAAAGAACACGGGGTGTTAAACCTTTAAAAAATGCAGGTATTCCGCCTTGCATATATATCACTCGAATAGCTGTTATTAGTCCTCGCGCTTCTTGAGTTGCAACAGTATTCATTGAAGTTCCAGGTGACCCTCGCGGTACTGAACACGTGGGTCCGCCAGTCGATGCTAAACAGCACTCTTGAGTATTTAATAGTGTTTTACAAACATCTAGTGGGGTTGTCACTGCCGACGCAATAGCACCAGCGCCGGCACCCGAAATAACATGGGATAGAGGATCATATGTTCGAGCGTAATTCAAATAATCTTGAAGGAGCTCATAAGTCACAAGATGTACGGAGTGAAATGGAATATTCATAGTTAATTGGGTTGTGTAACTTCGATAGAGAACGGAGAGACCTTCGCGTTGACGGATCTTCTGTAAACAATCGATTGCACCAGCATAGGGAGATGCATAGATTTGCAAACGTTGTTTGATCGCTAAACAAACTCCATACAATTCAATTATTGCTGAAGATTCTTTCGTTTACCATCAGCGGGCACCATCAAAGCGTCGTGAAACAGAGTAGCAAAACAACCTGCTAATCCATTGGCTATGGGATTATGACCTACTTGGGAACTTCCGCTGAATAATAATTTCATGCGTTCATAACAAGAAAAATAGAGTGCATGTGCTGGACCGGCTGCTGAAGCCACGACATGCATACCACGAACCTAGACCAATAATCGTTAGTTTTTAGTAATAGAATTAGGTAAGAAGTAAGTTTGCTTACAGGTCGAAAAAAACCTTCGTTGGCCATCATTTGTCGTATTGCATGTATGATTCCTCGATATTTCGCGTGTGGGTCGGGATTAATACATTGCATCCGAGTCTATTATGATATAAACAGCGCATGTTTTTTTGCAGACGAGTTCTATTCAATATACTTTAACAACGTCGACTGGATACATAACACAATGTTCGCCAATACCGGCTAACGCTCCAGCAGCCATGTGTATGGCTGGATGCATTGATTCAGGAAGACTTTCATAATCATCACTCGACGCCATTTGTATCAATTTATTTTCTAGGATGATTTGGATTCTATCTCACTAGTTTCCAACAATGGTAATTAACGACGAATACAAACATGAAGGTCTTTCCATAATAGATCTGATCTAAAATTATTGAACCAAACAGTATGTTATATCCTGTGTGTTAAATTTCATTGCGATAAAAGAAGAAAAAAAGATACTGTTCTATCTGCGCATCTTCTCTTTTTCTCCCCCGTTGTACTACGCGAACGGTAAGCAAATAACAGAACAGCGTTTCTTCACATTAGGTAAAGTGCATTACGTAGCAGAAAAGGAAAAAAGTGGCGTGGATGGTTACGAAATCAAAAGAAGAGAAGAAGAATGATGACGATGCAGAATTTCTCTTTATTCTATTTTTCCATTTCCTCATTCGAATATTTCTATCAAATAAGGCTCACACAAATGACCACCAAAGAAAAACATATGTAAAAAAGAACATGTGTTTTTTTTTCGTCTTCGATTTTCTTTTGGTATGTGAATATCGTTCTTTTCTTTCTGAGTTTGTCAACGACAAGTATCCGAATGGATTCAGACGAAAATCAGAAGATAAAACAGCATGAACAAGGAACAACAAGAAACGAAAACAGTCTTTTTTTTCGGAACAGAAAACGAGCAAAACATAGCATCTGAAAAAGAAAAAATAGACAAATCATCGTCGATTTTAGTTTATTTCTTTTTTTTTAACGGATTTGTTCGTTTATCTACTGTTGTTTGCATTCAGGTTGCTGACCAGCACCACCACCTGAACCTTGTTTGCCACCTCGAGATTTCTACATAGGAAAACTTTAACAAAAATTGATTCAAAACCAAATACTTACGCCTCCTGCACCACCGGATGGACCATGTTTACCATGATGATGATGTCCACCTCGACCACCGCCGTGATGATGACCGTGACCTAACATAGAAAACAAATCATAAGCACGCAGATGAATTGAATCTCATCTTACCTTCATCTTCATCTTCTTCCGGATCTTCATCATCGTCATCATCATCTGAAAGATCGCGAATTTCAAAAGTCAATGATTTCTCTTTATTCTTTTATCTTACCATCATCTTCATCCTCTTCGTCTTCGTCGAACTGAAATATCAGATCAAACAAAGGTTTTTCAACTTTGAAAGAAACGAAGTCATTCACTTACATCACCGTCTTCATCATCTCCAGCTTCACCGGTATAATAAAGTACAGCTTTTGGTACAATGGAATCCCGAAGCATATGACCAATTTCGAAATCAGCTGCTAAAGAATTCATTTCTTCATTGTCTTCCAATTCCGCGTCGGCATCTTCAGGTACTAAAGATTTGAAAAACAAGAACTCTTCGCATTGTCATCTATCTCATCGGATTTTACCAGTTGGTGGTTTAAAGAAATTGAAGAATGATTCAGTTTGAACTTCTTTTGTGACGACACGAATTGTTCCTCGATTCTTATGCTTTTGTCGCTTTTTAACCATTTTAACTGTGACGTTTTTGCCTTTATTCCATTGGATGTCACAGCCTTTGGATTTGATAATTTCTGGTCCTTCGTAAGCCAATGGTTCATGTTCGTCTAATCCAGTTCGAAGTTCATAGAATTTGGTTAAAATTGTATTGGAAAAATATTCATTGGGTGTGAATTCGAATTCGATTGTAAAACCTTTTTGTGCTGCTTCATTTTGCATCGTTATACGGACGTCAATCAAATGTTTTAACACAGGTTCATCGTGTTCCTAAAGACGGAATATTTAACAACACGAAAACTCTTCGTATTCGCTAATTACTTTGATTAATTCAGCGAGTACATCGGAGTTTTTGAACACTTGTAACCAGAACTCGGGAATACCAACTGTTTTTTCTAGAAAAACAATCGAATCAATTCTCATCTCATCAATCAATAATACTTTTGTAAGAAAATAAGTGATGTAATGAGACAATAGCCTTGTCTATCGATATCTCCTATCCGAAGACAAAACCTAATGTATGAAAAGCTATCGAGACCTTGCGATAAAGTAATCTTCTCATCCATTCAAGGTTATGAGAAATAAGGCATTGGACGAAAGCTTTTCTGCGTTTCCCTTACCTTCTTCTTTTTTCTGTTCGTCAGATTTTTCACCAGTTTCTTCTGTTTTCTTAGCCTCTTCATCAGCCTAAAGAGTCATTGCAATGCATTCTTTCCAAAAGAAAAACGAAAATGTTTATTCTTCCTTTACCTCATCTCCATCAAATGCACATTTAACTTCAGCGTCTGTTGGCTCATAAGCTCCTTTAACGATATTCAAACGCTGAAAAAGAATACAAGATAAATCATTTCGAAAATTTCCCAACAAGATCTACTTTTTCATAGAGTGGTTGATATTTGCTTAAATATCGACATTCAAGTGCATGAACTTCTTCGAAGAAGCCTGCTTCAATTTTATGATGTTCAACTTGAAGATTTCGAAGAGCATTGACACGGCGTACAACATCAGCTGGCAAACTAAACAAATCAAATATCAGACATCCCAAAAAGAACACAAAATTCAAATTTATCCTCCAATCTATCCCACTTACACTTGCTCATAGTACTCATATTCTTTTGGAATCGATGATTGATGTTGAACATCATTATCATCATCAGATACATAACTATGATCATCATCGATATTTTCGGTATTTGACATAACTGGATAAAAGAACCACCAACAGGAGAATGTATATTAGTACGAATAAAGCAACACACGCGTGCACTTGCAGAAAGAAGAAAAAGATTCTCAGACTGATTTATCTCTATTCTATATTTGCTTGCCATTTTCTCTCCTATGCGTGGCAAGGCGAGAAAAGGAGAGAAGGAAAAAAGCGACTTCGATCTATGGTTTTTCTTTGTTTTTTTATATTGATTGAGGAAAAAGTAATGAATCGAATAATTGAACTAGTCGAAGTGATTTATTTGCTTACATACCTTCCAGCAAAATATGATGCAAATTCATCACCCGCAGAGTCCAATCGTTGTTGAACATTTTGAAGAAAACCCGGATTTCCGAGTGCAGTTGACGATGTATCAGTCGCTGCTGCTGGCTGAGCACTAGTTCCTGTTGATTCATTAGTTGAAGCTGGTGCTTGAGCGTTTTCGTTCTTGTCCATTCTAGACATTCGAGTTTTGAAAAGAAAAGTTGAATGACTAAAACATACTTTGAAATTAGCCAATAAATGATCAAACACACCGGGTTTTAATCTAGAAAGAAAATTTTGCCTCAAAAAGTAACAAAACCCAACGAACGATCGAACATCTCTAGCTGCGCAATATTCTGGATTTCTTCATATCGAATCAACCAATCGGAACATGATTGAGCAAGTTTGTTGCAACATTTTCCTTAGTCTTAACTCATTTCTCCCGAAAATTATTTTTATTTTTAAAACCATATTTTTTTTATTATCTTTGCAGGAAAATTGCAATTGACAAAAATAAACATCCTACTAGCGACCTCACTCATTGGATATGACAGTTAAACAATGGATTGATGAAAAAAATCACATTTGATCATCATTATTATTTTTTTTCTCATTTCTTCCATGTACAGGATTGTTTATCATTGGACTGATATAGATTTGTTTGATTTTATTTAGATCTATAACTATTAAGTATATTTCATGTCGAATTTTGGTGATTCCCCTGATGTTGGAGATTCGCCGGAACGTCCAGCAATGAATACAACAAATAATCTATCATCTTCGATTGATAGTGAAGAAACAGCTTTATCCAAGTATGAACACGAATTAGAAAGGATGATCAACGAAAATTTTGTTAATGGACAAGATTTATACACACAAAAGCTATTTATTGCCTTCCAAAATGCAGCAAAAGCGGTGACAAAAATGTTTCGTGGTAAGAAATGGATAATTCTTTTGTTTTCTCTTAGTAACTCGTTTTTATTTTAGAGCGTTCGAGTGGGACAGCTAACTGGAATACCTTTCATGCAGCTGCTGGATCAGTGACAATGCTTTACAAAGGTATAAATTTCATTAAAAAAAAAAATCGAAATTTAATTTCTCATTTCTTCTTTTTCTCTTAATAGAGAGTCTAGACGCACTGAAAGATGCAGTCCAGTTGGGTATTATCAATGGTGAACAGCGTAAAACCAAAGAATTATTATGCTGGGCACGCCGTAAACAACGACGTCACATTCGTACTGAAGAAGTTTACGACTACTTAATTGGTCGACCACCATATCGTTTTGCTTCTCGACCATATCATTCAACTAATTCATTAGCCACAGCAGAGATCGGCAGTACGAACAGTGGTACAACAAATATCAGTAGTATACGTCGACAAGAGTCAACTACCGAGCTCACAACGAATCCCACCCAACCAGTTGTCGACGATCTTCAAACGTTTCGACAAGCACTTGTTATGCATGGTAAACAGCAAAAAAAAGTCTTTTGTTATTTCTATGAAACTTTGTTTTTCTTTTAGATATTGATAATGCCAATCGAAATATTCATTCGAATTCCTATCGTCATCAGTCTCCATCCCCACCGTCGACAGCTCAACAGCTGGAAAGCTTTGTTCGTCAACAAGTTGCTGATCACTTAGCACGAAAACGTGATTGGCATTCAGCGGATTTGTTTAATGCTTCAAATTCTTCGGATTTTCAAAAACCTAAACGTGGCCGACATATGTGAAAAGAATATTTCTATCGAGAGGAAAAAGCCAAATCAACGTCAATATCTTATCTTTCTCTTGTCTCGACTGTATTTATTATTATTATTTTTTCGCGTAACACGCCTATTTTTCTTTTCATTCTTTTTGCTTTTCATTGAAATATCCTTTCTCTTTTTTGCTCTTCTGGATTTTTCTCCTTATGTACAGTTATTTCATCCTTTTGTTCTCTGTTTTTCTTTTGTTCTAACTATCTAGACGATGTTGCTCAACTTAATTTGAAAGATTTGATATCGTCGTCGTTGTCGTCATTTCCTATTACTATTACTGATCATATTCTTTTCTTTTTCTTTATCCTACTTTCCAAAATAAACAACTATAGACATATAGGAACATCATTACTATGGTCATTTACATTGAATAACAGTCACTCGTTACAAAGAACTGAAAAGCAACGGATATTCTCTATTCAAGGTTGTTGTTTTACAACTTGTGTTGTTTTTTTACACATTGGTGCGTCGTAAATGAGTTGCGTTTGATAAGCAATTGAACGTATGTATATTCCTTCTTTTTAAATCGATTAACAAAAACAAAAATAGAAAGTCTATTTAACTGTGTGATATCTTTCTTCTCTCTTGTTAAGTATATTCGCAATCAGACGTCATTTGTTTTGCTCAGCGCTCTATCTCTCATTTACACACATTCACAAAAAAAAGAAAGAAAGAAAAACAACTTATTTCAATATGTCTACAAGGCACACCGAAGACATAGGAACAAAAAGGAAAACAAACGGAAAGGAGTGGACAATGGAGAAGCACACGAAAAACCGGTTTCGAATATTTGCAGAGAAAAATGAAAATATTGAACGAAAGTGCTTTTCAATAATCTTATCGATCTCGTTTCGGTACGGACGAAGTGGTTGACGAAATAACAGTTTCATTCGTCGAAGCTTTTGTCGCATGAAGTCGTTTAAATTGTTCTAATGAAGAAAAATCACAAAGTGATTGAAGTTTATTTCCAACTGCCATCGATGAACCATTAACAGCTATTTCTTGAGGACGTGTTATATTATTCGTAGGAAGACGAGTTATATTAGAACCACATGAAACCAAATAGAGACCGCCTAAAATCAAAAATTCGATCTTGAGAGATTTGGCCAGTGAACGAAAAGCAAACAACTTCAGATGAAATCAAGTCAAGTTAACTTACCGGTTTTATCAAAGCATTTGACAGTATGTTTTGTGTAATATAAACAAAAAATCAGAAGAAGAAGGAGAAGAAGAAGGATGATGTGTGTAGACATGCATAATTTAAGTATAAATCAAATGTGAAGACCAAAAAAGGAGATTGATCGAGTATGTGTGTGCGTATGTTGCGTCTAGGAGTTCAAGTTTTGTTATGCTGTTTTTAACTAAACAGACCTGCGCGATGTCGCGGAACGGTATTTGCACTTTTCGTTCGAACAGACGAGTCAAGCGATGGATTTGATGTTGTCACTGTTGTCTTCGGTGAAAAATTTGATGTAATCTGGGGCATTATGTGTGTAGGCAGGATAGCACGATTAGGATTATTGTGTTGAAGGTTATTTTCAGAAGAACGTAGCGCTTGTTGATAACGACTCAGTCGTGTACCATTTTGTGCATTTGTGTTACTCTGAAACAAGGAAATAAATAAAATGAAACGATGAATGGAACTGGGTACGTTTTTGTTCGTTCGAAGTTCATATTTCGGTTGTACTTGATGTTGTTGACTGGTAAAATACTGCTGAGTACCATGCGTTGCACCTCCATTGTTAGTCGTGTATCGATTCATTTGAGAATTTGGCAATTTCAAGCCAACATACTGAAGAAGAGAAAGATTTTGTATCGGATCTGTGAGTTCATTCTGAGTCTAAATAGTCATCGAATTAGTCTTGATTTCTTTCTACAAATCATATTTTCTCACCATATTATGATGTTGTCCGCCTGCATTGTGATTCGCCGCTGGGATACTTGCTGTTGTACCTGGTGTGCCAAATAAAATTCGATGACACATATCCACAACTCCTGTTTTGTTCGAAAAGATGAAAAAAGTCAAAAGAAATAGCATTTCGAAGGATTTACCCAAGCCTCGAAGTAATGTTTCACGTTGATTCAGTAAAGTTAATCGTTCATATTCTTCATTTTCGTCTATTTCCATAGGTTTACTTGATTCTCCATAGTTCTGTGCTAGCGGAGAAGCAACATTTGTGTTCTAAAAGTTCACAAGAACATCATGCACTTTAATAAAGAATAAAAATATGTACGTATATGGATTTATACGAAAGGCAAAGAACAAAAATGTGCACTGAAGAGGTTTCGTGGAAGAATTTACCATTGAGTGTCGATGAGAGAAAACCAATTTCTATAAAGTTTTGGGTTTTCATTAGTCAAATTAGTGGAAGAATTTGAGAAGAAAACGAAGAGCTGAATTGAATTAGAACTTACAGCTGTTAGACGTTTCAATGGTGCGCGGTTGAATGATGAACTTCTCGATGTTTTTACAGCCGCCAATGGTTTTCGTGTCGGACTTTCACCTCGAAGTTCTTTTGGATTGTTATTAACTCCCGCTGGATTTGCTTTACGATTTTTCAATGCATTTAATTTGTCTTGTTTCTTTTGAATTTCATCAATCTGAGCTCTACGAAAACGTCCGAATGATTTCTTGTAGGAAAAAAGAATTATCTTACTTGGCTTGTTCTAGTCGAGCTTTCGATGCTGCTGTTTCTGAATACAGCGTTCCCGATTGTGTATAAAATCGATCGTATTTCTCAGCTGTATCTGGTCCGGGATAGATTCGCCGGTAGTTACCCATATGTTGATCTTCCCATTTTTCTATTTCTTTTTGCCATTGCTGAGCAAGATCTTCTTGTTCTTCACGATATTTACTATCTTTTTTGTTGATTTTTTGAAAAAGTCGTTCCTTTGCACGTTTTTTCTCTTCTTCGACAAACCGACGTTTATCAGCAGCTGGTAGATTTAGTAACATCAATGTATCATAGATAAGTGCATCTTTGATTTCTCGATCGAGTTTCGAATCTGTTGTAAAACTTGGCGAATGATTTACCTATGAAAATCAGAAATAAATTTCTTGCTATAGCCTTTCGTCAAGATGTTTTACCTCAAGAACATGCGGCTTGAGCTTTCGATCAAGTAATACATCAAATCCCAGAATTTCAAAGCAAGCACTACCGCGATAATGATTTGGAAAACAAGCTCGATAGTTATGCTTGAGAACTGATTGAGCAGATATGAGAGTTTTAATAATCACTTCATCAATATCTGCCCAAAGTTTGTTGACATCATAACCATGTTCTGCTAACCATCGATTGATGGTCGTTATTCGCCTAAAGAATGTGTCGTTAACAATCAATAACTGACGTTTCGACAATGAAATTTTACCGTTTGGTTCCTGAATCTTCATCTCGAACGAAATCATCCGAACGTTTTTGAATTGCATAATTTGTTAAATGCATAAAAACATCTTTCTACAACGAAATTTCGATACAGAAAGACAAATCATCTAGATTAATTCTTCGTACACAATTCGAGCTGCTTGGCTCTTCATACTGTTGAGTGGTGAAACGTGCTAAGCCATCTTTATAAACGAATATTCGGAAAGGGTCACAAGATGTTACAGCCACATACACCCGCAGATCGAATTTAAAACCATCAAGAACAAATGGCTAAAATATCAACATCCAATGTTTCTCCTGTGAAAGAAACTTTTTCTCACATACTCGATTCACATAGACTTGTACAACGTAATTATCAGAACTAAATAGAAGGATAAAAGTTTGATCGAATGCACGGTGAACTTTCTTACGGTTTGATATCTCTTCCTGGATTTTTGGTTATAAAAATACCTCGACCCTGACAGCCGACGTCTGGTTTGGAAATGTACGTTTTAAACTTTTTCTCGGAGCAATATTTAGCAAAATCAGCGTAACTACAATCAATTCGGTCAAAGTGAATCGTTCGATTGGAAAACAATCTCATACTCCGCTGGAAGACACCAAGCTTTTGGATAGAATGCATATTCTTTAGGAAACATTTTGATCATACGAGCCATATTTCTTGTCAGAGAATCTTTCCGACAGATTTCACTCATACCCGGAAAATGATTGACTTTCTATAGAAATGAAATAGTATGAAAGAAAAGAAAAAAAGGACGTTGTTTGAATGGGTCGTACCTGCCATTTCTTCATTTGTCCAACTCGATCGATTCCCACACTTGTATCTGTCCAATAAACATTCCAATCATCTTCATCAGCAACTTCGCGAAAGTTTAATCGTTTGGCTGCTCGTCGTACACATTCATATTTACACATTGACACACAAATGTAATAAATTCTATGAAAATTCTCGAGTAAATCACGATCGAACATCGCTAATCATTCAAACCTTTTTCGTTTTTTCTTTGCTAATTGTGAATTCTTTTTACTATCATCGTCATCTAATGTGCCTGACGTGGATGACGGAGCAGGTCTTGGTATAACAGGCCGGTCATCATCAGATTCACCTGCAACTTCTACAGAAAACAATCGAACTATCGAGTTTTTCGTTTCTATTCTATTTACCTTCTTCATCAGGCAATGGTGCTTGAAGTTCAATCGTATCTTCATCATCTTTTAACGTTAGTTCACTAGGTTTATTTGCCGCAGATCGGCCGAACGTTGTCGATGGCATATCGTCTTCCGATGATGATCCTCTTCCGCTTGATTCACTTGAGCTATTTCTTTCACGTCGCCTTCGTGTCGTCATGGCTGTTTCTAATATACCGTAGTTAAAATTGTGTGACCGGAAATGAAATTTTTTCTTCGAATCAAATGAGAATTTCTTTCATAAAATATTTATGATAAAGATCGCCGACACATCGAAACTACGAAATCGATCCCAAGAGCCATATATGAAAGTTAGCAGAAGATCTTCAAATATAAAGAAAACAAAAAAATAATTCAATGTACAAAATTAATCTACACAATGTCGTTATGTTGTTGTTGTTGTTGTTGCTTTCTTCTAAATGACAAGACATTCTTTCTTTTTCTTTTTCTTTTCGCATAATCATACATCTCAATTTTCAATGTAGGCAGCCATTGAAGTTGAGAAAAAGAATAGAAACTAAATCTTTTGCTGACATGCTCTCGAAAAACAACATTTCGCTTATTTTCTTTGATCTAGCTGAGTAAATGAACTTGAGAGGAACTCGATGGCAAAATGGAAAAGTAAAAAAAAGAGGAGAACCCATTTCATTCTTCGGTTTGTCAACGAAGAACTCTTAGAACAAAGATTTCAATTTCATTAGTTCAATGCCATTGACGATGAAAAACGAGTCATAATCACAAGAAGTTACCTATTCTCTCATTTCTCAACAAAGAATGCGAAACATTGTCGAAGCGTCCTTGAAAAATGAAAGAGCGATTTCAATATGAGAAACTTCCGCAATCATTTCTAGGTGCACATTCAGATAGAGAAAAGTTAGAGGTGCTGTGAACGTAATCAAAATAGACTGTAACCATTTTGCTTCCACGCGTCATTCCATCTCGTTTTCTTAGCAACCACCAGCAATGTGTCGAACGATAGGAATTCAACAGAGACATCTATAACAAATAGAATTATAAATTGAAGAAATATTTTGTGTCTTTCTGAAACTTTATGAAGTGTTTTCCAAACAACTGGAATAGTATCTGTACTTCGCCGTATTCAACTGAATCAGCAGTAGTAATAAATCTGTTTTACGCGTCTTTTGATTATTATTTCGTTATAAAATAATACATATGCAACGTCGTTTGCATTTGACTAAGGTTTCTTCTTTATAATTACATTTATTTGATCGAGACCAAAATATATAGGAATCATGGTAATCAATTATTGAAAGTACTTAAAAAGTCAGTTCATAGAAACGCATATTTATTAGTGTATTGTATGTATGATCGACATGAACAAGCTTCATCATCTGGTATAGATTAGTATTATGAAGAGTAGTGATATTTCTGAGCACCGTGCAATAACGTCACAAAGGATTACTTGACTATATCGCTAACTGTGGAAACGAGCGACTGAATACTTGAAATTAAATTTCATACTATTGTTTCTTATTCAAGTGCAACGATAGGAATAATTTGATTTAGTACTGTTGTATTTGTTTGAATGACTATTTCGATTATTTTTTCAATGAAAGGAACGAGTTTTATTTCAAATAAAAGGTAATCAGAAGGAAACAAACACTCAATCGTTTTTATCGACTATTTTTAGGAGATGCTGTTACGATAAATTATCATCTTCGCCATCCACAGGTGCATCACGAGCAAGGACCATTGAATTAAACGGATTTGCTGCTGTATCATCATGCGCATGTTGTCGTTTTCGTCGTAACAAAGATCGTTGAGCATTCGTTTGAGCAAGTGTGCTCTTCTGAACAAGGTTCGATCGTTGTTGATGTTGAACTTTATTATTCTGAACTACTTGTGTTATAAGAGTTCGATGAAGATGATTTGTGTTGTTATATTTCGCTGTGTATCTTACGTATAAAGGTCGGTTTGGAGAAGAACGAGCGTTGACGTTTTTTGCGATCGATGATTGACTTTTCTTCGAATCAGAAAGTAAGTTTTTCGTTACTCGAACTTGAGATAACATACGGCGGTTAGCAGCAAGACTCTGATTATTTGTTTTGTTGTTTTTGACAAACGGGCGATATCTTGAATTGAAAAGTCGACTATTGGCAATTTTCACAGTACGATTGACTTGACGCTGTGTTGGCCGTTGATTAAGAAATCGATTTCGTTGTTGATTGACAAGTCTTTCTTGCAAACGATTCTGTGAAACCGTTTGAGAGTTTTGTTTCCTCACGCTGTCCGCTTGACGTTGAGCAATAGTTGAATTACGAATATTATTTTTACGTTGTAAAAGGGCTTGTTGCAAAAGTGTTCGATTTGCAAGTTGAGCTTTCGAAACACCTTTGGCTTGGCGTTCAATATGGGCGAAATTTCTAGCCGGATTCTGTTGTCGCGTATCGAATTGGCGACGTTGGACAGTTGTGCGTTGAGTAGTTACCGATTTGGTCACTTGTTTTACTTCGGAATTGAACCAGGAGAATCCTGAGATGTAGTGACAGGAAAAACAAACTATCAGAATGAGAAGTAGAACTTTCATGATGCTGCTTCTTTTGATAAAATAGATATTATGAATGAGAAAACTTCCTTTTCTTCTCTTCGATACTTACTTAATGGGCAATTGCAACAAGCTGTCGTGAATGTGTTATTCACATTATGAATAACGTTTATCTGTTGTTTATTGCTCTTTCAATAGAGGCGAAGTTATTTTTCATATCTTTCATTATTCTACTGGTTTCTCGAACTTTCCAAAGTCTTTTTTAAAATATATTTCAAAAAATTATATATTTCGATAATGTAAATGAACGTGCTCATTAGAGTCACTGTACTGATTCGAAACTCGTACAAATTCGAAAGCGACAAAATAGTTCTGAGCGAAAAAGAGAAAAAAAATTGGTAGATTCAAACTATGATATCCACCGGAACTATGACAACAGTTTGAGAGTCTTTCTTTCAAGATAGTGTGGTGTAAGCGCGAGCATCAGATGAGTTGGCATGAATCAATCGACCTGGTTCATGCAGTAAATCGACAATCCATGTTTTCGCTGGATATCGAACACCCTAAAGCAATGAAATGAATAACAATTCAATAAAAGCTTCTGTCCAATAGTCGAACAGTTTACCGCGGATGATTCTCCAAGTACCACTTCATTCCAGGCACGATTATAGTTTCCCCGTACTAATGTACATGGCATCCCCAATCGATCAGCGAGTATCTGAGTGAAAGAAAAACAGCTTTTCGTCATAGTTTCTGTCTGAATTCCATTGTGTTGACTTACCTTAAAAAGAAATGCTCGTTGTGCGTAAATACCCTTTCGTATTCGGCCAATTGGAACAATATTTGAATGTATTTCTGCTTTCAACTGAATCATTGATACTTCATATCCGAAGGTTGTGATGTCATCAAGTGCAATAACTCCACCCATCTTATCGCTTACCAATCTTGACAGGGTAGACAAGAAGTTATTCGTAGACAAAGAAATCTAGATTAAACTTACCGAGCAAGAATTGGAATTTGTTCAGTTAAAGGTTTCTTCGCCACTTGAGGACGAATCTCATCGAGATACGTAAGAAAATCTTGATCAGGTGTCGATTGATAGCCTGCTTTCTGTATGATATCGGAATAATGAAGGAACAAGTTTAGGAAAACAAGAACTGTCTTACTGGATCAGTAATATTCGTCGCTGATGAATCCGTTTCCGCAGCCTTTTTATCATCAGCAGCACTTCGTTTATCACTGGTTTTCTCTTTTTTCGTTTTACTAAAATGAACCCGACAATGATTGGTGTGAAATTTCAAATGATGTTATCACACGACAGTGTTAGTGAAAGAGTGAGAACAAACAATACATATCAAAACAAGCAATTCTATCGTTCGTTCTAAGAAAGTCGCCTTACCTGGTAGTACTTGTAGTACTGCAGATATAAACATTGAAAAAAAGTATCAGAAATGATTGGGAACACTTACGTTTTCGCTTCTTTTTCTTTAGTAGAACTTTTTCCTGCTTTCGACGTTCGACCTGTAGCCGTACTGCCTGATTTTTCCTTACCATCTGAACCCTTTCTGTAACACAATAGCACATAGTCTACATTGCAACAAATCAAAGTCTTACGATGGCGTTGTTGCTCTAGCAAGATTAGAATTCGATGATGATCGTGCTCGCGTACGATCTTCTTCAGGAGGCATTTCTGTGGGTACTGCTTGGAATTGTGGAACACTAAATAAACAAGATCAGATATCTCATGCGTTTCTGAGCAATATACACCCAGTTGAAAGAAAAGATAAGGCATCACTGAAACGGAAAATAAAGTCTATTCATTTGAGAATAGAATATCATAAATAATTTTTCTTTCTGCAAATGATACGACATTTATGGTGCATAAAGCGAAATGCGCAGGAAAATGGATGTGAAAGCGCGCGTGTAATATTGAACATGGAAAGTGTTTCGCTATTTCACGTACTTCTTTTCCGGAGCATAGACAATCAGAATCGGCCGACGATCATTTACTTCCTGAACAGCTAGTTCTTCGATAGTTAAGAATTTTCCACCTTCAGGCACTGGGCCCATGTCATAAAATCCATCTGTTGTAATATTATTGTTCTCTTCAAAACAATCAACTATGATTTCGCGTTATGAAATCAAACGAATTTACCTAATCGGCCGAGGTAAGAATATTTTGCTGATAATTGACTGTCAAGTATTCTTTGTAAAGCCATTTCAGTGAATTTACTTTTACGAGATTCGGATGCATTTAAATCACGTAATATCTCAAGTGCACTAAAGATGCATGGTAATGACTTCAGCTGACCTATTTGAATCGGCGCTCTTACCCATTTCGAAGAATTTCCATTGCAATCGCTTGATCAGCACAGAGAACACTGATAGCAAAACAAGCATTTCGACGAACTTCATCGTTATTGGATTTCGATAATGTAACAATGCGCGGTACAATTGCTGCATTACTTAACACCTATGGAAAGCAAATGAATGAGCATCTTCTAATAAAATTATCCTTTTCATTCGTACTTCAGGTCGCGCTTTTTGATCGATACCGAATGCTGACAAGAGCATCGCGGCTTTCGCTTGTGCAATTTCGTAACTTAATAGACGTATATGTCGATGATTTTCAAGCGTTGAGAAACAATTTTAGTATTACTTTGTATGCAATGGTGCGAGAAGATTTGTAATCAGACCTTTTTCTAGAATATTTGCACGTACAACTGGATCAGTTGAACAATTGGCTAATGTGACACATGCGTACGCTTTGGTCGTATCTTTTTCATCATTTAATAAGTGAATCAATATGTCTAAACCGCCTTGTTCTTGTAATTCTCTATGCGAACAAACGAATTTCTCTCATCGGCACTCACTGCAAATCACTTACCGAATGTTGTTTGAATTACTCTGCGTTAGGTTTGACATTGCTAAGGTTGAAAATTCACGTAAGCGTGGATTATCTTTCTGCATCATTTGTACAATCGTAAGAATTCCATCTGAAATCGAAGAAAAGAGAACAGCAATTCCGTGAGGATGGATCTCTTGGGAAAACAAACCATTGTTTCGAATTGTTTCTCGGCTTAGCATGCTTTCTGCCATCACTGCTAGTGCTTGACAAGCGGCAATACGTACTTCATCATTTTCACTAAGTAAAAGACAAATCATCGCCCGTTCAGCATCTTGTTCGGAGAAAATCTTTCGATTTTGCGCTAAAATAAAGCATCGCAGATCTTTTTCAGAAGACTTTTTTGTGTGTCTTTCTCACGTTTTCTTGCTGCTCGCCCAATGGCCTTTGCAGCTGCTGCTTGAACAGCTGGTAAAGCACTATCTTGTACAAATTGCATCAATCGTTTCAAACCTCCATTCGATTGAATCAACTACAAGACAAACAAACTAAATAAATGGAAAATTTCCGCTAAAACTTACATCAAGACATTCCGTATCTTCCAGAAGATTTGCTAATGCATTCAGACAATGAACATGAACATCTTTCGTCTCATCCAATCCGATAAAATCAATCATTCGATCTAATCCACCAATTTCTCTAATCACTGTGCGATTGTTTGGATCCGTTGCTAGTTTTTGTAAACAATTACACACCGTCTCTGTTATCTGTGGGTAATCCGATTTGAGATTGTTTAGTATTGGTTCGATACCATTCAATTCTCGTAAAAGACTTCGCGCATTGTAATCATCGAGAATTCGGTCGATTGTAGATAACGAATTGAACTTCACATCTGGATCATTTTCATTGATTAAACGAATCAATGGTTGAAGAACATTCTGAGAAGTTATTTGAGTTTTTGTGGAAAAATTACTACACATATGACGAAGCCAAAATACTGCATATTCATTTGTCAATGCTTCATCTAGATCAAATACATATGCCTCGAATAAGAACGAAACTTAGTAGAATTCGGATACTTACGTTCCGGTGACAAGAGTGTGATCATATGTGGGATGCAATCAATTTTACGAAGATATTGTCGAATATCCGCTAGAAAACAAGGAAAGAGTATGAGAAAGTCTTCTTCGAATGGGTCAATTACGATGAGAAGACAGCAGCCCGAATACCATCGTTGCATTTCGTTTGATAATTGGATTTTCATGTTGTGTTAATGTAAATAAAGTATCTGTGGCTCCCATTTCATGTAGAAGTAATTTATTTGCATCGCTTTTATCAGCAAATTTGAATAATGCATCACACGCTCGAATTAGGACGTTTTCTTCGGTACTTCTTAAACATACGACAGCCGTTTGAGCACCTTTCACATCGATTTTTATCGGTTCAAACTAGATGTACTCTTAGAAATCATGTTCATTTACTAAAATGTTCACTTACAGTTTCATCAACTGTCTTCTCTTCTGGTAATTTCGCCTTGCCCGCTTTACCTTTATCTTTTCCACCAGTTGCCGGTGTTTTCCCACCTTTGGTCGCTGCTGCTGCTGCTGGAGTTTTTTCGCCTTTAACCATTGTTACTATCTCTCTTTCAACAGATAAACAGATAGAAATATGAAAAGTAAAATTTTACTCAGACAAACGAGTGATTGTTTATAGGAAAGACACACACACACACACATAGAGAAGAGAACTACGGCAACCGCTTGACAACCATTTTCAATGTTTAATATCTTCAATTACTTATCAACAACCATAATTTAAATCAAAAAGCATATTTCTTCTCCTAAATGACAAAAAACTCGAACATATCATCTTCAGTTCTCCTAGAAAAACGAAAAAATCGATAGATGAAGATCTTTTCATAGATGTCGCTTTTATTTCGAATTATATATATATTTACAAAGAAAAAAAAGATTGACAGATGTTCGATGGGCACAATTTAATACCAGAACATATGTTTTACATTAATGAATAACTTGTTTTTCTTCGTAAATTTTCAATATAAGCTTCTAAATTGAGAACTTCTCTTTTTAATTTGCTCATTTTCGCCATTGCTCGTTTAACTTCTTCAATCCGTTTTCGATCTTTCACTTCATATTCCGCTTTATATTGTGCTAAATAAGTCAACGATGGAATCAAATAAAGTGACGAACCATCCGGGATAATCATCTCTAATTGTTCTAACGATAAATTCCGTTCGCCAGTTAAATAATCCAAAATCAAACCAAATCTTTCCGCATTTCCTGGAATGACAATTGCTCCATGTTGATCTCGTCTCGTTGGACTATGAAAAAGTACTCTGAAATAAATACTTTGCGACGCGAGTAAATGCCGATCGATTTGAAAGTAATGGCCATCAACATTGAGAAGAACGTTTCCAACCTTTCTCGGCATGCTTCCAGATGAATAATATGCGTATGTCAATGAATGCGCACACAAATGTTTGCTTTAAAAAATGTGTGAGGGTAGTAAAAGGTACACATAGAACATATGCGTCAATTTATCCATCATCATCATTAATAATATATCGTCAGATGTCGATATGAGAAAAAACAGTTCTCTCTTGTTTTGTCAAGTATCGAATAGGAAGACGAAAAAATTCTGATGATGATTGCGTCGTCTTTCAATCAAGAAATCGAAGAAGTTTAGAATGATCGATGAGAAATTGTTACGAGAACCCCGCGAATCACATCATCATGTTACGTGTGTCAGTTGTATTTCAAGGTCAAAATAATATTTGAACATAGAGGAAATCGAAGCATGTCAAAAAGAAAACTTTTATCGTGAATTTTCTTCATTAATATGCAAAAAAATGCCGACTTTGAACAAATGTTCGATGTAATAGTTATCAACTTCTTCTTTCAACGTGCTGTTTGACTCGCGTCTTTGCTGTACTCAAAATGCTCGCGTTGATCTCAATCTATCTATTGATAGAATTTCATATAAATAAACAAGAAATTCTGCCAAGAAGAAGGTTGATGATGCAGCTGATAGGAAAATTGATAAGACATTCTTCAGTGACAGTTAATAACTCATAACAAAATCTAACGACCTAATTCGATCCCTTTGCAATGAAAATATCCGCATGAATCATTCGACTTGAAAGTTGGTTCGTGTAAACAGAGAAAGACACGAGTGANACGCGATGAAAATAAACAAACCAGTTGTATAATTAACAGCGTTGACCATAAGAAATAGAAACTTGCACAAGCCAGTCGATAGAATTTGTTTGCCTGTTGTTGAACTTGACAGTTCACCGAAAATAACACGTAATGCAAAAAACGCCACATCACATAATGCTAAGATTTGCATGTAGAATGCAATGGATGACGACCGATTCATTCGTGTCCGCCGTAAAATGTAGAAAGCACATAGATTTAGGATGATAGCTGGGAGAATGAAAAAGCGATTCAAGTTTTGTGATATGTAACGAACAACATTGAACAAGGTGATTTGCGTAACATATTGATATTTGATTTGGGTACAAGAAAGATTTTTCAACGTCGTGGAATCTGTGATTAGAAATGACGATGAGTATGTGCTATTCAAGGTAACATTATCGTCAAACAAGGAGATCGGGGTGGAAAATGTCGGATCGAAATAGATCAATGGAGTATTTCCAGTGAGTGATGTTATATTAGACGACGAGGATTGATAGTACATTGTTTGTGCCAGGCATACCGTTCGAATAAATCTATAATGATCAGACGAGTTATTGAAATTATCGAAGATATTCTTCAAAACTGAATGAACTACTAAGCATTCTTTGAAAATCTCATTTCGACATCAATCAATTCTACTCGATTAAGCAGAAGGCAACAAAAGAAACGACGAAGTAGTTACATTGACATCGATGTGCGAAAAAAAAAGAAACTGGTCTCCAGAAAATACATTGAGATGTTTGGATTAGATAGTTTTCGTCATCGGATAATAAAAAAACTGAGAAGAAGAAGAGAAAGATTTGACATTATATTGATATGTTAGTAAAAACAGATCTGTAATGAAATTAGAGTCGAGATAGATGTCTATTATAATCCACTAAATGAAAATCTGAGCATAAATGTGGAAAGGAAAATAGAGCGAGCCGTTATACAATGAAGCTAAGTAAACTGACAAGTTCAATTATCAGTTTACTTTATCTCGGTTGATTTGAATGTCGAAAATAGAAAAAAAACATGAGAAGAGAACGATAGCAATTGAAGATTTACTTCGGTTTGCTTCATATACGAGAAAAAGGGAGGGAGAGAGAGATAGTTTCGCTTGTCATTCTCTCTTGTTCTTTCTATGATTTAGTCTCCTAAAAAAAGACCTGTTTTTCCCCTCGTCTTTTCCTCTTTCTCTCTTTCAACAAATACAGATCGTCATCAAGAGAAGATACAGAGAGAGAAAAAATAGGAGGGAAAGAAGTCAGAGATGCGAAACTCAATCGCATCTTCATCATCATCTTGGCAGTTACGGACATATAGAATCGGAAATCTAAAGAGAAAGAAATAGATCTTTGAACAGATCATTTAACCCTTCCAAAAAAAAACGGAAAAAAATACATAGTCAAACGCTACTAAACAAGGCAACTTTGAAGTACGCAATGATGATGATAACGGAAACGGCCGCATTCTTCAATGTACAAAGAACAAAAAAGTGAGCGTATGTAAACACAATACATTTTTCAAGAGGGTAATTGCTCGAACGAAGACAATGCAACGGCGAATCCTTTTGAGTACGCCTTTGCTTGCGTAGTCGGGTGGACCAGTTGTCACACGACTGATGATAATGATGCTGACGACAATGCGAATGCAACTTGTGCTTTTGTATCAAAAGTTGCCATTATTGACAAACTCATTCTTACAAATCGATACTTTTATCGAAAATAACAATCAACACTTTCAAGTGTCTCAACAAGACAATGAACTATTCATCAAACACAACTAACATTCTTTTTATTGTTTGTTGATTACTTCGAGGGAATAACTTTTCATGATGATAAACGAATACGATATCGATAGTGGCAAAAATCGATAAGGTTTTCATTTCCAGGAAAATCATTCATGTAAATGAAAATAGCAAGATTTAATCTTATAATGTCCGTTGTTCACTCAATGACATACTTTTTCTTTCGCTTGTGTTACATGCGATACTTCTCTCTGTCGTCAGGCGATCATTATCAAGCAATAGTTAACAAAAGCAAACTTTTTCATTTGACTTAATCATTTCATTACTCTTTTGTATTTTTGTCAAAGACAAGCTTAACCTACTTGACAATTTCAATATCTTAATCCTGATATTTCAAATATTCATCATGGAAACAAAGAGATTCTCAAGTTTAGACTTTGCGTGTTATTGACAAATCTGTGAATACAATGATCTTTTGTAATATTACCATTTGCTACTGGATCCTAACACTTTCAATATGATTATGAATAAATTGTGCGCAGTTTCAAAGATGACATTTTCACTTTCTAACGTGTCATATCGACACGATAATGACGAAAGGGCTGGCACTGATTTCGAAGGATCTGTTTTTCTAGTAAAATACGGTAGATTGCTTTTTTACTATGATATACGCTTTCTTCTTGTCTTCTTCTCTTTCGTTATCTGTTTTTGCGCACGACTGACAATAATTAATACGTGCATCTCGAGAATAGGAAAAGGACGAAGTAATAGGAAAAAGGCATATTTTGGGAATTCAAATTAGTCGTCGACAATTGTAATATTTGATGAGTTACTTTGTCGATATTAGAGCACACTGTTGATGATAGGAGAGAGAAAGTCTAATTTCTTTTCTATTTTATAAACAATGATCCGAGTGCATATATTTCATTGAACAAAATCAAGTTGATATATACGGATCAGTACAACTATTCTTTCTCTCTTCTTTGTTCACTCATCGAAAAGTTCTCTCGCACAATCAAGCTTGATTTGAAACATCGAGGCGAAGAAGAAGAGAGACGAGAAAGACACACACACAGAAAAATAATCAAGTTAAAGTTTTGTGCAAAGCCTACATGCTGATATTAGTCCGCATGATTTATTTCACACTCTGTTAGTGACGAGCATTTTGTTCAACATAAGAAAAGACTTGCTAAACAATTAGAATAACAATGAGATGCTAAATTGAACGATGGGCAAAGAAGAGAAGAAACGAAATTTAATCTTATACACTCATTCAACCGTCGTTCATCATTATAGAAGAGCTCGTCAGACAAAAAACGGCGAGTTTCTCTCGTTACAGTCTGTTTCTGGATTATTCGAAAGACTTGAACACAGACTTTCCGTGAAGTTTTCTCTTCGAATTCAGGGCGTCGTCGTCGAAATGTTCACTTGATCGAAGTTTATTTGTGTGGATAAGAAGAGCAAATAATTGATTTGTCGAGTGTGTTATTCTTTCGGTCTTGGAAAGTGATTTTTTACTAAAGCTCTGAACATCGACTAACAATGACAATCGTAGCTAGAACAAAAATCTGTTTGGAGCGCTGTTGCACTATTTTCTACTCTTTTCTCTAATGCTGAAAGAATCTAATCGAATTATCTGTGAAGAACATTGACAAGACTGTCGAGAAACTTCTGATGTATTTCGTCATTGGGAATCTTTTTAGTGACATATATCGAAGTAAATAATCGTCGACAGAGCGAGAGACAAAAGAAAAGCCTATTCGAAGAACGATCATATATCACCATCAAAGATCCATTCGATGGGAATGGGAGAGAATTTAACTGTCGACACTTGCAAATTTTCTTATCCATAAGAGTTATGTTGTCAATATACATAACTATATAGACACCAAGCTTGTATATGTCCGACGTCTGTGTGTTAATGATTAAATGATGGAACGGCTGGATGCTTGTCTAAGACAAGGTCATATATAATGATACATCAGATTTCCTTAAGGGAAAGTCGCTGGAATATTATTCTGATCTACATTGGTAGAAATGGCCGTTTGATGAATGGAATCGTGGGACGGAAGACCGTTGATAACGCCAACCAAAGGTGTTTCTTCGAGAGAAACTTCAGCGTATGATGGCGGTTCTTTTTCTAAAAGAAAGGAATCAGACAATTCGAAGATAATTGAATACCTTTGCCGTCGACTTTATGCAATGTAAATCGAATTTTGTTCTTATGAGAAAGTACTTTATCGATATTTGCGGCGACTAAGATATAGTCGTGTCCGTAAACATGATTTTCAGCGACTAGTTCTAGAGCAACTTCGACAGGATGATCGATGTTTGGTTGATATTTGAATGAAATTAAGGAAAATGCCAAACGACCTGGTTCTTTTATTTTCAATTTCATTAAGATTGATGATTCTTGATTGATAACTGTTTTTGAATCGAGATTGGCATCTAGTTTCCGATCGATATCCTTTGAATGGAGAACATTTTCTGTCGATTGAACGAGTTTTCATGAGGAAAAATGGATTCGATCTATTCTCGAGTAGGACTTTCAGCTTGAATGCGAGAATAATAATGTAAATCTTGTTCGAATAAGCATGAAAATCGATTAGATATGCGATTATTTTCTGCGCAAAATTTTGTCAATATATAAGAAAAGAAGAAACAGAAATTTGATCGAATACTAATCAAATTTCAGCGTAAGAAGATAACATTTTTGCTAACTATCATATCGATTTCTTTTCTTTACCTGTGTCAACTTCTGTGATATCGGTCTACAAAGACAATAATATTCATCTCAAGCAAAAGATCACAATGCGAGAAATGTTACCGAAAGAAATTTCTGATGTTATCTAGAATGGTATTTTCTGTTTGTAGTCCGTGTTCTTTGATTGTTGTTTGCATTTGATCTTTCAGGTCATCGCACTGCAAATCAATATCGATTTGTTGCTCGATACATTCAAATGGAATTTTCAATATTAGATGTTCGATAACGAATTTTTTCTCTTGCGCAAATTTCGTTAAAAATTCGGTTTGTAGCAAAGCTGAGGCATCGAGACGTCTTGTTGCCGATGGTTCTAACATCGTCAAAAGAAGTTGACGGAATTCATTTCCATATTTTATGTACTGTCCTTCACGTTCAGCGTTTGACTCGAGTGTCGGACCTTTCGTGTCCTTACAAATGATACGAAAAACTTCTTGTGCTGAGCGTTTATAATAAGGCGGATGTCCCGTCGCACATTCAATTCCAACAATGCCTAAAGCCCATATATCAACTTTATTATCATAGCCAGCTGACGAAAACATTTCCGGTGCAATCCTGAAAGAGATAATTGAGCTTTGTATAGAAAATTTTCAGGAAATTTGTAACCAGTAGGGTGTTCCAACGAATGTATGCGCAAGTGCTTTTTCTCGCGTTGAGGAATCGATGAGAAAAGCACTAACACCGAAATCAACAATTTGAATACTTCCATCAATCTTACACATGATATTTCCAGCTTTAATATCTCGATGAATATACTGCTGTGAGTCTATCGAAAATTCGAACTTCGATTCAGGAGATACGAAACGAATTATTTACGTAAATATTCAAGACCTTTGAGAGTTTCACGCATAATCGTCGCGATTTCTCGTTCAACCAATACACCAAGATACCAATCGTTCCTATCTCGTATTCTCTTTTCAATAATTTGTCTGATACTCCCACCATCTAGCAAATCCATCACAATCCATAATTCTGTTTTATAAACAAAACTTGTCAAAAATCGAACGATATTCTCGTGTGAACATGATGCCATGACGTGAATTTCACGAACAATATCGATGTACATGGATTCTTTGATGGAAATACGTTTTATCGCTACTCGTTTTCGCACCGAGCATCCTGTGCACGATGCCCAATGAACAATTCCTTTGAATTAAAGAAATTTGCCTTCAAAAACATTTTTCGATTATACTCACATTACCCGTTGCTCCTTCGCCTAACTTTCCACAAATGATGTATTGTTCTCGCTTCGACGGCCACTCATTTCGCTCGATATTCAATTGATCTTTCAATCGTTTCACATTCGTTTCTGAGAAATTTCGTTCCGGATTCGTATTCATTTCTTCATTAAAATATGCATAACAATCACCCGCGAAATACATATAGACAAAAAGCGTGAGACGATGTGTTAACGCCATCTACCGACAGAGTATATGGAGGACAAGCACTTCTGCAATGATTGGTCCGATTTTGAACAAAGAACGCTCGGCACAAACAAAAGCCTCTGTTTATCGTTTTGTTGTTTTTCTTTTTGACATTGATTCGACGCTTGTCTTTAACAATGCCTAGTCGAGTTACAAATATTCTTCTGCCTATTATTGCGGTGATCGTGTATTTATGTCTCGATGTGTTATACGTCTTCTTCGCGAGAAATCGTTACGTACCAGTTATAAGCAATATTCAAAAAGGAGATCCAGTTGAGTTCGATTTTGTCGCAGCGATTGTTTGCTATGCAAGTTAGTAAAATCAATCTTTTGAAACAAAGAAAAGACGATTTTATCTTTGTGTTCATCTAGTCTTAGCCGTTGGCTGGTATTTCATTGCTGTTGCACTAGCTTTGTCTTACTTTGATAAGCTTCAACAACGTCGACCAACATGGACTCCATTAGCTACAAGTGCGATGAGTGGACTCGTTGGTGGTGTTCTATTTGGGTAAACGGATTTTTATCATTTCACTGCTCCAAACTAACGAATATCGTTGATCTCTTTTAGATTTGTCGTTTTTGGCGTATTTAATTTAACAACACGTGCGTTGTTCTCTCATCGATATCCTTTGTCAATTGTTTTACAAGATATGGCATGGGGAACATTGTTTAACATGGTCTATACATGTATTTATATGATCATTTGGCGACGACTCAATGTTCCTGTGGAATTATAAATGTGTTCAGTTGATTTCGACATCGAATTTCTAATCAAGCAGTTTCTGTAATCGTCATGTGAATCTCTGCGAATACTTCAGCATTTCTCTTGTTTTCTCTTTTCGTAATCAAGTCAAATATACATGATTCGTTCGTTTGTTTTAGATTAAAGACTGATTGAATCTTTTTGTAGCGGCGTGTAATGTCACGAAAAAATTTACGACGATCAGGTGGTGCGCAATCCGAAGAAGCAGCTGTAACTGAAAAGTAAGTGAAACAACGGTTAATAAATTTGATTGAAGTGCTGAAAATTCGTATGTATGGTTTAGTATGGATAGTGTCTGTTCTCAAAGACAAGTTGCTGATGTGTGCGAAGCAGCAGGCCTCTCTGATCCAGTCGTTAGTAAAAGCACTGGACATGAGAATATTTCTGGTCAACAGCAAGGTGGCGAAGGTATGAATGAGGAAGGTACGGGTGATGACCAACAAGACGCACAATTATCGTCATCGAATACATCAACAGGTATTGCCGCAAAAGCGATTCCAACGAATGAAGCTGATATGTTATGTACAACAATTGAAAATGTATCACATGTTCGATTCGAATGGACTGTAGAAGATTTCTATCCGCAAATGTAAGATTCGTCTTAATTTGCCTATAAGTTCTTCTATCTGTGTGTCAATAGGTATGAATGTGGTGATATGATTCAAAGCGAAGAATTTCCCCCGTATGATTTACAAAAAGAGTTCTGGACACTTCGTCTTTATCCAAAAGGTCATCAACGTTTATCAAAAGAACAACAGAATCAAACCTCAACTAGTGGAGCTTCAACAACCGATGATGATTCATCCGTTCAATTTTACTTAACTCTTTGTCCATCACATGTGGCATCGCAAAATCCATCGAATGCATTAGCAACAGCCAACGGTGGATCAAACAACCCGAATCATATCGCATCGTCATTAATGAATACTTCATCACGTCAATTGCAAGTGTATTTCCGAGCATTGATCAATTTTTCCAATCCTCAAGTAAATTACCTGAAAGAAATATGTAAAAGGACGAACATCGTGCTTTTCTAGGGTCGTATATTTCACACGGAGACTGTTCATGATTGTGGCGGAAATATCACCGATGAATTGGTTATTATGAAGATGACACGTGCTCTTTGCGAACAATTATACAAAGATTCGAAGGATCATCTGATTATTAGCATTGAATTAATGTCCATTGACGATATTGCTAAGCGTAGTATGAAAACAAGCACTTCAAAAGTTCTTGAAGGTTCATCTCGTGTTGTTTCGAAAGTCATGAAAATGAAATTACGCTGGAAAATCGAAAAATTCGCGACATTAGTCAACGAATCACCAAATAATAGCTTTATTGAATCTTGTGAGTTTACATTTAATAAACAACGACCAGGTAATGTTGCGAACTTACAAACATCAACACCTGACCTAGCAGGTGATGACAACGACGAACAATTGACCAATGGTGCAAACACCAATGAAGGTAAAACACCAACAACACCACAAAACGATATTCCACCACATCAATGGTCACTTATTCTTTATCCAAGTGGTAAAACTGAACGATTCAAAGAATCTTTATCCGTTTTTCTTGAACACACATTTGGTCCAAGTGTTCGCGTTGTTATTCGTTTCTCGCTAATCGATGCCCGTGGACGTCGTGTGAATACGAAACAATTACCATCGCATGTGTTAGCACCAGGCGAACGTTGGGGTGTGGGTGATTTTATCAAACATTCAACACTTTTGCAAGCTCAACAACAACTTTTTCCAGGCAATGAACTTCGTCTATATTGTCAAATTAAAATTCTTGAACGGCAATCAATCGATGAACGTAAATATATTTCCCGTCCACTCGTTGCATTACCACGTACCAATGCAAATAAATCAAATTCAACTGCATCTTCATCTATCAGCGATGATCCAGCTACATACTGGCCAACATTATTCTATACGGCTTATTTGGAAAAACGCATGTGTGATATGTACTTACGATGTGGCAATGAATTGCACAGTGCGCATAAACTTATACTTGGCCTTCGTTCCAGTGTACTTGCACGTATGATTAAAGAAAAAGAAACATCAGCTCAGCCCACTGCTGTTAGTCCACCTGCTAAACCAACGTAAGAGGAAAAGATGTAGCATAGAACATTATTTCATTCGAATTTTACCTTCTAGTCGTCATGGTAAACGAGGAACAGCATCAGCTGCAAATACAACTAGTGAAAGTATGGAAACCGACACACAAGGTGGAGCTGATGATTCAGCATTTTTAACCATTGATATCAATGACATCGATCGTAAAACAATTCTTTGCTTTCTCGAATATGTTTACACAGGTGGAATTAAGAAATTAGCTTTACCAGGTGCAGCTATATCACATACACTTGTCATTGATTTATTGACCATTGCCGCTAATTATGATATGCCCGATTTGAAGACATATGCGGAATATTATCTTAAAGATATTATTCGTGTGGATAATGCTTGGTAAGACAACTTTTGCTTAGGAGAATCAAATCTTACTGTCGTGTGTGTGTGTGCTCTAGTGAATTGCTTATGTTGAGTGATAACATGAAATCGGAAATGTTAAAACAAACAACATGTGATTACATTGCGAATAATTTGGGCAATGTCATGGAAACAACTGTAAGTTTGTTTATTACTTTTAAGAGATGAATTTGAACGTATTGCCTTATAGGGTTGGACCGAACTGAAAGCCAAACAACCGGATTTGATCGATACAATTCTAAAATCATGTTTGCTTTTACGCAAATGAATCTTTTGGAAAATCGAATAAGACTCTCTGTTTTCTTTTCTTCTCTTTGTTTATGTATTGAACATAGTTCATATACTCTATGATTATTTCCCTTTAGTGCTTGTAAGACATTTTCTGTTTGGTACTGTCACATTTGTACATGTGTGTGTGTGTGTATTGGAGATTGTATTCGAAAAAAAACAACAGCAAACTAGTTTGTTTTTCTCTTCTTTATCATGTTGTTTGTGTCGTGTCGGTTGTTCATTCTTTTTCTGCTGTCTCTATTCGTATGAAATAAAATATATATTACAAAAAACCACGCAACGATGAAAATATAAATATGCATCATATTTGATATTTTCTAGATGGTTGATCCAATTGAAGAACAACGTTTACGAACAATTCAACGTGAATATTTAGATTTTCTCGATGACGGAGTAAGTGTGCTGTTCGAAGAGGATTTCAACGTCCGTTCGTTTGTGTTTGATTAGGAAGATGAAGGTGTCTATCAAGATAAATTGAAAATGTTGATTGCCAACGATGAAGCACGGCTGATTGTGAATATAAATGATCTGCGACGAAAGAATTCACGACGAACAAAAGCGTAAGAAAAGTCAGATAAAGAAATTTTTGTAAGAAATTATGATTTAGATTGCAAGATAATGCTTTTGAAGAATTGCTGTGCTTTCAACGAGCGCTTCGTGAATTGATTTCAGCAACGGATGCAGTTTACGCGAAGCAATTCGAAGAATTTTACATTGGACTTGAAGGAAGGTAAGAACGTGTACGATTATTCTCTGCAGTAAAGATTAAATTCTCGTTGTGATACTTTTAGTTTCGGTGGTTTCCATTTATCACCACGTACAATTAATTCTTCGTATATTGGAAAAATCGTCTGTGTTGAAGGCATTGTGAATAAATGTAAGGACTCGATTATATTTTTTATCGGTGTATTGAACTGTGATTGTTTAGGTTCATTGATTCGACCAAAGGTAACTCGAAGTGTTCATTTTTGCCCAACGACGAAAAAATTCATGGAACGCCGTTATGCTGATATGACATCGATGGAAGCTTTTCCGACTTCGTCTGTTTACCCGACAAAAGTATGTGCATTGAAAAGAATTGGATTGTTCGATGGAAAGTTTCGCTTAGGATGAAGATGGAAATTTGTTGGAAACAGAATATGGCCTGTCAAGTTACAAAGATCATCAGACATTCGTCATTCAAGAAATCCCGGAAAAAGCACCGACAGGTCAATTACCACGTTCAATCGATGTTATTGCTGATGCTGATCTCGTCGATCAATGCAAAGTAAAGAGCGAATATTTCGTGTTTGATGAGATTGTATAGCGAGATTTTTAGCCTGGTGATCGCGTACAAGTTGTTGGAGTTTACCGATGTTTACCCGGTAAGAAAGGTGGCTTTACCAATGTTTCCTTTCGGTATGTTTATCCCAGTCAAATATCTATCATATGAATGTCATATGTGAATTGTTTAGAACGGTATTAATTGCTAATAATATTCGATTAATGAGCAAAGAAATGGAACCAAAAGTATCGATTAACGATTTGAAAAAGATTCGTTCATTTAGTCGTCAACGAAATTTGGTATGTCTAGTAGTAGATGAGCTCGACTTCCATAAATTCATTTGATTTGTATAGGATGTTTTTGAAACATTGGCACGTTCGATTGCTCCATCTATCTATGGTCATGAATACATTAAACGCGCTATCCTATGTATGCTCTTAGGCGGTACAGAGAAAGTTCTTCCCAATGGTACACGCCTTCGTGGGTATGTATCATGAAAATTAATTTGAATGATTAAAATTGAACTTGATCTTTTAGTGATATTAATATTTTGTTAATCGGTGATCCATCGGTCGCTAAATCGCAATTGCTTCGTTATGTTTTGCATACAGCTCCTCGAGCTATTCCAACAACTGGTCGTGGTTCGTCCGGCGTTGGTTTGACCGCTGCAGTTACATCCGACGCCGAAACAGGTGATCGTCGTCTCGAAGCAGGTGCTATGGTCTTAGCCGATCGGGGCATCGTTTGCATTGACGAATTCGATAAAATGTCGGACATTGATCGAACAGCTATTCACGAAGTGATGGAACAAGGTCGAGTTACCATTGCCAAAGCCGGTATTCATGCACAATTGAATGCACGATGTAGTGTTCTTGCTGCTGCTAATCCTGTCTATGGACGAGTAGGTGTCCGATGGAAATGATTGATTGATTCATAGACAATGTCTTGTTTAGTATGATCAATACAAAACACCCATGGAGAATATTGGTTTGCAAGATTCGCTTTTATCTCGTTTCGATCTTATTTTTGTTATTCTTGATAATTGTGACATGGAACAAGATAATATTATCGCTGACCATGTTCTTCGCATGCATCGATATCGACCACCTAATGAAGCTGATGGCGAAGTTCTTCCATTTGCATCCGAGGTTGATGCTCTCACAACTGAGCAAGCGAATGATGCAGAAAAAGATGCCGAAGATGATATTCAAGTCTACGATAAATACGATGCTGTTCTCCATGGTCCTTATTATTCGAAAAAGTAATTGAATTTCAGAATTGGTCACGCCGAAAAGATACATCTTTTGCTTTTAGAACGAAATTCATCAATTTACGTTTTATGAAGAAATACATTCACTTCGCTAAGGCACTCAAACCACAACTAACAAAAGAAGCAGCTGACATTATCGTTGAAGAATATACACGTTTAAGAAATCAAGATTTATCCCAAACGGATAACCAAGCACGAGTAAGCAAAGATATTTTCTCCAATCAATCAATCTAGGGAATGTTTTTAGACGCAACCAATAACGGCTCGAGCATTGGAAAGTATGATACGTTTAGCAACGGCACATGCCAAATGTCGTATGTCGAAAACGGTGGATCCTGAAGATAGTGAAGTGGCAATTGATCTGGTTCAATTTGCAATCTTTAAAAAGGTCTTAGAAAAGAATAAACGCAAGAAAGATGCAAATAAAACGACAGCAAATCACGATGATGATGAAGAAGAAATCGACGATGACAAGGAAAATGATGAAGGTGATATGGAAACGGACACGGCGCCACCACCATCGACACCAAAACGACGGTAAATTTGACTTTATGAAGCAAACAAAACCTGTACTTATAATTCTCGAATTTAGACGTCAATCATCATCAACTGATTCGGCTCCGGTTGAAATAGGTAGTGCATCAAAACGTGCACGTCGTGTAGCACGTAAAACAACTGGTACTGATGATAGTACGCCAGTTGTTTCTCAAATTTCTATTGGTCCCGATCGATTGAATGTTTTCAAAACACATTTATCAACATTCATTGATCGACAACCATCTGTTACAACTCAGGAAATCTTTGATTACATGAAAGAGCATGATTCAACATTCAATGAAGATGAAATTCGAATGGCTTTAGCTAAAATGCAAGATGAGAATCAAATCATGTTAGCCGGTGAAATCGTTATTCGTATTTAGTCAGATAGAAATCACTCCAGATTATTTTTCTCAATTTATGCGCTCAGATACATTATTTTTGTTATTTCGTCAGATTGTGTAACTCGTATTGAATTTATTTTTTTCTCATATGTGTTCCTGTGAATCAAATAGAAATCGACTTCTTATTATTAGATAAATAAATGAATAAATAAACGAAAACACTTTTCGATTCTGATTTGTCTTACCTTTAACGAGTGTTGAAGAACTTTTCTTGACGTTATAATTGCATCGAAGCATTGTTGCCGCACAAAGTCGTTTCATGACACTTTCGTCATCCATCGAAATGAAATCTTTTCTCTATATCTATGTTCTTGCGCAATACATTCGTAGAAAAAGATGTGATCACGTTACGATAGCATTACATTTCTTTTCTTTCCATTCTTCGAAAACACATTGGATTTATCTCGACATGGCTGAAACCTCTGCTACTCAAAATCTTCGTGAAGTAAAATCCTGCGGATTTTTCGTAATGAAACCGGATAATAGTTTCCTATTGATGAAACACGATGATCGTTACGATTTGCCAAAAGGACATATGGAAGCTGGGGAAAATGAACATCAAACAGCTCTACGAGGTAAATATTTATATTAGATCAGCATATAAAAATGGACTCGTGTGTATTTTAGAACTAATGGAAGAAACAGGAATTCAAGCATCTGACATTGATATTGATCCTCATTTTCGATTCGAACACGTAGCTATACATATAATTTCGACATCACTCGTTCACTCTCTAATACTGTACAGGTCTACTATCCGGTATACAAACGTTTTGGAGGTGAACAAGTGAAGAAAACAGTGGTGATCTTTTTGGCCAAACTTAAATCGACAGCAATAGAAGTGAGAAGAACTAATCTGATTTCTGATATGATTTGACATGAAAGTATTGTTTTGAAGGTTCATATAAGTGAACATCCTGGTTTTCAATGGGTGAATTGGAGTTCTCCACCAGTTCCGATCGAAGCAAAAACGATCGATAAATTGGTGAACAAAGTTCATGAATATCTCACTCAATCAAAGGACGAATAAAACTTTACTTTTTCATTAAATAAAATTCCGAACAAAATATTTCTTTAATCGAAAATGGCGACTAGTGTGTGAGGTTCAAGGTATTTCACAGCTTAAAAAACATTTGGTTGATAATGATGCATATGATTATCCATATGCAAATTTGGACTTCTATGAAAGTTACACTGATGCACCGACAAGAAAATTTCAGAGGGAGGGACAATAAAATTTTATTACTTTCGAACATTTTTTCAGGAGGAGCAGTTTGCACTCTCTTGCCTCTTAGCTGGCCTGTCAGTGATGAGAAACAAGAGAAAATAGTTTTACTCTGATCAGACAAATATTTTTTCCTAGACTGGAAAAAAACTCACAGATGTAAAATAAATAAAACTTGTCGTACTGCTTCTCGGAACAACGGAGAAACGCTTTTCTAAAAGATTTCATCTACTCCTCCTTCTATCGAGATTATTAAGGCTATCTCACTGTGGATACGTAGATGCCATAGAAACATTCCAGTGTAATTATAACCGAGAAAAGAAGAAGACAATCCGTATTGTTGACTCTATACACATTTTAAGTTTCCTATTGAGTATTTTCCCTCGTTGGATGGAAAAACTGTAAGTTTTCAATAGTTGTATATAAGCTACCGCCAACAAGAAACACATTCATGTGAATTTCAATTCAGCATCGTGATCATCAAGGATAGCAAAACCATGAAGATAATGATATTTTTTCTTCTTGTATCAATTATTATCAATTCAATTCAATCACAAACATGGACTGGTACTTACACACCTGATTCGTTATGCAACACGGCAAGCTGCTGTTGTTTGAGTGACAAGGCAGTCATAACAAGTTCATCAGCAAATACGTATACTGTTCTATCCGGGGCGAGTGGCGCATGTGGCGGTGCTACGACATTCACTGGTATTCTCTATACAAACGGCTATACGGGCTGGATGGTGGTAGGCGTTGATAATGATACAGTAACACTTAGTTCTGATAGTGCCAATATAACTGTTACTAATTCAAGACATCCAGCATGCAGTGGTAACGGAGTCAAAAATGGAAGTACAATACAGCACCCTAACATTGTTTCATACATCATTGGCTACGTTTTGATGGGGATGATGACCAAAAATTCAATTGTTTGAAATATTTCGATTCTTTGAATTCTCCTACATATGAACAGTTCAATGGTTTGTTTATTTGTGCTTTTATTTTCTATTTTCATTTATTAATCAAGAATAAAATATTTCAAACACGCAGACAATAAAATATCGGGTCGTAATCATATCGCTGACGCCGTTTTGCCGACAAATACATTTTGTCTGATTTTGTGTGGTCACCGTTATTTTGAGGATCAGAATATAGGTGAGGGTGTAGGGGAAGATTCAAATGAGGATATCGTAGTTATGGCAGAATTCGTTCAAAAATGGTTGTTGCATCGGTTCCCTCAGGATTTCGTTACGAAAAAAATTGTATCTTTTGAAATTTTTGATTAAGAGATCTGTCGGTAAAATGATTTTCCGCGAAGTGTAGGGAACCCCTACTGTGAAAGAATTCAATAGCAATGTACAGATGAAAGAAGAATAAATAACAGAAGAGAACAAAAATAGCTACTAAAATAAAAACAAAAGAGTATCTGTTAAAGAAGTTTAAAAGCGTTGAAAATGATACTAGCAACATGTGATGTTGTCGTAGAATGAAAATTATTCCGAATTCTAAGAATTCGTTTAACAAATTCAATTGGATTATCGTTGAAGCGAGCATGAGTCATGTGCAATTCATCACGATGTTCACAATGCACAAATCCATCGATATCGATCTTATGCGATTGAAACGCTTTCTCTTCAATTTCATTTCGAACTTTCGGACATAAACTTAAACATTGACAAAACATTGTTTGTTCTTCAATATTGTCAAAATATAGAGTACCATTGAAAAGCAACAACTGAACTAAACGATCCAATGGAATAAGATAAATTTCACTTTCGTCGGAAACATTAATCGACGGAGGAACGGTGAGTGTTAATCTATTAACGAATATCGATTGAACACGCTTGATTCGTGGTAGAAATAAACGTAGCGTGGTGATTGGTGAGTCGATCTGTGAGAGTCGACCGAACAACCAGTTGGCTTCATCAGGACTAACAAAAATGATTTGTTGATTTCGATAGACAACAATCCAACGTGGTGGACGTAAAAACGGATTCAAAGATACATTTTCTGTAGCAATAACACGTTGGAATTCAGTTGAAATCCATAGATTTGCATACCAACTCTTTGGTTGGCATTCGTGTTCTAATGTCGTGTTTATGAATGCAAAAGGTAAACGTTGAAATACACTAGGATGGTCTTCTAAATTGATCATTGGACTATTTTTATCGCACAATTGTTTGACTATCTCGTGCAGAATAGGTTCACATGGTTCAACCGAGGGTAATCGTTTTGATTGTCGTTGTTCTTCTAATTCTTGTTCAAGCTCTCTCTCTTGTTCTTCGTCTAATAGCTGTGCTAACCGTGTCTTCTTACCGCCATAGTTTCTTAACCTTTGTAGAACGTTGTCGCGGATGTGCCCAGTTATATCATAGGCAGTCGCATCGTAACGTGCTGAATGAATATCGTACAGCATTGCGGGAACTTTTCGTTTGCCATGCATATCACTCAAATCCAAAATTTCTGCTTCTAGACTATCTCGAGCTAATCGTTTCATCATTTCATTATTAAATACTTGTTCTTGGTCAGACCATTGAATTTCTTGAAAAGCGGCAAGTTTTCGTTGAAAACTAAGACTTTGAGTAGCCCAATGATGTAATCCATTCCAAGTTGATTGTATAGTATTTTTATATACCCAACGCAGAATATCGACTACCTCAATATGATGAACATTTCTTTTCAATTGAACAATTTGTTGATGAACTTCATGTGAACTGAAAAATGCTAATGAATGTCCGTTACCTAATTTTCTCATTCGCATACAAGCTTGAACGAAACGATCTTTTGTTAGGCTATTGCCTAAAGTAACTGCTGCTCGGAATCCTCGTGGAAATTTGAAATCAGTTCCTCGCGTATGAATCTCATCAACATAGAAAATACAATGTTCTAGGCGTTCACTAGCCGGTGATGTTTCAAATGAACTTTGACGCAAGTGACGGTCACAAACGACAATTGAATCCGAATCAAAGTAAACTACATAATCAATCTGATTCTTATCGGATAAATTCAGCCACTTCAGAGCAATCTCTCTGTTCGTTCCGTCAATAAACAAAGCACCAACATCCAGAATAACATTGACGGATGTTTTACTTTTCATAATAACTTCTAAGATTTCATTCGATGATGCATTGATAGCTAAACATTGATAAGTTTCATTTTCAGCTTGTAACAAATTATTGATGACAATCGCATCCGTTTTTTGTAATTCAGGCAAATCAAACTGACGAATATGAATTGGTAGTAATAGTTGTGTATCGTTCGTACCACTAAATCCAGTGATCATATGTTTTCGTGCCGACGATGACAAATCCCAAGCTGATGAAACCAATTTATGAGGAAATTGTTTCGCTTCATGCGGAAACACAAAATGATTGAGAAAATAATTTATCACTCTCATATTGTATCGAAATGTAGGGAAAAAATAGTGTGTTCTTTGTTGATCATCTTTGAGATTAATACCTTTCCATTCTCTGATATTGACCGGTAAATCATCTGTCTCTTCGTAGGCAATCCATTCATCATAAATAGCTTCAGGATTGTTTTCTTCTGTAGTTAATCGATCGAAAACTCGAGTTAATTGGCCATCATTTAAACCTGAATAATAATATGACAGATATGTCAAGACTATAGCCAGATCGGGATGACCAAATTCAGTACGATCAGCAACGACATCCTTTGCACGATAAGGCACAGCCATTAAACGATTATAGTTAGCCTTTTGATTTGCACCGAAGTGGACCCGATAGCGTTTTTTTAAAGCAACTAAAAGAACTTCAGACGATAGCAGACCTCGAATGACAAGAAATGATCGAATATCGTCAGCAGGAAATTTATCTTTAACTGTTTCAATTGAAACATTGGCGTCCGTAACAAATGATAGAATGTTCTTTTCAGCGTCTTTACGATAGTTTCGAGTACGAAGCCAATCTTTCACGATACGTTCACGTAGAGATCGAAATGGTGTCGATGATTGTAAACGAAACTGTGGGAAAGCACTTTTTCGTTCCGATGGCTTATAACAAACATTTTTCTCAAATTCATTCGAAATATCAGCAGCATGTCGTTTAACCAACTCTAAAACTGATTGAATAGTATTCCATCGTTCAGCACCACCATCAACTTGCTGTTGGGTACCAACTGTATAAATTAATTGATATTTCACATGTAGAATCTCATCGGATTCATCTAAAACATCGCGAACATATGTTTTTAACCATCGTTGCATTGTTAACATTGATCTTCCTGTTGCAAAGTTGTACTGTCGACAGTTGTCAATAGTTAGAAGATCAAAAGAAAGAATGTCTTCAGGTGTAGTTATCATTACATCACAATCTGCTAAAGCGTTTTGTAAACGAGAGTGAATCAGTTGGATCTGTTGATTAGTAAAATTCAAATCTCGACGGCATACAAATGGAAATACACGTCGGTTGATTAGACCTCCTAATTTACAGCGTAATGATTGATAATTTGTAGGAAATAAGGATTTGAGTACGATAAGTCGAATTAAACTAGAAGACGATGATGGTAAACCAACAGCTAACATAGGTAAAATCACTGATGTTTTTCCTTCGCCCATATTCATTTGCATAACTATACTTTGAACTTCTTGTTTATCTAGATTCAAATTTGGTTGCATCATATGACGCGCCACTTTGACCTGCATTTCTCGAATGGTGATATTCATTTCAAGTTCTAAAATAAGCCATGATATATGTTCAGATGGTATCCAATTTGAATGTGGTATGTTCGAAAGTTCTTTTGCTAAATCTTCTAATTTGCCCTGAGTGTCAAGATACAACGCGCGTTCAAGTTGTTGTTGTAACGTCCAACAGACAAGGATACCTCCCAGTAATGTACGTTGATCATCTGTTAAATCCAATTGTTTTTTGTTCTGTTGAAAGAGAGAAACTAATGTTATTGGAGTTATACGCAGTCCTAGACCATATTGAAATAGTTGTACATTAGATTCAGTGATAGATTTGATAAGTTCTTGCCAACTTTCTTGGGATTCTTGACGTAAACGCATGAGACATTCATTCATTTCATCGTTTGTTGGTCGTTCTCGTTGTGTATGAGTTTCCGGCGATAATTTGTTCCAACTTTGTTTCAATTGATTTTTAAAGTAATTAGAGATATCGCCCAACGAATTATCATCTTGGTTATCAGAAGGAAAGAATCGACTGAAAAATGAACTTTCCTTTTCAACATTGAATGTTTGAACAGATCGTGCGGGTTTATTGAAATAACCTGTGTACATCTGATGAAATTTTTTGTTCGCTTGCAATAATAATGTTGGTTTAATACCATTTTCCATATATTGCAGTTGTAAATGGTAATGTTTATCAGAAGATTCGACTTCGAACTGTTGTGGGATGTATTGTACCTGGACATTGAATTGTTTTATAGGATGCAGAAAAATCGCCCTTTCAACTTTTTCTAGAAACAATCGAAGCTTCTTATTATTCTGCAAAGACATCAATATCTTATTAATCTGTTTTTTGTCACTCTTAGTCATGACATTCAAATCACTATCAAGCAGCTCGTCTTTCTGGAAACAGTTCTCGATAAGTTTCCTAATGTCCTTCTTTTGTTCTCGAGAGTAAGCTTCGCTTAGAGAAAGACCACTCTCTTCCACGTCAATCTGTTCAATATTTGAGTAACTTATAAATGGTGCGTAGAGGCCAGTTGGTGATATTGTATTGGGGATTACTTCCAACGCTGTTTTCAACATTTGCAAATAGAATGGCTTCAATGAAGCTCTGTTAGCAATATAATGAAGAAAGTCAATTAACTTTTGAAATCGCTTGATATTATCAACGTTGTCTGTACTTGTTGATGTTTTCAGACGATCGGTCATTTTTAACAAGCCAACCCATATATTGCTTAATGCATTTTCTTTAGACAACCATTGATTCAGTGGCAACCAGTGTTGATTTGAACAGTCTTGAAGATGTACATTGCCACTCTCGTATAAATGATCTGCCAGATAAACTTCATCGTAATCTGTTTTGTGTGAACAATATTCAGGATCTGAACGATATGATTCTGTTGCACAGTTTGATAATATGGTCGCTTCCATTTTTGTCGACAGATGAGCCAGTGGATTATAAGAATCTCGATAATTCCAATAGAGTTTTCTCAATAAAACGTCATTATATGTTTTGTTATCGAACATGCTTTAACATATGTTGATTCGCTGAGGATAGTTTATACATGAAATGAAATTGTCGACTATTTTCTAATATTGCTTTTGCAAGAAGATAGTAACCAAAATGTTGAGCAGAATAGGGTACACTATTCGCATGCCACTTTATGTTGACTGCACAAGGAAGGTTCGGGGGATAATGTTGAACTATTGGTGTTATTTGTGCTATTTGAATCAAAATGCTCAAAGAAATACTATTGAATGGTTCATCCGACCAACAACCAGCTGAATTTAATAATTGAAAAGCTCGTTCCATTCCTGTCATACCAGTATATTGATCGGGAAGAAGATGAGTTGTCATTGCATGTAATAATGCTAGATAGAGCCAACCAGTGGGACTATCAGTCGATTGAAGAACTTTTAACCGATCGTTTAGTATAAAAACAAAATATTGAAGAGAAGTTTTCGAAGGTAATCGTTCGACATTGACAGTTTGATGGTCAGAAGTTTGACGTTTAGCAGTTACTGTTCCAAAGGGTACTATCATTTTCCTATAAGGATAATAATCTCCATTAGTTTCATTCGCAGATAAAGGTGATAGAAGTAAACCAAATGTTAAACCTGTTAATGTTCCAAAACTCTGATTTTTACTGACACGCATATCAGCATATTCACGCGATACAATTGTGTTGTCTGTAGTATCATATTGGAATGCGATTCCTATACGAGACAGATAAATATGAACGATGACATTGGTTTTGTTTGTTATTTGGCGCATCATGTAGACATATGCTTGATCATCAAGGCGATTGAAATACTTTTTAAATAGATTTTGAAAAAATTTCGACTTTCCATTGATCAGTACTTTTTTATCATCAATATTCGTGCTTGTAAGACATCCTGTTGCTACTTCGAGTATGTACGGCTTATCATCTAAAAAGTCAGCATTGTTAAATTTGATTGGTCGAAACTCGATTGTTTGATTTGCTAAATTCATCCAGTGACTGTAACAAGAAGCAAATTCGTCTGGAAAATCTTCGAGAAAACAAGTATGTGGAATTAACTGGAATCGATCACCTGTTTCTTTGTGTGTTTCATAAATGATTGGACTTTGAAACCGTTCATTGAAAGAAAACTCATAGTCAACTCGTCCATTGCCATGATATGCATACTTCGTAACATAAGTGTGAGGTTTATCAGAAGCTTGTACTTCGAAAACATGAGAATCAAAAACACGTACAAATAATGGATTTGAAGTGATTTTTTCTGGTAAATATCCAATTGTCAAACCATCGACTAAAAACGATCCTCGAATCAAATCAATCGATAAACATTTTGATTCATATTGACAAGTGTATAATCCGTCGTAAGGATCTGTGTTTTGTTTTTTCCATATTCCATTCATATGGCCTTGTCTTCTGAGAACTGTCCAATATGAAACAGCAAATCGATTCAAGGCGTACGAAACATTATCTTGCAGAATTTGAGTGATAGTTGGTTGTAACGCAACCAAAATGCGTTCACTATGTCTCCTGAGATTTCGTATAAATAGATTCGTAGTCGATCTGTCATAATTCAATAAGTAAGTATCGTGAAACATAGTTACTATTTTTAGTAAAGATATGATATGTTCAGTTGATTCTAGTAGACGACTAATCCGCTGTTGATGAGTTGAGAAGGTGAAAATGCAAGCAATACTGATCGTATTCATTTTCGCTCGTAGCTTTTCTGTTTCTTTTTTATCTGCTGATGATGTTGTTTGTATGTATTCTGTGATAAGTTCGATCCACTTCTCACCAATTTGTCGACATTTCATAATAAGATCAGTAAGAACACTTTCTTTTGTTGCATTGCAAATTGTGAATAAACGTATAGCAATTGCCGTTATGACAATGAGCGCTAATTCATTTTGCCAATTCAATCCACAATTATCAAGATGTTGATTCAGTTTTACAACTAATTCATCAACGAAATTATCGTCTAATAATTGTTTATGTGATTCAGGACACCAAGAATTGTCTAGTTCCTTTGAATATTTGGTTATTGGACCACATTGTAATATCGAATGTAGGATTAATATGGCGACACTTTCGTCTCCAATTGGCAAAGAATCTGTCTCTAATACCGCTAATAAGTTCCGCCATTGTAAACGATGACCAGATCGAAACGAACCATATTCAATAAACTGTGTTGATTTAAAATGTGGTGAACATGTGAACAGTTTGGCAATGACTTTGTTTTGCACATCGTCTGTTGTATCTAATGTGAACTGTAGTTGTTTATAATCTGGATGAGTAAGTTGGGGTGTTAGTACTCTCTGTTCGTCATCGAGTTTGATAGATAATGTTGGAGAGATGTTCACTGTTAAGCTATTTTCAAATATAAAGTCATCGACTGATGCACATGAGACTTTTCTTGTATAGTTGTATTCTGTTTCAGATGTTCTATTAGATAGAAGTTTAACTCGGCGAACACTTGGACCAGTATCGTACAGACTTAGTTTGTGGCTATGTGAACGACTATTTAACCATTCTTGCATCTGATTGTTTGGTTGTAGTTTACGACGGTTAATGAATTGCCAGAGAACATCTCGATAACTTCTAATTTCAATTGGCATTTGTAATTCGAATATGACAGCTTGAGCATCTACATCAGCTTCCGGTATTGGACATTCAAAAACATCTACTGTAATATTATCAGCTTGTTCTTGTGTTGAACATTTTTTACACAAAATCTGCATGTAACTTAAACTATGGCGGCAACTACAAGAGAGCTTTCGGATTGATTTCATTAAATTTCCATATCTACTTTTCGCTTCATTCACTTCGATGATTTTTGCCTGTTTGTCTGATTCAGCTCGTTCTCGTAATTTTGCTAAATTTTGGACCATTGAATCACAACAAGAAGCATAAACGACTCCGAATGCGTCTGCAGAATTGATTTGACTAAGAAGATCTGGATATTTTTTCGTGCTAAATTCACGAAAGTAATCATATAAACGACGTGCTCGAATCATATCTTCTCGAACTGGTAAGATTAAGAATCTAAACAGTTTCAGCAGGTGTGGAATCGATATTGTATGATCCTTCAGTCGTTTGAATCGTGGATCCTCGCATAGTTTTTTGTGCATGCATTGAATAATCGTTAATGTCGTGAGAATAAATCGTGAATAACCGATTGGATCGGTGGAACCACTCTCAGGCCAATAATGACCCAATGCGCCATTTTGGTAATCTTCGAAGAATTCGCGTAAATGTTCGAAGCGACTCATCCCGTTTGTGAGCAATGCTTGATGATCCAACCATTCCTTTACATGTGTAGCTACCCAAATTTCCACTCGCGTTAACGCTGTTCCAATCGTATAATCCATTCGGTTCATCAAATCAGAATAAAATTGTATATTATCTGGATGATTGGTATCGAACAAATGATTAGGATCGCCCTCATCATCACTAGAAGGTGCTTCTAATGATTCATTTGAACTATTATCGTGAAGAAATTTTCTCAATTGAACGCATTCATGTTGATAAATTGCAGGGCTGTGAAAATCTGTTTCACCCATTGAGGAACATTCATCGACTGAACTCGTAGTTTGCACGATATCTTGGCGAAATGATTTCGGAAAAAATTCATCAATTTTCATTTCAATAACTTGTTTGTTATATCGAATCCATCTATCAACATTGTTATCTTTAACCCTAGTTAAAACTAACCTGCTGTCGATCTTATTCAGCCGACGAACCATCTTTCGGATACAGAAAAGCAATAAATCCATCGATATTGTTCTCTGTTCTGCATACTTCTCAAGCATGTAAGTCAGAAAACGAGTAATCAACAGTTTGTAAATAAGAATACCAATTTCTCCGTATTGTTTTGTTAAAATAAGCTCAGTGACTGTTTTCATTGTCATCCATAGACCGGAACGTCGAAAAGGTACGTTGTTTCCTTCTCCTAAACGAATGTGATCACGATGCTTTTTCTTAAATTGTACTGAAGAATTAGCATCACAGTTTTGTTGAATGTCTTTGAACTGTTGAATCCACCATTGACAAACATAATGTGACTCAGGTAAATTACGTATCGTAACGTGTTGAGACGATTGATAGAACGGTAATTCTTTGATCGTATTAGTCATGAAATCAACTAGTAATTCACAGTCGATCTTAGACGTTAATTCTGATCTATCATTTAATCGATATTCAATCACGGGAAATGAAGAATAATGGCAAAGAACTGAAGATGTTATTTGATCCATTGGTAATAGAACTTGCCAGGAAGAAAGAAGTGGTCGAGCAATCTCATCTGACTCGACTTCGATTAAAATTGCTGCATTTTGAGCACGTATGTACAATGGAGTAAAACTGCCTGGTGGTAAATTTTCAAGAGTAGATTGTATATTCTGTGCTGAGACATGGTGAGATTCTTGCCAAGCTGACCAACGACTAAAACAGTCTGTAAGCACTTGAATATGACGTAATGATTCGTCACCATCGCATGATTGAGTCGTTCGAAGAAATTCGTTCATACATTCGAGTAATAGAAATTCTTTTTGATGATTGTCTTTCAGCAAATAATCATCGGCAGCACAGGACGGCAAGTGATACGGTAGAAATAAATGATTCAATAGTGATTCATTCATTTTAAATCTGAAAGTATAAGAATTTTATACGAAAGTGCATCCCGTCAGCCATTTCGTCTTTCTGTCTAGCATACTTTTTAATTGATGTTTAATGCAATGAAACAAAAATAGGGAAAAAAGAAGATCGGCCTGGCCTGATCCAAACTATGAGAATGTGCCAATTGAATAGTTAACAAACGAAACACTATGTGCGAGAATACTAGTATGAAATAGTGCGGATACTTGGTGTATTTTCTGTATGAAAAACAGAAAACCTAGACGGTTGTCTGACCGCAAGCCAGACTGGAAAAAGTGATCTATTCGCAGTTCGATTTTCACTATACTAATATCTCATCTTAGACTGAAGAATAGCTTTTATTCACTCGCCTTCTTGACATCATTCGAGCACGAAATGAAGCATGCGCCTTGACAAATGAGAAATAGACCTAGCAAAAAGGTAGTTCAAGTGACATACTGATAGTATTCGATGTGTTCTATCTCATATATTTTTTACAGTACACAGAACTTTTGGATAAAATCCGAAGTTTCGATGTTTAGTTTTAGAGTATTCCCTATTTCTATTACTTCAACAATGCATTGAATAAGCAAAATATCTATCACAAAATAGGATTGTACTTACCTATGAGTATTGAAAATGCGTTGATTCTTTGAAATGAACATACCTTATCACGTAGGTTTATAGATGTACTCATTTGAAATATTATAGAGAAAATATTCATAAGATTTCGTCATAATTATCCAAATAAGTCATGTACCATCCTCCTCACCTGATGCTTTTCTGGTATTAGCTAATTCAATTTCACGTACCACACGATGCTTGATATACTGTGTTAACTCTTCTATGCTGTGATTTGCCAGCAGACATAGGAGCAAGCTTTTTATTTCTATCGCTCATGACGTTGTTTTACCTGTTCTTCTCTATCTCTCTCTTTCTACAAATATGTTATTTTCTATATTACGAATAAGCAGACTTTTGAAATTACACGTGCACGCGTGTTTGAATTTCGTAATGTTGCTGTTATGAAGAAATTCAAACTCATTTCCATTGCATCACCCGAATCGTGTTTTCTCACATAAAAATTTATGAACTAGAATGTGGAGTAACCTCGGAATAGCTATGCATCCAGTACACGTCCTATTGGGTATCAATTACCTATGATAACTTATTCTATAACGTGTATTTTCTGATAAAAATAAATTGATGAGTAATTCCTATCAGATTGTAATTGATGCGAATGCCATAAAATCTAAAGATTAGTTCAGGTTTTCATTCTTGTTTTTCAATCTGTTATGTGCCGTATATGTCAGTATTCTTTGAGTAAATAACTCCCATTCACCCCAATATCTTTCTTTGGCGATGCGTGAAGGTGACGGCTTAGGTGGTTTTTGTTATCGATCTTGTTTTAGCGGCAAGAAAAAGTGTTTTTACTAAGTAAGTGACATTGGCGGTGGACGAGTTTTTTGTTTTTCTGTCTCTTGCTCTTGTCGCATGGATTCCGCTTTCCATGCATTTTGGTGCTGTAAAAATTTCTTTCATTGTACTTTAATCTCTCCGACTGCTTGAAATAAGAAAAAAAGGTGAAACTATCAACATTAATTTCTATTGTTTTGACATTTACTATCCAATGATGGCATCCGGATGGAAAATAATGGGATTATTATCTCTT